TTTTGTAAGTTCAAAGAAGATAAACGTTTCTTGTCAAGTCATACTGGTATAACGTCAAGAGTAAATTGCACGACACCTTTTGTCCTCACCAGCGCGCGACGAACGTAAAAAGATTGTCCACTCCGGTCAAAATTAAATATGAAACAGCAGTTGCTTCTCCGGACGAAAATAAAATCTAACTCGGAAGAAAAATATTACATGCTGCTCTGTATCGTATATATAAAAAATGAAGTGCAATAAATTAGATTCCACAACTCGAATAAGAGTTTCCACCTTGATGAACGATAAATTTCGCACAAAAGAGAGCTTTGCATCTGCGATCCCGTTCTTCTCGATCGCGTTTCGATTGTGAAAAATAATTGACGTATCTCGCATTGAAGACGGAACAATTTGCTGCGCTTTGCGTTAAACCGCCCGTATAGTTAGCGAAATGTGCTCCTTCTACCTACAATAAATTTGGAAGAAAATTTATCGTGATACGTGACAAATTATTTATCGTGGTACATTATCGTCCGAGTTTCTGTGAAATCAGCAGTGTACAAAGCTTTAACCGCTAATGTTAAAGGTTAATTTTATCTCTGCCTCGAAATTTTGCTCGCGCAGTGAAAATGAAGGAAAAGATACATGAATTTCCGCGCACGTTGCACGTTTAACAGCGAAATTTTTCCCTACCTACGGTTCCCCCCACTGTAGCTTCTATTTTTCGAGGAAAACGCGTTAGTTGATTTCGCCGGAATTATAGTCGATCAACGTAACGAGCTTGCGAATTAGGAAGGAAGAAAGAAGGACGTCTCGCGTGTAGGCAATTTTTGTCGTTGCCGACTATCCGTATACATCCCTTGATTGGCTAATCTAGCGATAACGCGAGAAATATCATACGTGATATTTTTGTAAAGGAAAACATATTTCTTTAAATAATTATATTAAATATATTCCTTTAAATAATTTATTAAATAATAATTTATTATTATTAAATAATAATAATAAATATATTCCTTTAAATAATTAAATAATTTATATTAAATATATTCCTTACATCAACTTTTTTATTTAAAACAAAAAGCTACTTTCAATATCGTAAATGATAATTAGCCATAGGAATAAATTATATAAAATACGAGTATTCATCGAGATATCGTTATCATATGATGTGCGATAAAAATAAATTATGTACAATGCGAATAATCATCGAGATATTGTTATCATGTAGGTAAAAATAGATTGGCTTAATTACAGTTGTCTGAGAAGGAAAAACAAGAAAATCTCTAATAACGAGAAAATCTCTAATAACGAGAACTTTGTCGCTACTTAGGGGCGAGTGTAAACTTGAGTGTAAACTTATTTACTAATAGGATTTCGCCAGGACACCACTCGTGTCAAAATATCAAATCAGCTGCTCGCTGCTTTCAACATCCCATCGAAATTCTCGCCCGTGGCAGAAGTTTCCCCCTTAATAGAGTACAACGCAATTTCTACGATGTACCGAACTGTCATATGTTACAAATTCAACTTGCTTTTCTAATAAATAAAACGCAAATAAAAATCATATCATCGTAGAAAATTTGTACAGACAATTTTTTTTTACTTTACTTTTCCCGTTATTTTACAAAAGATGAAAGAATCATAAATGAATGTGATGCCTTATGTCTTCTTCATTAAAATGAAGGACCATGGGCGACAACGAACGTCGACTTTGAGGGATTCTGGATGCACGAGCGCCTTCGAGTTATCGTTCGCGGGATCCTTTCGCAGGATTTCGACACCAACAAATGGTTTTTCCATGCAACAAGTAAGCGAGTTAAGCGATGCTCTCCTATACGAAGAGAAGGCTCTACGATTCGAATCCTCGCAATAAATGGCCTCCCGATACTATCTCCGAGTGTCTCGTTTGCGCGCAACAAGTTACTCAAAGCCGCAGCTGTATATATGTATATATACAGTTTAACTTTTCCACTCGGCAAACTTATTCGGCGCAAGACTAGTCAGATTTTCAGAATGGTTTAGGAAAGGCATTTCGCGTCCTTACATCATCGAACGAAAAATCATCCTCTGCTTTTGAAAAATTCCACCGGCTAATCGATCAACATGCAAATGAAGGTAAAAATGCTATTATCATCGCCGCATAAATGCAACGAGACGAAGAGGCGCGGGTTAATTTATCACGAAACGACAGGTCAGGATTAATGGCGAATCCACGACAACGCGAGCCTCGCGTGCGCATGAATTATGGGATTCTCGTACAAAATTCGCGGTCAGTGGAGCACGAAAAAAAAAGAAAAGAATAGAAGGAAGGTCGCCCGCGAGTGATGTAGATGCACGTGTATCCACGGCTTGCGTGATAGCGCGGTACGGGTGTTTTCACGGGGTAAATTGAGCGAAGAGAAATAAAAAGGGTCGAGGAATAAAGGAAGGGAATCGATAACGAACGTCCTTCGACATGTCCCTGCGTCTATTGTACAGGTACAGCTTTATAAAAAAATTATTAATCTTGCATTCATATACGTCTTTTACAAATTTCCCGTGAAATCACGTAATCATCTCTCGCGATAACTGCTCTTCAATCAGTTATACTATCATAAATTCCATTTATCGTTAAGTATCGCATCTTGTCCGTATATATACGAAACTATACAAAGAAAAATAGATGGATTTATTTTACGTAACGGCCGCAGATGGGAGAAAATAGTATTATTGACACGTATACTCGCATTAATAATAAAAAATTGCGGAGGAGTAGCAAGCTCCCTGAATAACACATGATGGAGATTCATTATTCTGCGTACAAAGCACGCATTCGATTGCCTCGTGTACCCATTAATCATAAACGATAAAAAATTTCCTTCCCCTCTTGGCATCAAATTGACGGTCAAATTATACTTTGACTAAGTGTAATTTAATAATATATACCAAATATATGTACAAAAACATCTATTAGTGAAACAGCGGCATTCCTGAATTCTCAATTGACAATTTGCAAATTACAAATTCTCAATTTACAAGTTAAGAAATTAAAGAAAAAGAAGAAATTAAATTTAATAGAAAATTTAGAAATATGTTGCAGATTTAATAAGTTGCATAGCATAAGTTTAACGAACTTCACGTCGAGTTGTTTCTAGAAACGCTTTGACGACAAGATGGTTATCTTCGATCTAAATAATACTGGTAATAATAATGGTTATCTTCAAACTAAATAATACTGATAGCAGAAAAAGGGGCTTGCGGATAAAGAATCGACATACGGTTTCTATAGAATCTGCAATTCCAACTCGATAATTTATCAGAAAATCAATGCAGGACTCTCAAAAGGTAGAAGTCGTATAATCTCGTCTCTTGATTCGATTTAATCTATTAAAAAGCCGTGTTTGACGAGAAAAATACTGTCCTTCACCGTCGCTTTTTTCAATGAAATTATCAATATCCGTGATTCGCCTGATACTCTGATTTACTGAAGGCTCATAATTATTTCTATATTAGTTTCGAGGACTTATATTAGCAGAATATAATGTATATAATAACGTATAAATCACCGATAATGAAAGAGGAAATAATCTTGGATAAATTTTCGCAAATACCTAATGTAATACGTGCAATTACGAAAATATACGGAGGAATTCCGAATGAGAATTCCTCCATATTTGCGGGCTTAATATGTGTTGTATATGATGGCAGTTTATGAAGAGACGAGATTTTATCGGAATTTAGTATTTTAATGAGATTGGTATTTGATTACATTGTAATCAATGAATTATTATTGATTTTAAAACGAATCAGATTATACAATCGTGAAGTCAATCGAGAAGGTCAAATTTTAAATGTTAAATAGCTTCAATATCATTAAGTAATACTCAAAAAAACTAATTGATTACGGCCTCGTAGGTCGTAAATTAATTTGAAAATTGTTAAAAAAAGGTTCGATTCGACTCACGCATACGCTTGAATATTTTTAACACGTACATATCATGAGAGGTTTTTTAGTTTCGGATTCACCTTCAATTGTGGGTCTAGCGACTATTAATAGTCGGGCGCTGTAAAATTCAACGACGGCGAACGAGGTCGCCTTTTCCCTTCGTCAAGACTAGACAACTAGCCGACGATCGCAGCAGCCGCATCTCGCAAGTCGTATCGACATAGTCGACTGCCGGTGGGAGATACGCTAATGGTCGATAATGGAACTGCCGTGGCACGGTCGAAATTGAATTACGCCACCCGGTAGCTGCTCGTGATCCGCAAAACAATGTGTCGCGGAAAGTATGTGTTTTCTGGCATCGCGGTGATGCACGGATCGATGAGAGAGAAAAAGGGTCTCCCCGTTGTTTGCTCAAAAGCAGAAATAAAGTTATGTGATGGATGGATTCTAGCTTCTACATAATTAACACTATTTATACAAAGAAATCATTTTCCCCATTTTACATGCAATTTTCTCGTAATTTTCTTACGCCAAAATACTTGAGATTCAAATATTTGTGCCCTTTAATTAAAGAAATCCTATTTAAGAATCTTATTTATTTATTATATTACATCGTACCATCACGAATAGACAAGCTTGAATATATCTTCTCGAAACGTGCATAAAAATCACGAAATTATCCTCGCGCACTGATATTTTCGGTGTCCATTTGTTACCTCGAGAGATTGTAATCACTGTCACCCCGTCAACAGGCAACATTCAACTAGTAAACGTGACCTTTTGCGTGTCCGCTCGGTGTCCTTGGATCATCTAATCTAACTTGTGTCATGTCACGTCGATATCTATATATGCTAATGCTAATGACAGGTGAGAGTTGAAGTGTACCGACTGTACTGAAGATAATATCGTTTACATTATACGATCGTTACTAAAAAATTTGTTTTATAACTGTTGACACAAGTCATATTTTCAAAGAAATTGTATAATAAAATGATCAGTGTGATAACCCTCTAATGGCTTTTATATAAGGCAGATATGTGTTATATTATATGTATTATTTTAATTTAAAAAATGTATGCTCTTTTCTTTTCAGTCGTTATGACAACGCAGGCAAGGATCCGGCGACCCAGCAAAGCTGACAGATTCACCTGAATAGGCGCAGACTTTCCCCTCTTCTTCAGGAAGAAATATCCGAAAAATAAAACACGCGGGAAAAGAAGGAATGGGCCCTTGGGCCTTCGGCGTACCTCTCGTGTCAACTCTGGGTCTTCTCCTGAATGGCTACGTTCTCCTTGTCGTTCTTGGTCTTGGTAAACAGGTGAACAGTAACGAGCAGATATCTATAGCGTGTTCGTGTTTCGCGCGTGAAACGCTTTTATCTTTTTTTTTTTTCTCCATTTTACACCGCAAATTTTGTCGGATCGTGCCTTTTGCGGCGTTTATTCTCCAAATCAGAATAGTTTTCGAAGCGCGATCTCGTAACTAAATGCCGCCAAAGTTACCGCAAACGTGCGATTTTAATGATTTTTGCAATTCCTTGTATGAAAAACGTAAAATAAATTTGAGAGAGATACATATTGCGGATGGAACGCGCTCTCTCGAGCGTAAATTAACATCGGTTTTCCCGGTATTCCGGTCAAAGAGTTCACGATATTAAAGGATGCGTATGAAATTAAAGCGTGCGTGAGAGTAGCGACCGTGACGGAGGAGAGAAGAAGGGAGAAAAAAATGGAAAAGGAATTAATTTCTCGGAAATCCTCCCTTCGATCGCCGAACAGTTTTATCGCGAATAATAAAGCCCGGTTAATAGAATTACGGATTTTAAAGCCAACGACCAGTTCACCGCGGTATATCGAAAAATTTCATTGCTTTACGAAACAAAAATTCGGGAAACCTCACCACAATGAAGGAAGAGAGAGATCCCGGTAACGCGATAGAGAGTCGAGACGATCGGCAAATCGACGAATCGCGCTGCAATGTCCGCAGACGCAGCAACAGCAGACGGCCAACACTTTACTGCTGATCCACTTGGGTGCCGTGGAAACGGCTGTGTGCTTGATATTGCTGATCTTCACGACTGGTCCCTGGCCAGTCGCCGGCACGTGGTGCGTTTTCCACGGATTCCTGTTGGCCTTGCTACACCCGGTCGCTCTTTGGACGGTGACCGGATTAAACTGCGACAGGTGAGTCTCTCGGAGTCCCGTCTTCTCTCTTTTTGCAATATTATATTCGATATTCGAACACGCGGGGACATGTATCAGGCGAATTGGAAACTTGAGGACGAGAAGACTGCTTGTATCGGTTCCCTCCCACGTAATTCGTTGCTCGCGGAAGCGAACTTGACGGTAATCGATGCGTCGAGGTTTGTTAAAGGGATATACGTGTAGCGGATGTTAATTACATTGTTCTCGCGTCGATCATGTGTGAAACCGCGTTTTACGCGACGCGCGTTTCAAGCACGTGCTTTAGGAGTATTCGAGTATCTCTTATATGTATGCGAGGTATGCGATTCACCACATCTCGCGCATCATTTTTGATCGAATTATTTCCGCAATAATTCGATGAAGCTATTCTCGTGCTGTCTGTTGTTTGAAAAATTTTACCTTTATATTATGTACGCTTTCAACGAAATTTTACGCCGAGTAAAGAAAAAAACCTTTTGTTGCTTGAGTAAATCGCGGACGAAAGAGGTACGTACTCGCGAGAATTTTCGATAAAAATCGAGTTCGGTCTCGATATGCGACACAGGAACGACACGTGAACGAGGCCTCGACGCAAAAAGCAACGAGATTTCCGATGTAGAATGTCAATAATGATTCCGCAGACACAAACAATATCGCCGCGACTGTCAGATGATACAAGACATTTGTTCGATATAGTCTGCGTATAACCCAGAATCGCAACACCCGTCATTCCATTTCTATACTTGTTGCTTATCATCTCGCTGCGTCCTCGCATTAATAACTGAGGCATGCATTTCGGTGATACGTGACAAATTGAATTGCGCCGGATGAAATAATTCTCATCCCACGTTTTACATACATATCGCAGTATATTAAACTTGTACATTGAAATTCTGCATAAAAAAATCTCGCGTTGCACGACGCTCGTAGACTGTACAAAATATATTAATTATTATAATACATTAATTACATATTAATTATTTACGAAAGAGGCAACAAATATATTTTTCACAATTTTAAATTTACTTGTCGCGTCAATATGAACCCGCGCTTTATATAATTTATTTTGCGAGCGATTCAAGCGTACGCGTACTTTGAAAATCTTGCTGAAATCTTGCATTTCTTCCTCCGCGCGTGATCCCCGTGAATTTCCGCGACAAACGTTTCCGTATCGTCTCGCGCGATTTCCTCGAAGGAAAATTCCCGTAAGGATATAGAAAATTCTTTCCTTCTCTCTTCCTCGGCAAAGGGCACCGCCGGGCCCGACCCGTGGCTCGATCGACCACGGAATATTTTATTCAGCAGCTTAACAGATTTAAGCCACCACGTGTGTGTATCTTCGAGTTTCCTCATCGCGCATATCGTTGAATTTTCATCAATCCTCCAAGAAAGAGCGTCGGTCGTCTAAAGATGACGTCATTCTCGCTCATTATATCCAGAGACATGTTTTAATCCTATTAAGTGAAGAAGAAGAAGGGCAGAAGGGGGGAAGAAGAAGATGAAAAGGATGTCGTTAGAATTTGACGCTCAACTAAATGTGAAAACGGAAGCTCGACGCGGTATCCAATTAGCTTGTCTTGCAGAGACACCCATTAACCATGCCATGCAATTACTCTATATATGCAGGTATTACGCGATCGCTGCACCGCTGCATTACGCCGCTTTGGTCTCGCCGCGTCGCGTGGCCGTTGGATTGGCTGCTTCTTGGACGGGCGCTCTGCTCCTGTGCTTGCCACCGTTTTTCTCTGGTCTGGTGCCACCTTATGAGTTTGTATACACATATTTATATATATGTATATACGTATGCGTCACCATTAACCATCATTACCATCGCCATCGCATTCCGTTGCGGCGTTGCTTTTACGATATTGCCGCACTGCGATTGCTGCACTTTCTCGCATAATGAACGAGATTCGATTTACTTTGTGCACTCCGTTTCTCGACTCGCGCAAGTTGTTTTGCACTGCACGCTGCGAGACAATTTCCGTGCCAGCTTTCTCGGAGAGCAAAAAAGAGGTCGATTCACGAGATTTCGGTGCCAGCGAGTTAATTTAATTAAAATTAACGTATCGCAGCAAGCAACTGCCGAATAAATTCTGGATGCTTTTACTTTATTCGTTAAGAACATTGAAGAAAAGAAAGAAAAATCTATTCCGCATCTTTGCATCGATTTCGCGCGATACACGTTCCGTTTCTCAATATTCTCTGTATCGATCAGGTATAACCAAGGGTTGGGCTGCTGCGCCCCGGATTTCGGGAACGGCACTTGGGGATCCGCCGCGGTGCTCTACGGCGCCGTTTACGCCATTCTGGGTCTGGGGCTGCCGGCCGTCCTCGTGACGGTCTGTAATATACGCGTGCTGGGTATAGCGAGGTACCATCGGCATCGTATCGCCAGCGCGATCTACGAGGTCACCCTAAGCGCCCAGGTGACCATCACCCATCAGCGAAATCCATTTTTTGTGCCAACCGTAACCGCACCCTCCGCCGGGGGACCGCCGCGTTTTCACAGCGCTGCCAGCACGGTTCGTACACACCGAAAAAAATGTGTCAAATCAAAACTTATATACTTGAACTAACGCGTTCATTGTTTCATATATATACGCAACAATTTATAATCTTCTTAGAAGAATTTAATAAAGAATATATAATTGTTTAATTCTACTTTAAGAAAATTATAATCTTTGATTTAAAAATATTGCTTTCTATCTAACATTTTGTTTCTTTTCCATTCGAGAAAATTAAAAAAAAAAGTATCAAATCAAAAGTTAAATTAACGTGTTCATTGTTTCATATATACGTAACAATTTATAATCTTCTTAGAAGAATTTAATCAAGAATATATAATTATTTAATTCTACTTTAAGAAAATTATAATCTTTGATTTAAAAATATTGTTTTCTATCTAACATCTTGTTTCTTTTCCATTCGAGAAAATTAAAAAAAATAAGTAGCAAATCAAAATTTATATACTTAAATTAACGCGTTCATTGTTTCATATATACGTAATAATTTATAATCTTCTTAGAAGAATTTAATCAAGAATATATAATTATTTAATTCTACTTTAAGAAAATTATAATCTTTGATTTAAAAATATTGCTTTCTATCTAACATCTTGTTTCTTTTCCATTCGAGAAAATTTGAAAAAATAAGTATCAAATCAAAACTTATGTACTTAAACTAACGCGTTCATTATTTCATATATACGCAACAATTTATAATCTTCTTAGAAGAATTTAATCAAGAATATATATTTATTTAATTCTACTTTAAGAAAATTATAATCTTTGATTTAAAAATATTGTTTTCTATCTAACATCTTGTTTCTTTTCCATTCGAGAAAATTAAAAAAAAAAGTATCAAATCAAAACTTATATACTTAAATTAACGCGTTCATTGTTTCATATATACGCAACAATTTATAATCTTCTTAGAAGAATTTAATCAAGAATATATATTTATTTAATTCTACTTTAAGAAAATTATAATCTTTGATTTAAAAATATTGTTTTCTATCTAACATCTTGTTTCTTTTCCATTCGAGAAAATTTGAAAAAATAAGTATCAAATCAAAACTTATATAAAATTATAGAAAATTAAATCTTAAATCATAAGAATATATTTTTCTTGATTGAACTATACAAAATGGCTTCATTCAAGTAAGCAATTATTCAAGCAATTATATTTTTTTTTAATTAACGCAATATAATCCCATTTCAAGATTTCCATGTTAAAACTAAATATATTTTCAAAACAAGAATGTCCTTTTTTTTGTGCAGACAATTTGTTTTTCTTTCTTGAAATTTTGTTATAAACACGGTGCGTAACGCATCTGAAAAGATTTGATTAATTTTCCTTGCCATTGCCGCTTCGTAAAGACGGTTTCAATCGATAAAAGATTTTTCCCCAACAGACTTCATCCGACCAATTTGACTCTTGTCAAGTCATTCGATTTAAGTTAATCGGGCTAATCAATAGTGTCTTGTAGTTAAAGCCTAATCTGTAATTTAATTTTCTTCGGAGTTTACAAGTCGAATCGATAGATACCACGCTGGAAGGCATTGGTGAAATATACATTGAAACTTCCTCGTTCTGTGAAACGTTTCCCGTCGCGATTGCGAACAGTCTAGTTTAATTGCTATTTTAGAAATTGCGACCCCTCGGGATCTTTCCGATATAACAAATCTCGATATTGCAAACATCGTTCAAGAATAAATTATGAGCTTCGCGATTGGCAATAAATTCAATATTATCGAATGAGATATCGTTTCAGGTGATGCAGTTGGTCGGCTCCTTGTACCTGCTCTACTTTCCTTACTGCGGATATATCCTCTGGGAAGCTTGCAATACCGGTAATCAGCATCGTATCCAAACCTACTCTAAACTAGCCTCTTTGGCATCGTTCCTTCTCGCATGCTCGCCGCCCGTCAACGGCCTTCTCTACGGCTTAAAATCGCAGACTCTGCGACGTTCCGTGCAAAACTATTGGCGGAAAAAGGCGACCAAGTCGGAATTGCAACAGGTAATCCGAATGCAGGAAAAGCGAAATTAGCCGAACCGTCGAGCGATGTAACGAACTAATTTCCGAGGTTTATTAATCTCACAATCTTATATATTTATTCCATCGCGTTGGACACGTAAAATCGCATTCATAGAGAAAAATGTATACTGTATTCAAGTAAATATTATTTATTTTAAGTATATCATAAGCTTGTATATCCGCAAATATATCATAAATTCATCACAAGCATTAAATTTAATTAAATATATTCTGAATTTGAGTAACTGCATTAGTCAAGAATATTAAATAAAACAAAAATTTGGTTTGCTTACTACATAAAGTGAGTTTGATTTTTCTTTGATACAACTTTATAATATTCCTGAAGGGAAAATAACTTCTTCTTTCGAGTACATGATGATGAGATTTTCTAACACTTGTGATGAGTATATTTTAAAATTATTATGAAGAATATATTCTTTGTTGAAAAAACTATTACTTAAGAAAAGAAAAATAAATAATCGGTTTTTCTTGGCGATAGAATGATTATTTTCTCTGTGCAGGAGATACAGGCGAGAACGCCGAGCGTCGCGGGTTCTAGGCGGCCTTCCGGCAGCGGAAACGCTTCCTTCTTCCCGTTTCCACCCTTACAACGTAGGCTTAGCGAGGCGTTATTGGCTCTTGGCTCATGCAGAACCGGCAGTAACTTCGAAAGCAATAATCTCGGATTTCAACGCGGCAGACTGCAGCCCGCCGTCTCCTGCAATACTCTCAGAGTGCCAACCGCCGAATCAGGTACGCAAATTTACGCGATTTATACTGCTGATACTGTTACTGAACTCTCTCGTTAATGTTCGTAAGCCGAGAACCCATAGATTAAGAGATCTTGTACGTTAACGCAAAGTGTCTGTCTTTATGATGATTGGTAGTGTAAATAAATCACCCCTTTGAAAGATTTCTCTTGATCGTTAACGGGTAAACATTTCGACACTGATATGAGCGTCATCCTTTCATCATGGCGCGCTAAGAAGAGCCGAGAAAATTGGTGAGGGCGAGCGCGAGTGCCGTCAGTCTGATGGGTCCCCACTATCGGAGCGACTTCATCGGGACGGACTTGGCCGCGGGATGTTCCATAGCTAAATGCGAGACCCCGAGGAAGAGTCCGAAGATCCTCATAACGCGCGCGTACAGCGAGGAGAGCCAGGACGGGAGCAGTCCGCTTCTGATAAAATCCCTCAATTCCAATATTAACCCACGGCCGTGCGAAAGTACGTCATACATTAATATTTGTGATGTCGTACGTTTACCTCGATCGCATTTGCAAATAGTGTCGCGACTCGAAAGCTTAAAAAAATTGCTGCAAAAGCCATTATTAATTTATCTTTTGCGCGACTCTACATATTATAAATATATAGAGTATACACAGAAAAAAATAAAGTGTCATATCAAAACTTATATATTTAAATTAACGCGTTCATTGTTTCGTATATGCAATTTATAATCTCCTTAGAGGAATTTAATAATTTTAAATTTCAACAATATTATAGTCTTATTTTAATATTATAATTGTCATCTCAAGAATATATAATTATTTAATTCTACTTTAAGAAAATTATAATCTTTGATTTAAAGATGTTATTTTCTATCCAACATTGTTTCTTTTCTATTCAAGAAAATTAAATCTTAAATCGTAAGAATATATTTTTCTAGATTGAACTATACAAAATGACTTTATTCAAAAGTAAGCAATTATTCAAACAATTATATTTTTAATTAACTTTAATTAACGCGATATAATTTCATTTCAAGATTTCCATGTTAAAACTAAATATATTTTCAAAACAAGAATGTCCTCTTTTTCTGTGTATCGTGCATACAAAATGGGTCACATTAAAAATTATTATTCTTATAATATTGAAAATTTGACGATGTGAAAATTTTTTAAGAAATGTTTTAGATAAAAGATTATTTGATTTCTCTCGAAAAGGACACTCTACATACTCTACATTAATGTAATCATTGTCTAAAGTATTGTTTTATAAAACACTAGTAGGACTTATACTGTATTCGATAATTTTTAATGACTCATCCTACACATATTTATTTTTTTTTTCTTATAAAATTTTATCGCCACGTAATATTCTCCTCCATCGGCAAACGAATAATGAAATAATACGATAAATAATTTAATAATATCGATAAACAGCGTAGCGACGTAAGTTTCGTTACGGGAATTTGTAAATGGATGGATCGTTGAAACGACTGAAGTAGATCAGTGTATTTATCCGTATTCGAGACGAGAATTCTCATTTATATCGTGCGTGTATAGAACACCGATGGCGGGACTGCAGCACTGGTAGCGAGAGCAGTACGGGAAGCAGCGATGCGAGCGTCTGGACCACTAACGTGACCCCGAAATCCGTCAAGGGCAACGCGAGGAATTCCATTGATTGCTGGTCGTCGCGACGATATGTACGCGGCAAGAATTTGGAGGAAGGCTCGCTGTCGACCTCGATCAGGCCGAACAACAATAGCGAGAGCAGCGATACCACGGATACGACCACAGCCACGACCACTACTACGTTGCTTAAATCCCTCGCCGTAGTAAGTATCATTGCTGAGGTAGATGGCTTCGCGAAATAATAATTGCTTATTAATACCGTTAGTGGTCGCCTGAAATTAGATGAATTTAATGATGCAGGAAAATGGCGAACAGCACGACAAGGAAAAAGAGAAGATGAACGGTAATATTAAGAAGAGAGAATCCAGCGAAAGTGAAAGCAGTTGGAGCAGCGTCGAGGAGATCGAGACCAAGGCTATAACCGAGAGAAATGACGAAGACGACGGTCTTCGAAGGTCGAGGGAGAAGCTGCAGATGGGATTTCCACGGCGAAAGTCAGGGAGCGACAACCGAGAGGTTGCCGAAGTTTCCGAGGACCGAGGCGAGGAGGCTGCGCAGCTGAGGCCTCTCTTGACTCCCTCCTCCTAAGCTTATCCTCTTAAGTATAAATGTATTTTCCTTTCGGGTAATCCATTCGTGTCCCAGACAAAATGAGATTCTACCGCGTGTACTTAAGCGACACCGCTATACGGAACGAAGTCTCGTAATAGGAGAGAGAGCATCCAATCATGACGCACTTATTTCGCGAATCTGCAAATATGAAGAGTTAACCGGTCAATTGCGACACAGCTATTTTAATAACCTGTATTTGTCGACACAAGAGCGAAGAGAGGGGACATTTGAGAAATAACTCGTCCAAACGTACATTTTGTATCACAAAAGGTGTGATCGATTGTTTCTTATACGTTCCGATGAGAAAAATGTAAAAAGATTTTTGAAGTAAACAAGAGGATTCGGCGCAGCCTTTACACTCGACATTAATATATATCGACACATATCTCGAAATTATATTTTTGTACTTTCACTCCGCAACATTACGTAACGCAACGACGACGTGAAATCATCCTTTACAACAAAGAGAAGAAGAATGAAACTGATTAACATACTCACTGGTAAACCTGATTTCGGAAAGTTTAACGCGCAAAGGGAGAAAAGAATTAATTATCGATCGTTTCCGAACATTATCGACGAAAGTTTTGCATCAGCGATCAATTCATTCATGAAATTTCACCTTTAATTTGCCAAGAGTCACAGAAACTCGTGCAGGAGCGAAAAGAAAGACATGGAAATCGAATGAGAATCGAACACCCGAGAAAGTTCTCTTGACAGATAAAAATCGAATCAAGGTGCGAGCTCCAAAGGAATAAAATTCAATGTTCGCATTAAATTTATGTATCGGGCGCAAAGTCAAATTCTATGTAAAAGTAAATCTTACTTTTGTAAATGTCAAATTTTGCTCGTTATGTAGTTACGATCGTACTCGGCGTGAATTTCGTGGCCCTTTTATGACTCTGATATCTACGTGAGATATATAAATGAGAGATATTAATAATTTATTGTAGATAAGTCAATTAGTTTATAGTGATAATAGTAGCCGTTGGAATTGACACTCCAAAAATTGCGTAGGACATAAATGTGCGTACAAAAATCTATGTAAATAAATATCTCTGGACATTTTCTGGACGTTTAACGGTGTTACTTATGATACGACAAGAATGTTTTTCGTTTCGATATGTTAGAAACGCGCGAGAGTCGATCCGTATTCGCATATCTTGTTTATGATTGATACGGATTACAGACTAGTCATTCTCTGGTTGCACAGGATGAAGGAAGATAAGACATCGTGCAAAAATAAGTTGAAACTTACAACCGAATTTTATTCCTACTTGGTAGTAAGAATAAATTTTTTTCGTACGAGTTTTTTTGTTCGAGAATATTGATTTAAAAATTGCAAAATTAATAACATATTTATATGCTCTTTCAAACTGAAATAATCACTAATTTTATGTTATACATCATGGATTTTATCTTGATAGCAGCTGTATAAAAAGATACATTATTTCTATTGGAAAAAATAAAGTTTATCTTGATGCTTTATATACTTTATGCAATTCTTTTCAGTAATAATTTATTTGGAAATTTTATTAAATGGAATGTTGTATGTTTTTTTATAATATATTATATTTTATAGTTATATTGCTATAAAATATAATATATTATAAAAAAACATACAACATTCCATTTAATAAAATTTCCAAATAAATTATTACTATATATATCAGTTTTTTTAAATTTATCTTAAAAATTAATTTTCTCGAAAACGAAACTTCGTACGAAAAAAAATCAATTTTGATTCGTACAAAAAATTGTACTTTACATTTCCGATTAAATAAATTTTTTTTATTATACTACATTTCTCGCAATTTATCTTGTATATTTATGCAAATATTATTCCACCGTCCTCGGTAATATATTTAGATGAATAATATTAATATATTATTATATATACTATTAATATATATTATATTTATTACAGTTGATAGCTTTGTAATAAATAATTAAAATGCAAGTCGGTTTATTGTCGACTTGTTTGATTACTGACTGCTTAATACAATGTAAATACGGATCACTCTCTATATGTTGGCGTAATTTATATGATATTGTTGTTGTATATATACATCGTTATTGCGTCGTTTAAGCCAAGACAGCACTTATCGTACGCATGACGTACACTTGATAGTGTCCAGCGTATGTCACGACGTCCGTGTAATTTGCTAGAATCGCTTATATACGAGCTGTCTTTGTTAATCTAACCCGTCAGCTAGAATTGTATGCGTGCAGCTCGGACCCGTTGAGGATAGTATCCGTCTAAAAAAAAAAATCATGATCTCAATCAAATCCACTACAATGAAACTTGAGGAACTTTGTCGGGTGTGAGTATGTTGTATTGATGTTAACATTACAAAGAGTTGCGACATAAACGATGTCTGAGTGTATAAAGTTAGTGCAAATAAAAAAAAATTAAAAAATATACCTGGGAACTATTTAATTCGTAGATTTATGGAATTTATCGCAAAACGTCTGCGATTCTTGCACATGTATCTGCATTTTTATAAGTTAAATAACGTGCGCAATAATATACGTACTAGTCTCGTGTTGCTTCTCAATTAATGCGCGACGTTTATATAGCTGTAAAACGTTTTCAAAATTTTATGTCATACATCGCGGAAATTGATCTCGATAGCGGTTATGTAAGATACGTATAAAAAGATAAATGATCTCTATTGAAAAAATAAAGCTTATCTTGATGCTTTATATTTAAATGATATTCAATGCTCGTTTGATATTTAAACCCCAAAAAAGCGGACTACCTTCGACAATCTTGCGCCCGAGACATGTTGGAATTTCAAGAATGCGATATTATCTTCGTTTCCAAATTCTGCTCCCGAAACGTGTTTCCACGCATCTTCTTACGAGATCGCACGATTATGTTACATTACGTTCGGACCCCGTCGAACAGGTATAACACGACCTCGCAACAGGCGGTCCTCGACCGCGTCCTTCATTCGTTCACTCTTCGTGGATGAGTCGCGTCTGCCGGTTTCTCGCGCGTTTTAACGTACGTAAATTTCTCCGGGCTCCGCCGAATCGCCGAAAAATTGCGGTGCAAATTCGCTCGAGAGTGTAAAATACAGTCCGTTGCCTCACGATTATCTAATCGCGTCGGTGGAAATTCGCTGAAAAACGCATTCGCGCCCGTTTAGTGCGGAAAGCGTACGATCGAGCGTAGAATATTCGAAAACGTTTCGAGGCATTTTTCTACCTGGAGTTTCTAACCGCTGGAGATGGCGGAGAAGAGCAGTCTGACGTGTACATTCGAATCGCAGGATGAACAGAGGTATGAATTGTCTATGTCGAGGATTTTCAAAGTATCTCGCACGGATATCGATCGTCAATATTTGCCAATAACAAACTTTTATCTTATAATCATGCCTTTCAAAACTCGAGCCGCGCACGAGCATTCGTCGACTCGGTTCCTAGCTACAGCCCTGTCGTCGACGCGCAGGCTTGCATCGATTTTGGTTGCTCAGCTGATACAGTCTTCACCGTTGAAATATCGCATATCGTACACTAGGTTGACGTGTCTTCCGACGATTCATCATCGCGACAGAGTTTTTTTTCTGACAGTTCTACATAGCTAGTTCAATTATTGCTCCGAACAAGTTTATCGATAGAATCAGCGGCAATCCGGCAGTTCGTAAGTGTGTGTGCGTTTTTTGTGTCAGGGCTATTCAACATGCTCTCTTTATGTGGAAACTGTTTTCGTCTGGCGTTTCCCGAAATGTAATTGTCGCCGATATGGCGTGGAATTTCTCTCCCACGCGTGCCAGAGAGAAGCGTCAGAAGGAGTACGTAGATGGTGAGAAACGGACGGCATGTCTTCCAAGTGAGTGTGATCAATGTTGAATTAATCGAGCGAGGAGTATAGGAGCAAGGGGAGGAGAGCGCGCGGCTCTCCATTTAGCGTACTAATAAATGGAGCTTTCCTCAGAGAAGAGTCATGAGACCTTCCTCGTCCTCGTCCAGCACGAGTTCCGGTTCCGCGTACACCAGCGCCGACGATGCGCGGTGGGGGAGGAACCGGTCCCTCGATTCAGAGGACGTCGGAACCGTCTGGCTCCTCGGTTCGACCCATGTCTCGAGACTTCGAATCCTCGAGAGATTCAAAATAAACAAGTGAGTCATCGCGTGTTCTTTGTCATCACGAATCATGCGCGTCATATATTCCTCGCGATTTATTATTTTCAAATCAATTCAATCGCTATTCCGCGCGATTATCTTCGTTCGCTCAGATAAAGTAATTTATATAATATTTCGAATATTGAGGAAGGAAATTTCCTTACGAATTATTCTATTTTACCTTTATTTTTGTGGAAAAGTAATTCGATTTTATTCAAAAAGAGAAGGTAAAAGTTCCTGAGAGAGAGCTCTTATAAATTCTTAAATGAACATATCGACATGTCCACGATAGTAGATCGTCTCTGTTACGCAACATTGTGCTTTCCGCAATCGTATTACAATTTACATAACATATCGTATACAATTTACATTTCGAATATTGAGAAAGGAAATTTCCTTACAAATTATTTTATTTTACCTTTATTTTTGTGGAAAAGCAATTCGATTTTATGTAAAAAAAAAAAATAAAAATTCCTAAGAAAGTTCTTATCAATTCTTAAATTAACATATCGACATATCACGATAGTAGATCGTCTCTGTTACGCAACATTGTGCTTTGCGCAATCGTATTATAATTATCTTATTTGTCGCAAACGTTAGCTTCTATTATAGTTAAGGTATATGCAAAGTCATCTCAACTCAGGGGGGACATACACCTAGATTGGTTAAAAAAATTTATTTTTCAATTTTTGCATGGATACATATTAGATACAAAATATTGAATTTCATGGCAATAGCTGAGTGTCTGAAATGTAAACATTGTCGTGGTGACATAACATTCGAGGCAAAAGTACACGTGGATTCGGATTTTTAAAATTTAAAATCACTATTGCAAATCAATTCATGCGAGCAATGAACATCGCTGCAGGACCAAATACGCAATACTTCTGCAAAAGATGCCTAATGTTAATATGTCAATGGCGTCGAATAATAAGAGCAAAGCACACCGCTCAAGACATAACAAAGGAGGCAAGATTACGTCACAAGCCAAGCTTGAATTGACAGAGACTGCCATGTAGTCTGCAGATTCACTATATGGTCCTGAAGTAAATGATTCCATGTAAGTCAAAAAAAGTCACTGATATATTGTTTAAAAGTATACTTAAAACTTTAAACGCGTTTCTCTCGAAACTGTTTTCAAAACAATCAAATATCTCGAGAACCATTAGATGGATCATTTTTTATGTCTTTTTATTTTTTTTTATAGCCAAAAAACGATCGATTTTTTACGCGAAAATTCGTACCTTTAGATTCAAATGTATGCCATTTTTTTTAACATTGCGAATTTTAAAAATCGGTTACGACAGACTAGAGAGAGTTTTATTCATATATTTTAAAAATCAATTGATTTTTTGTTTCAGATGAATATAAATGACACAATGATTACTGCAAAACGTAACAGCATCGAACACGTCTGACGCCAGCAATGCCACATATTTTTTAATAATTTTTAATAAAAATTTATCGCTGTATTAATAAAAATATATAAGTAATATACTGAATAAATTTCATGTTTTGATAATATTCCAATATTTCAACGAAAAAATTGATAATATTCCTAATATTTCAACGAAAAAAAATTAGATAAATATAGGGTCACTTTTGATACGTCTAAGGTGTATGTCCCCCTTTAAATACTTGATAAATACTTAATTAATTTACATATCTCGTGGAATAATTTCAAAGTAAAATGATTTTTTTTAAGGAAAATTAATTTCCTCAAAAACGTAGCCTTTTTGCAAAATGCAAATCAAATCAATTAATGCAAGTGCGAAATCATCAATGCAATCGAATGATTCAATATCGTAATTCAAACAATTTATAAACTTGTTTTATTTTAATGCGAAACACTTGTAATAAAAGATCTGACATTTCTTTTTGCAATCTTTTTTAACAATTCTTCATTTAAACATATAGAAAATATTTGTCGTAGAATATTATACTTAACCATTCTTACGCAAAAAATAATAAAACGCGAAAGTAAGATGAATAACGCAAAAAAAATAATGAAACGCAAAATAAATAATGCAAAAAATGATGAAACACAAAATGAATAACGTAAAAAATAATGGATAAATAATAATACATAATTATTCAAATATAGAAAAAATTAGAGAAAATATAAAAAATAAAATATCAAAAATAAATAAAATTTTATTCGAATAATAACTAAATAAAAGTTTATTCAAATAATGCTCAATTCTGTATATAAGATCTTACTTAAGCGTGATGTAATTTTTTTGAGCTGATGAAATGCAGGACGCTAATTTATCAGTGAGATAAATATTTTGCTTCTTTCGTGTGTTCCCAACCTTAATTCTTGCACAATCTGGTAGAGCTTCAAACGTAGGTTACACTCTCCACGAATTTTATCAGTTGTTTTTTTACTTTCGAGAGAAAACTATCGAGCATATCAAACACGAGTTCGCTTGATGCGTTGAAATCACAATTAGATAGACGAGAAATAATTACTATGCAATATCTACGCACTGCAAGTGTTTCCGCTGACTACTGAATCAGCTGTTGGCAATCGCTCAACTGCACAGCGCTTTTATATATACATACACATGTAAACATTATTCTCTCCTTTTCTCTCTCTCTCTCTCTCTCTCTCTCTCTCTCTCTCTCTCTCGCTCTGATAATAGAAACCATTATTAAGCAGAAATTGTGATACACATAAATTTTGAATATAATTATATATTCATCTCTCTCTCTCTCTCTCTTTCTCTCACGAAGCATACTTTATATAACATGTGATTGATAAAAACACAAATTATTTACATTTATTTTAGATTATTTAGAACATAATGTCTATGTGATAAATTAAATATGATCCATATAATATTATTATGATCCATATAATGATATAATATTAAAACTCAATACATATTTAAAATAATTACATATTTAAAACATATACATATTTAAAACAATTTAAAACAATTGTTTTAAATACATATTTAAAACAATTTAGGATACATATCAGATCACTTTTAAAATTTTTCTTTAGAAAAATAGGAAAATAATATTTTTCATTGCTGTTATTTTTAAAACAATAATAAGAAATGTTATATATGTTGTTTATTTGTTTAAAATATTAAGAACACATTTTAAAAGATATTGTGTTTTCTTTTTTTTTGCAAGAACAAGTCTTTCGAATCAACTCTATAAATGGATATAATATTTTGAATTATTTTATAATGAGACAATTTATAAAAGTTATATAAAAATTAAATAATAATGATATATCAAATCATATAAATATATTATATATTATATATGAATGTTTTAAAGAGACTTTGAAACGTCTTTAAGTTATTTTTTAAACGTCTTTTAGATGCCTCAATACTGTCTAGACATATGTGCTGTCGAGACATACAAAGAAATATAAAAAAATATTGAAATGACATTTAATATTTTCCAAACGATTGTATGATAAAAAATGACTTCAATTTACATATGAATATAATATTAACTTATGCTTTATACGACGAGTATACGAAAGGAATATTTCAACTACACGACGGGGAATATTTTAGTTTGATTAAAATCACTATATCATCGAATAACGAGGCAATAAAATAAGAACAATAAAAGAGAGAGAAAGAGAGTATTTACTTCGAGATAATCATTATCATACTTATCATACTTTTATTATTTTGTAATAAAAGATCATCGCGCACCGATTATATAATCAGCTAACGACACAATCTTATTTTTCAGATCGCGACATCGCGTACGATCATGCGCAATCGTAACAATCAGCACTATTATAGCTGCATTAGTGATCGCTGTAATCGCTCTGAGTGTTTCCGGCACTTCGCAGAGCGACGAATGCCCGCCCGACCCGGAAAGCGTGCAGCCGCCGTCGTGGAGCAAGTTGCGGACCTTTAAACGCGGCGCCGTTTGCGCGGATGGAGCGCCGTGCGCTGTCATCGGCAAGTAAGTTTCGCGCGCGCGCGAATTTTTAAATTCGATAACACGGACGCGAGAAGTCGCAGTTAGTCCAGGTAGAACATGAGACTCATAATGACATCATTATGACGTCATCATGATTTGATTTATCAATTAAAGGTTACCTAAACGAAAATGATTAAAAAATGAGTTAAAGATGAGAAAAAGAATCATAAATTTTTAGGTTCCATAATCGCATTATATAATTTTAAAAAGATTATGTTGCTTAAATATAATTAAAATATACATGAATAATTAAATAAACAAGTAATTGCGTAATATATATAAAAAATGATATTAATAAGTCACCAAAACATTGCCAAAAGTATATCAAATGAGATCATTATGATTTTTCTAAAATGACTTTTAGGTAACGTCATAATGATGTCATTGTGAGTTTCATGTTCTACCTGGGCGGTCCGTCTCTTTCACGAGGGAAAAGCAAAAGGTAAAAGACAGGGATCTCTTTCAGAAACATCTTGGAACAGAATGGATCGGCGGTGGACGCTGCCCTGGCCGCCTTGATATGCAACGGACTCGTCAACATGCAAAGTCTAGGATTCGGCGGCGGATTCATGATGACCATCTATCGAAGATCCACGCGTCAAGCTTTCGTCCTCAATGCCAGGGATCGCGCACCTTTGGCAGCCAATTCTACGATGTATAAGGACAAGCCAAATGCGTCTTTTTACGGTAAACCTTAATACATAATTTTCTATCTCATATAAAAGTGCCTTTATGGTGTTATTGATTGACTGTCTTATTTTACCTTAATTTATCTATTTAAGACTTATGAATTTTTTATTTTGACAGGCGCACTGGCAGTCGCAGTTCCTGGTGAATTAGCTGGCTACTGGGAAGCTCATCAACGATTCGGTAAATTGCCATGGGCGGATTTGTTCAAAGAAAGTATTGAGCTCTGCGAAAAGGGCTATGAAATGACAGTGGCGCAATATGACAGCCTTGTGTATAATAAGAGAAGCATTTATAACGATCCAACTCTAAGGTATCTGTCAAATATAAATTATATAGAATAAAAATATTATAAAATATTTTATGTAATAAGTATTATTATATACGTGTGTGTATGAATATGAAATATCTTTTGAATCTTTTAGAGAATTGTTTGTCGATCCTGCGACTAACAAATTCCGTAAAGCAGGATCTTCCATTAAACCCCGCGCGCTTTGCGAAACGCTGCGAATCATCGCCGAGAAGAATGCGACCGAATTTTATAACGGCACGATTGGGCGAAATCTCGTCGAGGATCTGCGCGAACAGGGAGGAATTATAACGATGAGGGACCTTAATGAATACAGGTAATCAGGGAATTATTGCTACGCTTCGAATATTGTCTTAAAAAAAAAAAAAACCATGTCTTCCTCATTCTCTCGCAGAGTTTCATGGGATCAACCGATACAAACGAATCTCTCGGACGACATAAAACTCTTTACTACAGGATTGCCCGGTAGCGGAGCTGTTCTGTCCTTTATCCTCAACGTCCTCGACGGCTACGGCTTCACACCGGCTAGCATGATCGATTTTAACACGACGATCCTCACGTATCACAGAATGGTAGAGACCTTCAAGTACGCATACGCGCTAAGGACGGATCTAGGCGATGGAGCTTTCGTCGATATGACCGAAGTAATAAATATAAAAGATACAATTCATAATAAATATGAAGATACAATGCTTTCTTTCTCTCGAAATTTTAATATCTGCGTACTGTAATTTGATTCAAGATAATTAAAAACTTGACGTCGAGCAGCTTTGCACGCGCGATACGAAAAAAAATAAGCGACGAGAAAACCTGGCAGGATCCGCAACAATATGGCTCTTCCATCCACGCTGGTGCCGAGGATCATGGCACCGCACACGTATCGGTGCTGACGGAAAACGGTGATGCTGTGTCAGTTACCAGCACTATTAATTATTAGTGAGTAAATTTTCACTCTTCGACTAGTGTGTTTATTTGCGGGATCGCTAGATTTTTCCCTGTACGCCTTTGTATCTGATAATCTTGCAGTTTTGGAAGCGGAGTAGTCAGCAGGAGAACCGGCATTGTATTGAATAACGCCATGGACGACTTCGGCATTCCGTCGAGGATCAATTACTTTGGCGTACCGCCCAGTCCCAATAATTACATCGCACCTAAGAAGCAGCCATTGTCCTCGACGGTGCCATCCGTGCTCGTCGATCGGAACGGCGACGTCAAGATGGTTGTGGGTGCAGCCGGTGGCACCAGAATTACCACTGCAGTGTCTCAAGTTAATATTTTAATTTAAAAGCTTAATCAAGAACTTCTATCTACTCTGGCATCTATACATAACATTGTATTTAATGAAGCAACGGATGATTATCATGTTTTCTTATTCTCTCAGGTGATTGCGAAGATCCTTTGGATGAAACAGACAGTCAAAGAAGCCGTGGACTCGGCGAGGATACATCATCAGCTGTTTCCACCAGTGATAGCTTACGAGTACGGAGTTCCTAAGCAGGTGATCGACGGCCTGAAGCGTCTAGGACACACCACGAAACGCTACAGAGAACGTGGCAGCGTAGTTTGTGTGATACTTTACGAAAATTCCACAATCTTCGCGAACGCTGATTACCGCAAAGGTGGTGATGTTTACGGAATTGAGTGATGTACGTGTCGTAGATATTCCATTACATCCTCTTGCAAGTGCGAAACTTTTCGTGAACCGGCTTTGCCTAAACAATCGTCGATTATCTCCTCGCGATTATTATAACATTAATGTATACGTGATCGATCATGTTATCACATTCGCGTGTTTTTAAGATCGCTACGCTGATATTATTCAATACAATCTTGATACGTTCCTCGCTCATCATCTATGCATTGATTACATTCTTCCTTCCAACTTCAGTATTTTTTTCTCGAGTTTATCATACTCTTTTGAACTTTTGTAAGAGATATTTAGATGTACAAAGGACATAATGTAAATGCACGAAAATTAACGAGTTCAATTTTGATCATATAGAAATATATATATATATATATCCTTTTTATACGATTCGATTTTTAACATATAACATTGATACAATTCGCTTCGCGAGACGTGATGCTTATTGAACACTTCCTTGTTGCGCCTTTTATATAAAGTTTTGACATCTCTCTCAGCATTACTTCCTATTTTAAATTACTTCTCATCATCTGTATCATCTCATCTGTCACTTCCATGCAATCTTAAGCTAATCTCCTGTACCGTATGAAATGTTTCAATAAATTTTTCTATAATCTTATCGATTATTTTGATTAAAAAGTGTATTTTAATGATCCGATCAAAAAAATTCTCTGCATACCTCTCCTTTCTCTCCTTCATTCTTCAGAATTCACAGTTTTCTACGTCGTGGACTGCGTTGAAAGCATCATGCAAATATAAAATATTGCATTAATTATTCCCCTACTATTATACAATGAAACCTGTTTCCAAAGTTGTCTAGGAGGATTCTCGGCTAATCGTTATTCGAGACCACAACCGGCTTAATACAAATGTCTTATCAGGATCAGATCGCGATCAACGGTACTTTTCGCGCTCGATATTCTTTCGCAATGTCATTGTCGTCATTCTTTGGATCGTGGCTTCTTTTGCGCAGCAACTTTGTTGTAAGTTAATAAGAAAACTGAAGTGAGAGATAGAGAGAAACATAGCTAGACTTTGTCTTTCGCTAACTTTGTAAAAATATAGTATGTTCCACAAGCTATAATTAAACGTCCCGTGGTGAGGGAACACGATCACGTATTTCGCGCCCAGTCGGAATATAATTCGTCGTCAATGCCCGGCCTTGAAAGTTACATTGCGCCGTCATCGAAAAAAAAATTTGCTGTTTTGAATTATAACGTCATACTCAGGCACGACGCTTAATGATAAAGATCTGAAATATAACGACGTATCGTTAATATTTTGGATAAGAAATCGAATAAATATTTAACATTTTCACTTATTATTGTAACGCTTATCAAAATAATGACTATCGGAGATTATGTATCTGATATTTGCGCATTTATATTCGTTGCAAAAACACACACAGCTGTAAAATGATTGTAAAAATGATCCAATCTTTCTGTAAACGGCGATATTCAAATGAGATATCAAAAAGAATACATTTATTAATTTTACTGCCTTTTCATCGTTATCTTACGAAACAATTCGCTTATTTATTATTAATTCGGGATGAAACTTTATGACTCTTTTTGCCGATTTTTTAAACTCGCATGCATAAAGAAACAAAGCAATCAGACTTTGCTGTCGCATCGACTGAGAATGGCGATAATTCAAGACTACATTGTTATTTCCAAGGCTTTGAGAAATTATTCAATCTAGAAATTTTGTCGGTGGCGTGACGTGTCTTTATGCTCCGATAGTTTCGCTCAAGATATCGTACAGTGTAGAAACGTGCTCGACTGATACAAGCTTTCCCCTCTGCGTATCCGATATATATTCATACATCCTACTCAAGAATGTATAAAATCGGTGAACGTAACGACAAATATTCTGCGAGATATTTATGTCTTCTTTACGAGAGTTTTGCTGCGCCTTTACATGATAGAATATAAATTTCACACTTTGTTTACGAACGATCACCTTGACACTCTCGTTATCAACAGTACAAATGTAATTTTTTTTGACTGTACAAACAGCTGATTTGTTTTCATTTCCTTGATTCTTTCGAAAATTTATTTTATCTTAACGGAATACAATGGAACACAACGAAATAAAATATAATGTATGCTTGGGTGATTACAATAGAATAAAACGAAATAAAATACAATGTATGCTTGGGCGCTGTACGATACTCCTTTGGAAAATATTCTTTCTTGAATTGTAAAGTATATAAATAACGCAAAATATATCGTTTCATACAGAAAAGTTTTGTTCAAAAATCAAACGTTAATAAACTTAGCTAGCTTAGATAGCTTTATAGCAATATCAGCATTAGACATGCATAAAAGGTGAAGCACTATGATGAATTTATGCGTTGGAAATTTTTAGATTACAAATGTCTTGACAATAAATTAGCCACGTGAGTAAGTGACCGTTGGATGTAAAAAGAATGTTTTGTTATCATCGCAGTTAAATCGCACGCACGTCAAAGAAACAAGACAACTTCGACTATTAATACTGTCAACAACACACGAGAAACACACATCTAGACGTTTCGCGATTATATACGCCTCAGATACTATTGCTTATATGTTATACTAAATTGTCCAGGAAGTTATTAACGATTTTTGTTGTTTAAGATTTGATGCTTTTTTTCACATAAAGTTGTTTTTCCTTTATATCTATGTTATATACATGTTAGATTTTAAAACGCTTTACATTTTGATAGTAATAATTGTTTTTAATTTTAATTTGTGTTTTATTAATAATTGTGTTTTTGATATTGGTTTCTGTTTTAAGAAATTGCAATAACTTTCTGGACAATCAAACGAGATAATCTCAAATATTGTAAACTTTTCTCTAAACATTCTTCAAACATTCAGAATACTTAATAAATTTTTATAATAATATTTTAATTTTACTTAACAATTTTCTTTCTTGCAGATCTCGATACTTCATTATATTTATATATAGAAATTTTAGTCAATTTATATTGATACAATTATTTTAAATGAAGCATGCGCAAAAAATAAATGCTAAAGTTTTTATAAAAACATATGAAATTACACCTGAGTACACAACTGTCGGTGATGTATCTAACTGACAACACGACATGCATATGTGTTCTTACTTTTACGCATTTAGAATTCGCTTTTGATTACATTTAACTATCGTCTCATTCATTCTTAATGTTTCACTCGAAAAAATTATCGAATATACATATTCGAAACAATCGATTCGCCAAAACATTACGTAACAAATTGTATTTATTTATCTATAATTGAGATCAATCAAATCACTCTACGAAAGTTGCATAAATTTGACCAAGAAAGTCAAGTCAAGAAATCAGACTTCTCGATACGTTATCAAAGCTATATCAGGAGACTTGCGGATCAATGTAAATATTTTGTGTCAAGTGGAAGTCAGATTTCTTTTTACATTTTTCGAATTATCTAAAAATATTATCAAACTCGCAAAAAAGTTACAAAGATACATTTTATTCGACTTTGGAATAAAATCTCAGAAAGATACGCAAAAATTACGAGAAAATTAACACGTTGTAGCAAGAGGAGATAAATTCGGAATGAATTTATAGACGAAAATATCTTCGGAGACATGTGTCAGAGTTGAATCGTTCAGGTCGGCGACAAGACCGGCTCTCCGATGGTCGTATTTCGCACACCACGCACGCGCAAACCTGGTGACATATATAAACTCGGGACGGCGAACGCGCCGTAATCAGTATCGAATCGATCCTCTTCGGTGGAAGGTGATTATTTGACATCGTTTTTTCTTTTGCGTTGTCGCACGGCGACCTGTTTTCTACGAGCTCTAAGAATCCAATCGCGAGAGCTATGTCTGAGGCGTACTTCGACGAGTACGAGCACTTCAACTACTCTTATGACAAGCACATTTTCACCGCGCACGGTGGAAAGCAGAGGAGCAAACGCGAAGCCGTCACACATACCAATCACTTTGACCCGAGCGGCCATTCCAGAAAGATCCTCACCAAGCTGATGAATACTGAGCATAACAAACGGCAGACCGGCAAGAACAAGGTCTAATCTGCGAAGGTGAGGCACTCGCTACCTTCTGCCTTTTAAGTCTCATCGCGTCGTTGGCCTCGTTCAGATACCTTCTCCTCGCATTTTCTCAATACAAGAAGCAATTTTATTGCTTTGTTCCCGAGCAAGAATGACGCAATATTCTTGTGTTATCTCAAAGAAAAAAATTAAATAATCTGAAACATATTCATCTCTCCGATCAGTGTTGCTAAACTGAATGAGAATTCATTTTTCATTTTTTTTACACAAAACTCTATTATTCTTGACAATTTGATAATATTCTGTTTATAAATTCATGTATTCTCGAAGGAAGAATATAATAATGCAAATAATGGAGATAATCTTGACTATATTCAATTACATTTATTTCTTTTTGTTTTGTGCGGAGTAGTTGCTTGTCGTAGTCATAGTTTAATTTTTTAACAGTTTATGAAAACTTTAAAAATTAAATTTCGCTTGACGTGACACTTTGTATCGCTTGTTTTTCCAGATTATCGTACGTGTCGATTCGCAATATTGCGTCTTATTTTTCGTTATCGGTGTCCATTATCTCGCAGGCGATGACTCATATGACACACGCATACACTTGTGTATTTATTTTTTTTTCCTTAGCTAGTATACTTACACATTGCGTAATACGCGTTTCAAGATATTCTATTTTTGTTGGAAACATTTTGAAAACAATTAATCATTATCCTCAATATTTTTCCAATACTGTTTACGTATTGCCTCAATTTTATTTTTCATGTTTCAATCTTTGTGATTCCAGATTACGCACGTTCCTATCTTCGTTGTCAAGTTGGATCTCATCTCACAGGACTTACCTATCGCCTAAAATGACTGGAATAAGAAAGAAATATGCGTTATACCGTCGAGAAATTGCATTTAGCAGTAGATTCTTATATAATTCTCAAACGGATCGGAGCACGGTAGCTTGTGCTCCACTTCATCTTCATTTATATGTTAGAAGCACGGATCCCCACGTTATTTATAAGAGTACAAAGTAACGTACATCGTACTTCGATTACTGCTTATTTCGTATGAATCTGAAATATGACTTTTTTGTCATTTTTATATATACATATATATAACATAGTACGATGATATTATTGTGTGTATCCAGAAGTATAACGCTCACTGAACCGCTAAGTAACAGTGACTAATGAATTCAAAAATAAAAATCACATTTGATTGTTACTTAGCCGCTCAATGAGCGATCATGCTTCTGGATGCACTCATTTGTATTGATTTTCGTGTGCTATTATATTAAATGATTTTATTAATATAAGCTATGGTTATATAATTAAACTTGCTTTTTTTTATTCCTATATCATTAGATTTAAATGATCGGTAAATCGTTAACTAGAGTTTTTTTTTTTGGTGCGTGTTTTCGCGCACGTCGCATACGAGCAATTATCGCTAATCGAATGAGATATATGTCTTTGTTATCGTTCGTTTCTTACGACGAATAAGAATTGTATCGCGACGTGTTGCAGAAAACACTCACGCAAAGAGAACTTTGATAAGCTTCAATCAACTCGAGAATATACGATATTTAATCAGAATATGATGTTTAATCAGGACGCAATTCTCGCATATTGTGATTGATATACATCAATCAAAATCACTAGATATTTCAAGTTTTTTGCGATGAGAAAATCATTTATTATCGTGTATTGATATAAACATCAGAATATAATTGTATTGAAAAAAATTATGAAAATAAACATTTGTAGCTAATGAGAATGCATTTTTATTCATTGTTGAGAAGAAAGAATATTTCATGCTGTATTTTCTTCTCTTATTATATATAAATAAATTCTTCTTTCTTTACTTATTATCATTATATCAATTATTATTATATACTATAACTAATCTGGATTCTTATCATTTCTATCATGTAATTAGTAAATAAAACAGATTTGCATGTCCAAAAGAAAATAAAAATGTAAACCAATTGCACCAATTATTATTTACGATGTGTTTTTGTTAATAATTAAAAATAAATTGTTTACTGGGAATGTGATATATAGTTTGTATATCAAGACTAGTTTTTAAACAATTAATATAATTAGTAATAAAAATATTTGGATACCTGAGTATATATTGACAGCGTTAATAATAGATGTTCTTATTAAAGGAAAGGAGAGGTTCACTGGTAATCACATTATTTTATATTTATCGAAATCCACTTCCTGCCTTAAAATACCAGTCAGAATAAATTCTGTAGACTGTATAGTAACAGTCTTCGGTGCTTTCGCAAGAAATTTTCTCGCACTTGACAAATCTTCTTCGCGAGACATTATCATCGCTTTTTCGGGCCATTTACTTGGTGGACGTAATAGAGCTTTTCCTCCACAAGACATTATCATATCTGTAATATAATGTCTCATGTAAATCTGTTACATCTGTTTTATATAACGGCTTAAAAATAACAAATATATAAATATATATATATATATATATATATATATATATATAAAAAATATATAAATGTAAATATATAATATAAAATATATAATGTAAAAATATGTATGTCTTAAAGAATTGCCTTTTAATTCTTCTATAGGTGGTGGTGCAATATTTGGTGTCAATATAATGGTATATCCATCTAATAATTTTTTCTCCTTAGCCTTATCAAGACTTTTTCTCAATCTGAAACCAAACTTGGCTTCAGCGACAGGGTCTTTTAGTATGTAACCTTCCCAATCCAAAAATTGTCCTGCTGATTCACTATCTCTTAACCAATCTATCGTCACTATGGGTATACCCTTTGCCAATGCACATAAGAATTTATACGTTCTGCGAACTTTGTCAGTAACCAAAACATTGCACTTTGCCGGATCTTCCACTTTGTTTCCACCTGTAAAATAATTGTTGACAATTGTTAATAATATTATAAATTTTCTAGAATTTTTTAATTTATTACTTACCTAATGTTTTAACAATCTTGCTGTAGTCCTCCGTTATACCTGTAAACAAAATTCTGTGTCCCGCAACAGATAGTGTGGAATTCAAAACAGATGCACTCCTACGCATCCTAGTGGAAGGCGTTGATAGAAGAGAAGTTACTTCTATACTTGTATTCATCATTGAAGAGACACTGTTATTGGCCGTTCTACGCATATTTCGAGTTATTTCTACCTTTTCCTTCCTCCTCGCACCTGCTGTTTTTGATCTTGAAGATCTAGAACTTGACAAACTGTCACTTTCTATACTATTTTGGCTGCTTTCACTGGTTATATTTTCTGATGAGGAATCAAAGACCGAATTTGCAGAATTTTGATTGATATGAGTAGGCTTCTTAAATGTTTCCTTCTTTTCCAGAGTTTGTGTCTTTGCTGCAGAACTTTTGGTAAATCTTTTGCGACTTTTAACTTTTGATGTGGAATTATCAGATTGTGTATTATTAGAATCATCTATAGATGACGTATTACTCTCAGTTAAAGCTGAATCTGTTTCAGTATCTGCAATGAGTTGTTTCTTGTTTCTGATTCTTAATTTTCTTTGAAATATTTTTGCAGTATTAGTTTCTCTAATTGACAAATTCTTGTCCTGCACATTATTTAAACTTTTTCTCATAATCATTTCCACTTCTTGTGATTCATCTTCTATAGGACTTCTTATTGTAGGACTTCTTATCGGACTAAGTACAATCTTTAGTATACTCTTGTGTTGTGATAGATATAATTTAGTCTGTGTTGTGTTAGATTTAATTTCCTCTTGCGCTTGGACTTGTTGGCTGCTATTACTACTTTTCTTCGCAGTTCTTCGCAGTTTAATATTGGATCTCCCAGAATCCACACTTTTATTAGTTTGTAAATCCACACTTTTATTAATTTCTAAATTTAAGGCTTTTGAACTTTCTGCAGTTTCAGGTACTGTTTTATTATCTTGGAAAGACTTTCCAATCACCGGGGAATTTTCGCGTGAGCTAGTTTTAGGAAAATAATCAAGAATATTTGGAGATTGCCTGTCAATAGCTGTTTTCATCATGTTTCTTCGAGCCCGTGTAAGAATCGGACGTTCCTCGATGATTTGATGTGCTTCATGTTTCCTCAAATTCGTCTGTTCAGCATCTTTCTCAATCGTGCTAAGAGTTCTCTTTCTCCTAGTGACAATAGATCTCGTTTCTGGTTTCATAGATTTATCGTAAGTCGTATTTTCCATGTGAGCTTCTTTGCACGATACATTCAAACTCTCATCATTTTGTTTACTGGATTGTCGCGTCACTCGTGAACTTATCTGTAAACTTTTCAATTCATCGTCAGTATCTTGCTTCAAATCCTTCGACAGATTAAGCGATAAACGCAATAAACTTTTCTTTTTGTTGGATTTATTTTGTTTATCATGCTTCAGGCAATCGAGCTCATTATTTAATCTGTCTGCCATTTGTTTGAATCGTTTATAATTTGCTTCACTGTCAGAGTCCTCAGAGGTGTCGACAAATTGTGTTGTCACTTTATTAGTCTCAGGAACATCGCAATTGGGCACATCATTATCAAATAGCGAAACTGATGGTTTATCGTGTATTTCGTTCAGGCTTTTGTCCTTTTTAGAATCTTCAACATCTTGCTTGTACAGTAATTTATTCTGTACAATCTTTTTATTTCCATCTTTTACAATGTCTTGTTTAGATCTGCCGCTACATTCAGTCAACGTTGATGTTGCAGAAGGACTCGCTGGATTTGAAAGCGTCCCCGATATTCTAGCAGGTGGTAAACGTGCTAGAATGTCATCGTCGCTCTCATTCATGTCCGATGTTTGTGTACGTCTTACATCTGCCAATGGACAAGGTGCACAAACATCGGACTCACTCCCCGAGTCCTTTTCTACATCATCAACTTTGACTTTGTTCGGATTATTCCTCAAAACTCGTTTGTCCGTTTTCGACGCAGATGCATGTTTTCTTTTCATCGAACGTCGAAGATTTTTCTCGTTGTTCCCGTTCGAGATAGTTTCGATTACGTTATCGTCGTTTAGAGCATCTGTCATCGAATCGGATTCATTTCTTGATTTTGAAATCTTTTTTCTTCTTTTATTAGATTCTGTAGATGTATTATCTTTAATCTTTTCATTATTTCTTTTAGATATTAATGAAGTATTAGAATCTTGATGAGAAGGAATTACATTCTGGAGCATGGAATCTACAAGCTCCTGTGTTTCTTTCAGAATATTTCTTTTGCGTTTTGTAGTAAGAGTAGAAAAATAAGTATCTGAATTTTGCGAATCGATCTCCGCATTATTTACATTATTCGTTTCGGTATCTGCTAGCTTACGCTGAGATTGATCACAAGCCCCACGATTTTTCTTTTCTAATTGCGTTTGCAATATGCTATCTTTAAGTGAACTTTCATTTACAGTGTTAGCAGATAAATTGTTGTCATACTGTGATGATTCCAGAATATCTTCGAGGGCCTGAGTCGACATGTGTGTTGGCTCGTGAATGCTGTTATTTACATTATCAAACATTTCATGAAGTTTTTGTTCCACACTATCAATCTCTTGAAAAGATTCTCCAGATTTTTTACAGCCAGCATGTTTCTTTCGTCCATCCTCGATTGGGTTATTACTATCATTAATATTTGTCAAAGATTTGTTTATCAGATTGTCTTGATTATGAGTGTTTTTATTATTATTAATAATCTGTGTCGGCGCCATATCATCAACATCAACGTTAATTTTCGATAATTGATTGACTGACGAGTTCAATGTATTCTTAACTGCAGGACTATTGGATTGTTGTGTTAATGCATCGAATAAATCTTCAGATTCAACACTCGTGCCTGGATCATTTCTATTACTTATATTGTCGTTGGAAGATTTATCCGAAATTTCTAAAGATTTGCACTGCTTTTGAACAAATTTTTCGGAATGTTCCTCTGTGTCCTTTTCCAGATCACCATCGATGTTTTCTCTTGATCCATGTTTTTTCTTACATATTATATCTTTTTCATTGATTTCGTTCGGTCTCTCTTCAAACTCGTGAACGCGTTGCGTGAGAGCATCAAAAATATTGTCTTCATCATGGTTCGATACATTTTCGACATTATTATCTCTTTCCGATGAAGTTTTCGCATGTGATTTTGGTGTAGATGTGTTAGGCACTCGTATTGTTTCTCGTTTATCGATGCCCTCGCCAAAGTATTCCAATAAATCTGATGATTCGAGCAAATGATCGCTATGCTGTGTCAAGGAAAGGCAATCTTCATCTACTCCTGGTGACGATAAATTCAAAGATCCAGGACTACTAGATCTGGAATTGGATGATGGTGCAACATTATCATAATTGATTTTGGTCTTAACAGTTTCTATCATGTTATCTTTATCTTTTTCCTTATCATCATTAGTTCTATTTACAGTTTTTGATGTGTTATCTTTATCAGTATCTTTAGTAGTTCGATCATTATTGATATCATTTACAATGTCATCTGTTTCAAGTTGTCTTTTTACATGAAGTATTTTTCTGGTTGCATTTAGTTCAGGTTGAGTTTCTACATTGGATATGTCTTCTGCAATATTTTTATCATTGAACTTTTGCGTTTCTAAATCATTAATATTATCGATTTGATCTAAGTTTTTCTTTTGATTATTTTTATCTATTTTGGACTTTTTCGTATCTTTGTTAGTATCATCAATATAATTTTGCGTTTCCACATGAATATCTGTTACAAACCTGTTCAGTGTTACATTCCAAATATTATCTTTGCTCTTTTGAGTCTTTGATTCGTTAATATAGCTCTCATAATGTTGAGTTTCCATATCATGAATATCTATCGCAGAAGTATTAGCTATTTCATCTTGGACATTTAGCTTGGTTTGCTTGTTAGCTTTAGTATTTGCTTGAAAATGTGTCGACGTATCCATAGGAATTATTTGCGTCTCTATATCATGAATAGATTTTGATGTCACCATTTCATGTTCTAATTTTTGCGTTTCTATATCAAATATACTACTAAGTTCTCGGTTTTCACTAATGTCAATATTGGAGGCACGCAATTCAGTAACAGTTTGTAAATCATCGCTTTCACTAGAAGATGCATGAGAAGTATTCTTTTTACCAATGCTTGACTGACGTTGTTGTGGAACTTGTGGCCGTAGAAAAACGTTGTTCTGTTTGTCTTTCTGTGTTCCAAGGATAACGGATCCATCACTGGATGAATTATTCTACAAAAATAAACAAATGCATTAATTATACGAATATCATATCAGATGATAATCAAAATATTTACGAGAGACGAATCCGGAGTGCTCGGAATTATTCTATTTGTAACTCTTCTTTGCGATGGCGCAGGTGTTTCTGGTATCACCATCGGAGGATATGCGCGATAAGTCGCATCCACTGTACCAAATGTAATGATACTTCCATCCCTGACTTCATATAAACGATTGGGTAGCAATATTTTCTGTTAAAAAAAGAATGCAATTGATTAGGAGCAATTAAATTGCCAAACTTTTAGTTTTACGAATTGTTAATAGCGATTTGAAAATTTTTATAATTTGTTCTTCAGTTTTAGTTGAAAGAAAAGCACATATGCCACTTGATGGAATAATTTATATAATAAAAATATATTTTTTTTTAATATTTCATAAGATAATAAAATTAAAAAATTTAATTTATTCAATTTAATGCATACATGCAATACAAAAGCAAGAAAATGATACTGTGTCTATCCTACATTAATTCTGAAATATCTCTTGTATTTTCACAATCATATATATAGTGATAAAAAGTACACACTACATAATCAAATTTCCATTTAATTATTTTTATTATTTTCTTGTTGTTTGTATGTAATGTTTATTTATTATTAAAGAAAGATTATCTCTCTCAGAAAATAGGTGATCTATACAAGTATTCATTTCAGGTATATCATTCACTGCAAAAATAAATTACATTTTTATAATTATTAATAAAGTATATTTTATAATTATTAATAAAGTATGAATATAATTGAACAAATCTTGTTTTCATTTTGTGATACACTCGAATAAACAAGATCAAATATTTAAATATGCAAACATGCTTCAATTTATTAAGCATAATTCAATTATCTTAGAACATGTAAACAGGATTATATAATAACAAACTCTGTTCAAATATAGCGTAAAAAGCGAAATAATATGAGGCATAATAATATAAACTGAATGTAAATAATAAAAATGTATAGTGTTTATTACATCACCAAGCTTCGTTTTGTTGGAGGAATTGAGATCGCAAATCCAAATACTTGATTCTTGATTTCTCATAGCTTCGATCTCTGCATGTATTTTTGACACTGTCTGAAAAAAATTCAACATTAGGTTTACTTAAAATTTATTTTACCTTGTTTGGTTAAAATAAAATAAAATATACACAAAAATGTTAATTCTATCTCATATGTTTCAAATTTATTTTATTAATTTGTCATTTATAAATTCACTACTTATTTCTACATATTTTATTCAAATGAAAAAAGTTTAGAGAAAATATATCTCATGATGAGAATATTCTTTCAGAAAGTAGATTGTTAAATATTTATCAATTCAGTCTGTTTTTTTAAAAAATAAGTATTAATTATTATAATTAAAACATATACATTAAGAATACGCTGTTTTCTTCATAATGACTTTATTTAATTTATTAAATAATTGCATTAAGTAATTGCATTTATCTAATTCTTCTTACATATGTATGAGTGTGTATGTATGAGAAATGAGGACAGTTAATAATATAAACAATATAAATAATTAGCAATTAACACCAGAGAAATGCTCATTCACAATAGTTTCTGCAAAAAATAACATGCTACAGAAGATAATAAGGCTATCAATTCCATTTTTTTAGACTTAGCCAATATAAACAAGGCTGCTCCAAAATTCAAGACGCCTTATTATTATAATTATTTCTCATATAGAGAAAGTTTAACAAAGTTTAAGCGACATCCTGAGTACTGAATATTACGCTAAATATATCTTAAAATTTGGAAATTTGCTTATAAAAAGGAAAATTATATTTCAAGAAGAAAAGTTTTATAAATATTATTTCCTATTTGTAATTTAGGGATCTGCCATGGCAATGACATATGTAGCGTTAAATACTTCTTAGGTAGATCCAACAGAAATGCACTAGAATAGCAATATGTAGAAATTATTAATTGATTTTTATGTATCTATTGTCACAAATGGATAACACAAAAGATTCACATATTGTACACATATCAATACTCATTCTTGAACTTTTTTCAAAATTGCAAAAATGGTTAATGTAGAACAACCAAAATTAGATCCTTCAAAGAAGGAACTTCTTTATCTGCATATTGCTAATCCTAAACATGGATAATATTGCTAATTTGGTAAGAAAAATTTTCAATTATTAAGTTTAGAGAGTGTTAAGCACATAAAAAAATAGGAAAGAAGAGCTTTGAATAATTTTGCAGAAAAATTCAATCTTTTCATCTAAATTTTATTTAATAAATTTTTAATAAGATATAATGCTATTTAACTTTGAATATAAGTTTGATGAGTGATCGATAAGTAAAATTTTTTGCAAAATAAATAACTTTCTACTTGAAGAACAATATTCAATTAATTTATATCGTGAAAGATGTAACTTTAAAACTTACCACATTGTTTATAACTATATCGCAGGTATTATGCCTACCAATTTTTGTGATCCCTCCTTTAATCTGATATTCATTAGAATTGATATTTAATGTTCCAACCTAAAATAATTGTTTAACAAAATATTATATTGATGTTTCATTAAAATTAATTATTGTAAATAATTTATCATTTTAAAGAATATCAAATATTAATCATTCAACTGATAAAGAGTAAAAAACTCGATAATTGAAATTTACAATTAATAATCTACTCCAATTACAAATTTATTAAAATCCAATGATTTAATGAAATTATTGCAACTTCTTATATCTAATTACGCTATAATTTAAGAATTAATTCATGTTTCAATTAACAATTAATAATTTTTTTGTTCTTTTTCCTCCTTTTTGTATTACATCATTAAAATGTAATTAGAAAAAATCTATTAAATATATATGTTTACCTGTATCTGTTCATCTTCCTCAGTACATGAAATTTTTTGAGTAGGCAAAAGCTCGTCATCCTCATAGATTTGTGTGGCCTCAAACTCCATCGTTATCAGAAATTGTTTATATCAATAAGCTTACACTCAGCGTCGATAAGAAGAATCTATCATCAAAATTCGAAACATGAACGTGACATAACCTCTAATGCGGACTGACTTAAAAATTTGCAAATTGTTAGGTAAACATGGTCATAAGCGTGAAGCGGAAAAATATAAATATAAACATATAAATGCTTTATAAGTAATAAACGCAAAATAATTAATATTAATACAAAAGACAGCATACTTTATACTGACATTTTCTAAACAATCGACTGATTGTACAGTCGAATGTGATTCTTCCCGCCATAACACGCCATACACCCTATGAATGTGTTCGTAAATCCCGTCCAATGAGAAGAGATGTCAAATGCCAAATGCGTAGTAAATTGTGTAGAGAAAATATTATATAATGCTTATGGATCAAATCATCTTTAAACAATATTATATAATGCTTATGGATCAAATCATCTTTATGTTTATACGTTATGCAAACTTGTTCGAATATAGCTTAAGGCATGCGTCTCTATACGTGCGATATAATTTTATTAATAAATTTTAATGATAATTCGATTAAATAAATTTTAATGATAATTCTATTAATAAATTTTAATAATCCATCATTGATTTGAATTAAACGAGTGATTAACAAGGTTTCCTGTTAAAAAAGCATGCAGCTGATTAAATAAATCAATAAAATCATAAAAATTCTTAGTTTTAATAAATTTTTAATCGGAATTTGAAAATTGTTCCTGCCTCTTCCTTTATAATACTTTAAAATTTGTCTTTCAATTTTAGTTCAAAGAAAAGTATATATACCATTTGATAATTTTTAATAAAAATATGTAATTTTTTAAAGTACAAGAAGTTAACATAAAAAGATAAAAATATATTTTCTTAATAATGAAAATACAAAAAATGTTATACATTTTGACTTTTGATCTCAAGAATCGTAATGACATAATATTTGTGTTAATATTATATCATCTTAATTAATTAAAACGATTTTAAATTTTTTAAAAATTTTGATTTATTGATAATTAAGTTAATACAATAAATAAATGTCATATAGAGTAAACAATTCACATTGGAAGTACTTTTATTATCTCAAAATTAATATATAAAAAATAAAAAAAACATGCAAAAAATAAAAAGCAAAAAATTTATACTAAATAAGATGATAATTTTAAAAAATAGGTAAGTGCTTATTAAATTATATATATTTGAAAAACATTTACATATTAGTCTTAAATTATCATCTATATATATATATATATGTATATATATATATATATATATATATATATATATATATAAATAGATATATTATTGATACAAATATTATATCCTTACGATTCTTGAAATTAAAAATCAAATTTATTGTTTAAAAAGGCTATTTTTTTTAAAGTAGCTGGTTTATACATTTCAAATATATGATTTTTATTGCAAAAATAAATTATATTATATATCATTTCTAAAAACCTTAAAAAACTGACTGAACGAATGTAATTGTAAAAGCGATTTGTTAAGCATAATTCTATTAAGTGATCATCTTTAAAGACGTAAATAGAATTATGCATATGTAAACATGTTTTCAGATTGTATGCAAATATAACATAAGAAGCAAAATGATACGAGAAGATAAGTGTAAATAATAAACATATCTATTTATTACGTTATTAAATTTCATCTCGTTGAAAGAATTCTGATTAAATCACAGATTTCAAATTCTTGATTTTTAATCTCTTATAATTTTAATCTCTGCATATATCTTTTGACATGGTTTGACATGGTATTTAAAAAAAAAATTAAAATTCAATATTAAATTTCATTAAGGTTTATTTTATCTTGTCTGAAAAAAATAAAAAAGTGCACATATAAAATGTTGAAAGATTATATATATCACGTTTTAAATTTATTTTAAATTTTCTTTTAAAAATTCAATATTTATTTCTACGTGATTTATTTATCAAAAAGTTTGAAACTATATCTCATGACGGAAACATTCTTTCAGAAAATAGGTAGTCAAATTTTTATCTTTAATCCAATTCATCTTTTTTCAAAAACATTAAAACGAAGATATTAATGATATTTAAAACGTACACGACATTTCGAGCAAGTGATAAAGCAAGTCATATACGCTATCTACTTTGATACTGACTTCAGACTTTATGATAGCTTTATAACGGCGCCATCTAATTTCCTTTAAAAATGTTATGAAACTATGTGGAAGATAAGCACAATTGATATGATATAACACAGTTGAACATTAACGAGCACAATAGACATAATATAGCACAAATGAATATAAATAACCAGCGACTAGCGTCGGAGAAGTGCCAGTTCGCAATGATTTCTGCAAAAGACAGCATGTTAGTAAATACCATGTTCATAAGACTACTGATCGTCCTGCTTTGTTTAAACTTAGCCATACTAGCAAATTCAAACGAGACTGCACCAAGAGTCAAAACTCCATTAGGAGCACTGAAAGGCTATTATAAAATATCACAAAATAGCAGAAAATACGAGGCATACGAAGGGATTCCTTATGCATTGCCGCCTATTGGAAAATTAAGATTCAAGGTATATGCATGTAATCTCAGCATAATTCTTGATTTAAATATTTTAGCATCTGTATTTCTCGAAATAACATTCCTTATAAAGTGCAACAGTATTCAATCGTGAAATAATAGATAATAATAATTTTACATTTGATCAAAAATGTTGAATATTCCGTCAATTACGTCTTTTCATTTAGAAACAATTTTTATCAACTTTTTCTCATATTAAATATTCATAAAAATTAAAAGTATTTTCTTTTCTCGATTTTTTTCTCGTAGCCTCCTCGACAAATACCGGCATGGATGGGCGAACTGTCGGCTACGAAATTCGGTTCTCCGTGCATTCAATACTCTCATTTTCCTTACGATCCTACGGAAAAAGTCGAGGGTGCTGAAGATTGTTTGTATTTAAATATTTATGTGCCAATACGAAAGAAGTCGGAAAACAAGACATCTATGCCAGTGTTGTTTTGGATCCATGGTGGCGGTTTTCAATTTGGTAGCGGTAGGCTTTATAAAGCCACATATTTGATGGACAGCGACGTCATACTCGTTACAATTAACTATCGATTGGGACCGATGGGTATGTAATAATATAAATGCATGTAATAATATCATATATGTAATAATAATATAATGGATATGTAATAACATAATAATATAAATCATATAAAATATATGAAATTATCACAGAATTTCATTTAAAAAAATTATTCAATATTAAAATTTATTTGTCCGAATGTTATAATGTAGATGATAAAAATTATTGTATGACAGAAAATTCATTGTTTCGCTTGTCTTTTCATGATTCAAAATTTTTGTTCTAAATTATCAAAAATATTAGGATTCCTCAGTACGGAAGATGAGGTAGTTCCTGGCAACATGGGTCTAAAGGATCAAAATATGGCACTTCGTTGGGTATCCGAGAATATCGAGTGGTTCGGTGGCGATCCGAACAGAATAACCTTGATTGGTCTGAGTGCTGGTGGTGCAAGTGTGCATTATCACTACTTATCGCCAATGAGCACCGGACTTTTCCAAGGTATTTTACGATAATACGCAGCCAACCCGAGATAACAGTAATTAAACTATTTCTAACTATACTACTAATTTTTGTACTTTGCATTTTATCGAATAGGAGGAATATCGTTCAGCGGAACAGCGTTCGATTGTTGGACACAAACTGAAAATGCTTTAGAGAAAACTAAAAAACTGAGCGCCTTAATGGGATGTCCTACAACTACCTCTAGAGACATGATACGTTGCTTGAGATATCGACCGGCTCAAGCAATAGTACAGGCTACAAGCGAATTTATGGTGAGACTCGTTTCGGGAAATTTTATAAAAGAAAACGCGATTTTTTCTCAACGCAAAAAGTAGAAAGTTCGTATATCCATGTTACAATTTTAGCCATTCTTCTTCAATCCCTTCACTCCCTTTGGGCCGGTGCCTGAAAAAGTCGGCGATGATACTCCTTTCATCGATAAGACACCAGTTGAAATCGTGAACAACGGTGATGTGCAGGATATACCTTGGATTACGGGAGTAACGAGTGAAGAAGGCCTTTATCCCGTAGCCGGTAAAATGAACATTCGGGATAAATAGAAAAATGTTTTTTTAAATATCTGTAGACTCTTATCGATATTAATTTATTATTGTAGAATTCATCGCTGGCAATGAAAATCTGAAACAATTAAACGACAACTGGGATCTTCTTGGTCCGCATTTTCTGGACTTTAATTACACCATCCCAAAAGAGAAGCAGGTGGAGATTGCTCGCCTCATCAAGAAGCATTATTTTGATACAAAACCAATAGACCAGACAACTACAAAGCAACTGATACAAATGGCGAGTGACCGCTTCTTCGTGGTCGATAGTCAGAAGGCTGCGCGAATGCAAGCCAAAGTAAATCAAAATCCAGTCTGGTACTATTATTTCACATACAGAGGAAATCAAAGTTTAAGTGATTCTATGAGCGGTACAACTAACAATTATGGTAAATCTATCATAAAAATTATTTTGGAAATTTGCATGTAAAAAGGGAGATTACATTTTAAAGAGAAGAGTTTTATAAACATTACTTTCTGTTTGTTATTTAGGTGTTTGCCATGGCGATGATATATTATATGTACTAGATACTGCCTGGGTGAATCCAGTAACAACACAACAGGATCGCGATATGCAGAAACTCTTAATCGACTTTTGTGTATCTTTTGCTACAAATGGGTAAGCACGAAAGATTCGCATATCGTACACATATCAATTCTCATACTTGAATTTTTTTTCAGAATTGTAAACATGGCTGGTGTAGAATGGCCGAAATTAGATCCTTCAAAGAAGGAACTTCATTATCTGCATATTGCTAGTCCTACTAAGATTAACATGGACAGCAATGCTAATTTGGGAGAGAAAGAATTCTGGAATTCAATCAAGTTCAAAGAAAATGTGTTAACGTCAAAAAATAGGAAAGAAGAGCTTTGAATGATTTTGCAAGGAAACTCGATTTTATTATCTATATTTTCTTTGCAATTAATTGTTATTACAAATTAACATCATATTTAAATTTTGAATATTATATTTACTTATATTTACGAATCTCTTCTGTATAATGCAACATGTCCAAAAAAATTAATTTTGGAAAACTAAAATTATTATAACTGGCACTTGCACTTATTTGAATTCCTTATTACACTGTATTTTGAGGATGACATTTTACTATAATATACAAATCATGGAAGTTGTAACTTTAGAACTTACCACATCATTTATAACAATGTCACAGCTATTAAGCCTATCAAATTTAATAATTAGATGTTTGGTTCAAATAATTACAAAAATAAAAAGAAAATATCATAAGAACCAACGCGCGGTAGTTGAAGCGCAAATAAGGGAATCTTATCAAAGAGCAACAACACTTTTCTCTTTTTTCAATATTTGTTTATTAGGGAATACGTGCACTTTAAGGATATAGATGTAAATTTATATATGTTTATGGATCAATCCGTTCTTACGAATATGTTTATGTGTTATGCAAATTTGTCTGAACCATTGAGTCTGAACATATTCTGAAATATGTTGCTACTGTGATATGTGCGGTAATTCTGGAATTTAATGATACTTTATTGATTTTATATAAACGAATAGCTAGCAATGTTACCTGTTAAAAAATGCAGCTGATTAAATAAATTAATAAAATAGTCAAAATTTTTAGATTTAATCGATTTTTAATCGCAATTTGAATATTGTTCTTGCTTCTCTTTTTATAATACAATGTATAAAAAATTTGCTATTCAGTTTTAGTTCAAGGAAAAGTATATCGAAAGAATATATAATTTTTTTAAATACGAAAAGATAAAAATATATTCTTTTAATAAAATACATAAAATTTTATACAATTTGACATTTAATCAAGAATCATGATATAATATTTATGTCAAAATTATCTTAATTAATTAAACCGATTTTAAATTATTAAAAAATTTTGATTTATTCATAATTGAGTTCTGCACAAATGTCACATAGAGCAAACATATACACATTGCATTGAAAATAATTTTATTATATCAAAACATGCTAAGAAATATGCAGCAAAAAATAAAAAGGAAAAAATTCATACTTAATAAGATGATAATTCAAAACTAATATAAAAATGTTTATTAAGTTATATATACTATATAAACAGTTTAGGTTAGATTCTCATGGAGAGATATATTATACTATACATAATAAGGCCTGGAAAAATTATACTATACATAATAATTATAAATGATAGAATACATATTGTGTGGACACAAATGCAGTGAAAAAGCAAGAGAATGATATTGCTTTTATGATGCAAGCTGTCATTATCTCCGAAGCATCTCTTATATTATTTTCGTGATCAAATATATCTCGGGATGAAAACTATACATTATAAAACTATACATTATAAAACTATATAATTGATAGAGAATACGGCTCTATGTATTTAACAACATGATAATTATGAAACGAGCGATAAGAGCCTAAAGACGCGGATGGTATTGCGTAATTTTTTTTTTTTTTTTTTTTTTTTCAAACATTAATTGTTCGCGAAAAAATTTTTTTAAGACATGCACAAAAAAAAATTTACGCAATACCATCCGCGTCTTTAGGTTCTTATCGCTCGTTTCATAATTATCATCTTATAAAACTATATATTATAAATCCATACATTATATAAAACTTTCTCTTAATTGCCCTTATTATCTTCTTATTATTTATATATATATGCTAATAATTTTTATTTATTAATAAAAATAATTTGTTAATTAAATAATACTTATTTATTGTTTAAAAAGGTTATCTCTTCGAAGAGTATAACTGGCCTAATATATTTCAATTGTACCGTTCGTTACAAAAGTAAATTATTAAAATTTCTAAAAATCTTAAGAAACAATATAATCGTAAAAATTCTTTTATTTTCACTTTGTAATACACAAATATTTAGATATATATTATGTATTTCATAAGCGATTTGTTATATTAACTGGTCATCTTTGCATACATAAATAAAATTATACAACAAAATGTCCTCAACTGCGCACAAATACAGCACAAGAAGCGTATGATACAAAAAGATATAAAATGAATGCAAACAATAAAAATAAATAATTATATATAGATTTAACAGTAAAATATTTTTTAACAATAAAAATACATACATACATACATATATATATATATATATATATATATATATATATGTATGTATGTATGTATATAGTGTTTATTACATAATCACATTTCGCATTATTTGAAGAATTTAAATCATAGAAATTTTTGATTTTTTATTTCTTATGACTTTAATCTCTGCATTTTCGACACTGTTTGAAAACAAATTTAAATTCAATATTAGGTTTAATTTATTTTGCCTGGTAAAAAAAATCATACATATAAAATGTCAAAAGATAATACATGTTACGTTTTAAATTATTTTAATTTTTCTTTTAAAAATTCAACATTTTATTTCTACGTGTTATATTTATCAAAACAATAAAACTTCAAAACTATATCTTATGACGGAAACATTCTTTCAGAAAACAGAGATTGTCAAATTTTTATCATTAATTCAATTCTTTTTCCGAAAACAGTAAAACAAAGATATTAATTATTATCTTTGAAACATACACGACATTCAGAGCACGCAATAGAGCAATTCACATACAACTATATGATATTACCCTTGATATTAATTATTGATATTAGCTTTATAATTTCCATATGTATGCTATGAATGTATTTGTATAGGAGATAAGAATAGGTAGCACAATATACTGAGTAATATAAATAACTAGCGACTAGCGTCGAAGAAGTGTCAGTTCGCAATGGTTTCTGCAAAAGAGAGGACGCTGCTAAATATCATGCTCGTAAGACTACTGATCGTTCTGCTTTGTTTAAACTTAGCCATAATAGCAAATTCAGACGAGACTGCACCAAGAGTTAAAACTCTCTCAGGAGCACTGAAAGGCTATTATAGAATATCACAGTATGGCAGAAAATACGAGGCATACGAAGGGATTCCTTATGCTTTGCCACCTGTTGGAAAATTAAGATTCAAGGTACGCATGTAATCTCAGATTAATTCTTGACTTAAATATTTTAGCAGCTATATTTTTCAAAATGGCATTCCTTATCAAGTAAAACAAAATTCAATCGTCAAATAATAGATACTAATAATTTTATATTTGATCAAAGATGTTGAATAATCCGTCAATTATGTCTTTCCATTTAGAAACATTTCTTATAAATTTTTTCTCACATTAAATATTAATAAAAAAATTCTAATTAAATGTATTTACTTTTCTCGTTTTTCTTCTCCAAGCCTCCTCAACCAATACCGGCATGGACCGGCGAGTTACCGGCTACGAAATTCTGTTCTCCGTGCATTCAATACGTTCAAACTCCTATTGATCCTACGAATAAAGTCGAGGGTGCCGAAAATTGCTTGTGTTTAAATATTTATGTAGCAGTACAAAAAATGTCGAAAAACAAGACTTCTATGCCAGTGTTGTTTTGGATCCATGGTGGCGCTTTTCAATTTGGTAGCGGTTCGAATTATGGAGCCACATATTTGATGGACAGCGACATCATACTGGTCACAATTAACTATCGATTGGGACCGATGGGTATGTAATAATATAAATGTATAATATAAATGTATAAAATGTTAAAAGATTATACATGTTACGTTTTAAATTATTTTAATTTTTCTTTTAAAAATCAACATTTCAACAATTCAACATTTTATTTCTACGTGTTATATTTATCAAAATATAATATAATAATATGTAATAATGTAATAATACAATATATGTAATAATATAATAAATGTAATAATATAATAATATAAATCATATACTATATGAAATTATTTCAGCATTTTATTAGAAAAAATTATACAATTCTTCCAATATTAAAATTTATTTATAAATGTGTTATAATGCAGATGATAGGAAATTATTGTGTAACAGAAAATTTATTTTTTCGTTTGTCTTTTCATAATTCAAAATTTTTGTTCTAAATTATCAAAAATATTAGGTTTCCTTAGCACGGAAGATGAGGTAGTTCCTGGCAACATGGGTCTAAAGGATCAAAATATGGCACTTCGCTGGGTATCCCAGAATATCGAGTGGTTCGGTGGCGATCCGAAAAAAATAACTTTATTTGGTCAGAGTGCTGGTGGTGCAAGTGTTCAATATCACTACTTATCGCCACTGAGCACCGGACTTTTCCAAGGTATTTTACGATACTACGCAGCGAACCCGAGATAACAGTAATTAAACTATTTCTAACTATACTACTAATTTTTGTACTTTGCATTTTATCGAATAGGAGGAATATCGTTTAGCGGAACAGCGTTCGATTGTTGGGCGCAAACTGAGGGTTCTTTAGAGAAAACTAAAAAACTGAGCGCTTTAATGAGATGTCCTACAACTACTTCTAGAGACATGATAGATTGCTTGAGACGTCGACCGGCTCGAAATATAGTACAGGCTACAAGCAAATTTATGGTGAGTTTCGAGACATTTTGCAAAAGAAACAACGCGATTTCCTCTCAACGCAAAAAGTAGAAAATTTTTATATTTGTCTTATGATTTTAGACGTTCTACTTCAATCCCTTCACTCCTTTCGGACCAGTAATTGAAAAAATCGGCGATGATACACCTTTCATCGATAGAACACCAATTGAAATCGTGAATAACGGTGATGTGCAAGATTTACCTTGGGTTACAAGCGTAGTGAGTGAAGAAGGCCTTTTTCCCGTAGCTGGTAAAAATAATATTCGGAATAATTAGACAAAAGTATTGAATATTTTAAATATCTGCAGACTTTTATCGATATAAATTTATTATTGTAGAATTCATCGCTGACAATAAAGCTCTGAAACAATTAAACGACAACTGGGATGTTCTCAGTCCGGATTTTTTGGACTTTAATTACACCATCCCAAAAGAGAAACAAGATGAGACTGGTCGCCTCATCAAGAAGCATTATTTCGATAAGAAACCAATAAATCAGAAAACTACAAAACAACTGATACAAATGACGAGTGATCGCTTCTTCGTGGTCGATAGTGAGAAGGCTGCGCGAATGCAAGCCAAAGTAAATTGGAATCCAGTCTGGTATTATTATTTCTCGTATAGAGGAAATCACAGTTTAAGTGATTTTATAAGCGGTACAACTAACGATTACGGTAAATCTATCATGGAAATTGTTTTGGAAATTCGCATAGAAAAATGAACATTACATTTCAAAGAGAAGAGTTTTATAAATATTACTTTTTGTTTGTTATTTAGGTGTCTCCCATGGCGATGATATATTCTATATATTAGATTCTCCCATTGTGAATACAAACACAACGCAACGAGATCGCGATATGCAGAAAGTCTTAATCGACTTTTGTGTATCTTTTGCTACAAATGGGTAAGCATCAAAGATTCGCATATCGTTTCATATATTAATTCTGATTTTTGAATTTTTTCAGAATTCCAAACGTGGCTGGTGTAAAATGGTCGAAATTAGATCCTGAAAAAGAGGATTTTGAGTATCTGCATATTGCTAGCCCTACTAACAATAAGATTAAGATGGATAGCAATGCTAATTTCGGGGATAAAAAATTCTGGAATTCAATCAAGTTTAACGAGAATGTGTTGACCACACAAAGAAATTGGGAAGAAGTTTTAAATGATTTTACAAGAAAATTCGATTTTTTGTCTATATTTTAAACAACTAATTTTTGTTACAAATTAATATAATGCTTAACTTTGCATATTATATTTACTTATATTTACGAATCTCTTCTGTATAAAGCAACATGTCTAAAAAAATTGATTTTAGAAAACTAAAATTATTATAACTGGCACTTGCACTTATTTGAATTCCTTATTATATTGTATTGTAAGGACGACATTCCACTATAATATACAAATCATGGAAGCTGTAACTTTAGAACTTATCACATCATTTATAACAATGTCACATCTATTAAGCGTATCAAATTTAATAATTAGATGTTTAGTTCAAATAATCAAAAAATTCAAAAGAAAATGGCATAAGAACCAACGAGCGATAGTTAGAGCGCAAAGAAGGGATCTTATCAAAGAGTAACAACACTTTTCTCTTTTTTCATATTTGTTTATTAAAAAATTCATATTATAACAACAAAAAGCGAATGTTTCAATCATCTTTTGAATTTTTCTCAGTGCGATGTTAACAATATATATTACAGATTATGACGCGTTACATTCTACGAATTTGTTTTTCGACGCGTAGGTGATGCTAAATTACATCTCGCGGAAGTCTAGTAAACGCCCTGCTTCCAACAGTCAATCAAGTATAATTATGCTGTGCGAAGTCACAGCAGATCTAACAAGCGTAATCTAAGTCTATCAATTTTTTGTGGTCCTTCTTTTAATCTGATATTCATTGAAATCGATATTTAAAATAATCCAACTTGGAATAGTTGTTTAACAAAAATAGTTGTTTAACAAAATATGTTTCATCAAAATAAAAATTATTGTAAATAATATATAATTTAAAAATCATATCAAATATTAATAATTCAAATATAAATATATTGATAGTGAGCAAGAGAACTCAACATGCAATTAAATTTTACAATTAATAATAATAAATAATAATGATAAAATTACAAATTTATTATAATACATACAGGCTGTGATTGAAATTAATGCAATTTTTTATTATATTTAATTACATCATAATTTGAAAGTTAATTGATGCACAACATAATTTCTTTCTATTTTTTTTTTCATATCATTATATCATAAAATATTATTATATTACAAAGCATAGCTAGAAAAAATGCATTTAATAATATAATGTATTACGATTATTTATTGACTGTATATTGATGATGTATGTTTACTTTTCTTTATTAGCTTTCCTTTCTTAATAGTATATAAAATTTTTTGAATAAAAATCTCGTCATTTGCATAGATTTATGGCCTCAAAGTCCATCGTTATCAGAAGTTGTTTATTTCAATAATAAAATCTACTCAGTATCGATAAGAAAAAAATCTATCATCAAAATTCGAAACATTTACGGGACATAATCTCTAATACGAATTGATTTTAAAAATCGCAAAATTATGAGGTAAACATGCTCGGAATAGCGCGGAAAAGTATCAACATAAACATAAATGCTTTATAAATAATAAATACAAAATAATTCAGATTAACACAAGGACAACACATTTTATACTGACATTTTCTAGACAATTGAATGATCAATTACCGTCGAGTGTGATTCTTCCCGCCATAAAACTCAATGCCATACACTCAATGGATGTATCAAAAATCATATCCTTCAGTAGAGATGTCAGATTCTAGATGTAGTAGCATGTAAAGGAAATACACTGGCACTGAAGGAAATACGTGCACGTTAAGGATATAAATGTAAATTTGTATGTGTTTATGGATTAATCCGTTCTTATGAATATGTTTATGTGTTATGCAAATTTGTCTGAACCATTGAGTCTGAACATATTCTGAAATATGTTGCTACTGTGATATGTGCGTTAATTCTGGAATTTAATGATACTTTATTGATTTTATATAAAAGAATAATTAGCAATGTTTCCTGTTAAAAAATGCAGCTGATTAAATAAATTAATAAAATAGTCAAAATTCTTAGATTTAATTGATTTTTAATCGCAATTTGAACATTGTTCTTGCTCCTCTTTTCATAATACAATGTATAAAAAATTTGCTATTCAGTTTTAGTTCAAGAAAAAGTATATATACCATTTAATAATTTATACAATAGAAAGATATATAATTATTTTAAATACGAAAAGATAAAAATATATTCTTTTAATAAAATACATAAAATTTTATGCAATTTGACTTTCAATCAAGAATCATGACATAATATTTATGTCAATATTATCTTAATTAACTAAATCAATTTTAAATTATTAAGAAATTTTTGATTTATTCATAATTGAGTTCTGCACAAATGTCACATAGAGCAAACATATACACATTGCATTGAAAATAATTTTATTACATCAAAACATGTTAAGAAATATGCAGCAAAAAATAAAAAGGAAAAAATTCATACTTAATAAGATGATAATTCAAAACTAATATAAAAATGTTTATTAAGTTATATATACTATATAAACAGTTTATCTCATGGAGAGATATATTATAAATATATACTATATATAATAAGGATGGAAAAATTTATAAATGATAGAATGCATATTGTGTGACCACAAATGCAGTGAGAAAGCAAGAAAATGATTGCTTCTATCATGTTGTATATATATATATTGAGGTGTATTATATTGATATATATACAGGATGCCAGGCGCATCCAAAAAAGTTCTTGTAGCTTACCTGGAGAGCTTTTCAAAACACTATAATAGAGTATTTTTTCATCGAGAACTTTTCAAGTTAGGCCTGAAATAATTTCTTAATTTTTACATATGCCATAAAATATCTAATAAAATATTCATTTTTCGATTATCTTACCTTAATACTTTTATGTACAAAATAATGAGAGGAATCAATTGGTGTAAAAAAACACATAATTCTTTTAAAAAAAAATATGTAATTGTTAATTGTTCGAAAAGTACTCGATGAAAAAATATCTTATTATAATGTTTTGAAGAGCTTATGAGGTAATCTATAAGAGCGTTTTATGAAAAGAGATTGCCTTGACACTCTATATATAAGTGTGTTTATTACATAATCACATTTTGCCCTATTTGAAAAATTTAAATCATAGATTCAAATTCTTGATTTCTTATGAGTTTAATCTCTGCACGTATTTTTGACACTGTTTAAAAAAATTCAAATTCAATATTAAGTTTAATTTATCTTGTCCAGTAAAAAATAAAAAAATTATACATATAAACTGGTGAAAGATTATATATGTTACATTTTAAATTTGTTTTAATTTTTCTTTTAAAAATTCAACATTTATTTGTACGTGTTTTATTTAACAAAACAATAGAAGTTTAAAACTACTTCATGGCGCAAAACTTTCCTCCAGAAGATAGATTGTCAAATTTTTATCACTATAGTTTAAAAATACATATATATCTAATGACGGAAACGTTCTTTTAGAAAACAGAATGTCAAATATTTATCACTATTTTTCCTACTTTCCAATTCGTCTTTTTTCGAAAATAGTAAGACGAAGATATCAATTATTGTATCTGAAACGACATTTAAAGCACGTAATAGAGCATTTCATATATAATTATAGACCATCTTGATATTGATATGATTTTTCTTAATTTTATAATGATTTTAATGGCTTATAATGACGCTTTCTGATTTCCATATGTATGTTATAAATGTATTTGTATGGGAGATAAGAACAAGTGACACTAAGTAATATAAATATACTGATAATAATATATTGAAAAATATAAATAACCAGGGACTAGCGCTGAACAAGTGCCAATTCGCAATGATTTCTGCAAAGGATAGCACGTTACTGAATACCATGTTCATAAGACTTCTGATCGTTCTGCTTTGTTTAAACTTAACCATACTAGCAAATTCAGAGGAGATTGCACCAAAAGTTAAAACTCTCTCAGGAGCACTAAAAGGCTATTATAAAATATCACAGTATGGCAGAAAATACGAAGCATACGAAGGGATTCCTTATGCGTTACCACCTATTGGAGAATTAAGATTCAAGGTATATGAATGTAATCTCAGATTAATTCTTGACTTAAATATTTTAGCAGCTGTATTTATCGGAATGACATTTCTTATCAAGTGAAACAGAATTCAATCATGAAACAATACTAATAATTTAACATTTGACCAAAGATGTTGAATATTCCATCAATTATGTCTTTCAATTTCGAAACAATTCTTATAAAATTTTTCTCACATTAAATATTAATAAAAAGATCCTAATTAAATATATTTTTTTCTTGCTTTTCTTTCTCACAGCCTCCTCGACCAATAACGCCATGGATCAGCGAACTACCGGCTACGAAATTCGGTTCTCCGTGCATTCAATATGTTCAATTTTCTTCCGATCCTGCCGATAAAGTCGAGGGTGCCGAAGATTGCTTGTATTTAAATATTTATGTACCAGTACGAAACAAGACGGAAAACAAGACATTTATGCCAGTGTTGTTTTGGATCCAAGGTGGCGCTTTTCAATTTGATAGCGGTATGAATTATGGAGCCACATATTTGATGGATAGCGACGTCATACTCGTCACAATTAACTATCGATTGGGACCGATGGGTATGTAATAATATAAATGTATAATATAATGTAATAATATGTAATAATGTAATAATATTATTTATTTGTAATAATATAATGGATATAATAATATAATAATATAAATCATATAATATATGAAATTATTTCAGCATTTCATTAGAAAAAATTATACAATAATGCCAATATTAAAATTTATTTAACCAAATGTGTTATAATGCAAATGATAGAAAATTATTGTGTGACAGAAAATTGATTGTTTCGTTTGTTTTTTCATGATTCAAAATTTTTGTTCTAAATTATCAAAAATATTAGGTTTCCTTAGCACGGAAGATGAGGTAGTTCCTGGCAACATGGGTCTAAAAGACCAAAATATGGCACTTCGCTGGGTATTCCAGAATATCGAGTCGTTCGGTGGCGATCCAAACGGAATAACTTTATTTGGTCAGAGTGCTGGTGGTGCAAGTGTGCATTATCACTACTTATCGCCAATGAGCGCAGGACTCTTCCGAGGTATTTTATAGGATAATACGCAGCGAAACCAAAATAACAGTAATTAAACTATTTCTAACTATATTACAGTTACTATACATTGCATTTTATCGAATAGGAGGAATATCGTACAGCGGAACAGCGTTCGATTGTTGGGCGCAAACTGAGAATTCTTTAGAGAAAACTAAAAAACTGAGCGCTTTAATGGGATGTCCTACAACTACTTCTAAAGACATGATAGATTGCTTGAGACATCGACCGGCTCGAGATATCGTACAATGCCAATATTCTACAAACGAATTTATGGTGAGTTTCGAGAAATTTTGAAAAAGAAACAACGCGATTTCCTCTGAACACAAAAGGTAGAAAATTTTTATATTTGTCTTGTGATTTTAGTATTTCCTTTACAATCTTGTCACTCCTTTCGGACCAGTAGTTGAAAAAGTCGACAGTGATACACCTTTCATCGATAAGACACCAGTTGAAATCGTGAATAACGGTGACGTACAAGATTTACCTTGGGTTACAAGTGTAGTGAGTCAAGACGGCCTTTATCCCGTAGCTGGTAAAAATAATATTCAGGATAATTAGAAAAATGTTTTTTAAATATCTGCAGATATCTGCTCTTATCGATATTAATTTATTATTGTAGAATTCATCGCTGACAATGAAACTCTGAAACAATTAAACAACAACTGGGATCATCTTGCTCCGCGTTGCCTAGACTTTCATGACACCATCCCAAAAGAGAAATACGTCGAAATTTCTCGCATTATCAAGAAGCATTATTTCGGTACGAAACCAATAGACCAGACAACTACAAGTCAACTGATACAAATGACGAGTGACCGCTTCTTCTATGTCGATAGTGAAAAGGCTGCGCTAATGCAAGCCAAAGTAAATCAGAATCCAGTCTGGTATTCTTATTTTTCGTACAGAGGAAATCAAAGTTTAAGTGAATATTATAGCGGTACAACTAAAAATTACGGTAAATCTATCATGGAAATTGTTTTGGAAATTCGCATATAAAAAAAATTACATTTCAAAGTAAAAAGTTTTATAAATATTACTTTTTGTTTGTTATGTAGGTGTCTGCCATGGCGATGATATAACATATATATTAGATACTCCTTGGGTGGATCCAACAACAACGCAACGAGATCGCGATATGCAGAAAGTCTTAATCGATAATTGTGTATCTTTTGCTACAAATGGGTAAGCGTCAAAGATTTCCATATCGTACATATATCAATTCTCATTCTTCAATTTTTTCAGAATTGCAAAAGTGTATGGTGCAAATTGGTCGCAATTAAATCCTTCAGAGAAGAAATTTCATTATTTGCATATTGCTAGTCCTACTGAGATTAACACGGGTAGCAATGCTGATTTCGGGGATAAAACATTCTGGAATTCACTTAAGTTTAACGAGAATGTGTTGACCACGTAAAGAAATTGAGAAGAAGTGCTTTGAATGATTCTACGAGGAAATTCGACTCTTTCATCTATATTTTACGCAACTAATTTTTATTAAAAATTAACATAATGCTTAATTTTGTATGTTATGTGCACTTATATTTACGAATCTCTTCTAATAATAATAAAGCAAGATGAAAACAATTGATTTTGAAAATTATTTTAACTGTCACTTGCACTGACATTTGCACTGACACTTGCACAATTTTATTATATCAAAACATGCTAAAAAATATGCAGCAAAAAATAAAAAGGACAAAATTTATACTTAATAAGATGATAATTCAAAACTAATATAAAAATGTTTATTAAGTTATATATACTATATATACTATATAAACAGTTTAGGTTAGATTCTCATGGAGAGATATATTATAAATATATACTATACATAATAAGGCTGGAAAAATTTATAAATGATAGAATACATATTGTGTGGGCACAAATGCAGTGAAAAAGCAAGAGAATGATATTGCTTTTATGATGCAAGCTATTATTATCTCCGAAGCATCTCTTATATTATTTTCGTGATCAAATATATCTCGGGATGAAAACTATACATTATAAAACTATATATTATAAATCCATACATTATATGAAACTTTCTCTTAATTGCCCTTATTATCATCTTATTATTTATATATGCTAATAATTTTTATTTATTAATAAAAATAATTTGTTAATTAAATAATACTTATTTATTGTTTCAAAAGGTTATCTCTTCGAAGAGTATAACTGATTTAATATATTTCAATTGTACCGTTCGTTACAAAAGTAAATTATTAAGATTTCTAAAAACCTTAAGAAACAATATAATCTTAAAAATTCTTTTATTTTCACTTTGTAATACACAAATATTTAGATATATATTATGTATTTCGTAAGCGATTTGTTAATTATATTAACTGGTCATCTTTGCATACGTAAATAAAATTATACAACAACATGTCCTCAACTGCGCACAAATACAGCACAAGAAGCGTATGATACAAAAAGATATAAAATGAATGCAAACAATAAAAATAAATAATTATATATAGATTTAACAATAAAATATTTTTTAACAATAAAAATACATACATATATATATAATATATATATATATATATATATGTATGTATGTATAAACGTATATGTATGTATGTATGTATATAGTGTTTATTACATAATCACATTTCGCATTATTTGAAGAATTTAAATCATATAAATTTTTGATTTTTTATTTCTTAAGACTTTAATCTCTGCAAGTATTTTCGACACTGTTTAAAAATAAATTTAAATTCAACATTAAGTTTAATTTATCTTGTCCAGTAAAAAATAAAAAAATTATACATATAAACTGGTGAAAGATTATATATGTTACATTTTAAATTTGTTTTAATTTTTCTTTTAAAATTCAACATTTATTGTTATTACGTGTTTTATTTAACAAAACAATAGAAGTTTAAAACTACTTCATGGCGCAAAACTTTCCTCCAGAAGATAGATTGTCAAATTTTTATCACTATAGTTTAAAAATACATATATATCTAATGACGGAAACGTTCTTTTAGAAAACAGAATGTCAAATATTTATCACTATTTTTCCTATTTTCCAATTCGTCTTTTTTCGAAAATAGTAAGACGAAGATATCAATTATTGTATCTGAAACGACATTTAAAGCACGTAATAGAGCATTTCATTTATAATTATAGACCATCTTGATATTAATATTGATTTTTTTAATTTTATAATATTTTAATGGCTTATATGACGCTTTCTGATTTCCATATGTATGTTATAAATGTATTTGTATGAGAGATAAGAACAGGTGACACTAAGTAATATAAATATACTGATAATAATATATTGAAAAATATAAATAACCAGGGACTAGCGCTGGAACAAGTGCCAATTAGCAATGATTTCTGCAAAGGATAGCACGTTACTGAATACCATGTTCATAAGACTTCTGATCGTTCTGCTTTGTTTAAACTTAACCATACTAGCAAATTCAGAGGAGATTGCACCAAAAGTTAAAACTCTCTCAGGAGCACTAAAAGGCTATTATAAAATATCACAGTATGGCAGAAAATACGAAGCATACGAAGGGATTCCTTATGCGTTACCACCTATTGGAGAATTAAGATTCAAGGTATATGAATGTAATCTCAGATTAATTCTTGACTTAAATATTTTAGCAGCTGTATTTATCGGAATGACATTCCTTATCAAGTGAAACAGAATTCAATCATGAAACAATACTAATAATTTAACATTTGACCAAAGATGTTGAATATTCCGTCAATTATGTCTTTCGATTTCGAAACAATTCTTATAAAATTTTTCTCACATTAAATATTAATAAAAATATCCTAATTAAATATATTTTTTTCTCGCTTTTCTTTCTCACAGCCTCCTCGACCAATAACACCATGGATCAGCGAACTATCGGCTACGAAATTCGGTTCTCCGTGCATTCAATATGATCAATTTGCTTCCGATTCTGCCGATAAAGTCGAGGGTGCCGAAGATTGCTTGTATTTAAATATTTATGTACCAGTACGAAACAAGACGGAAAACAAGACATCTATGCCAGTGTTGTTTTGGATCCACGGTGGCGCTTTTCAATATGGTAGCGGTATGATTTATGGAGCCACATATTTGATGGATAGCGACGTCATACTCGTCACATTTAACTATCGATTGGGACCGATGGGTATGTAATAATATAAATGTATAGTATAATGTAATAATATGTAATAATGTAATAATACTGTTTATGTGTAATAATATAATGGATGTAATAATATAATAATATAAATCATATAATATATGAAATTATTTCAGCATTTCATTAGAAAAAATTATACAATAATTCCAATATTAAAATTTATTTAACCAAATGTATTATAATGCAAATGATACAAAATTATTGTGTAACAGAAAATTTGTTGTTTCGTTTGTTTTTTCATGATTCAAAATTTTTGTCCTAAATTATCAAAAATATTAGGTTTTCTTAGCACGGAAGATGAGGTAGTTCCTGGCAACATGGGTCTAAAAGACCAAAATATGGCACTTCGCTGGGTATTTCAAAATATCGAGTCGTTCGGTGGCGATCCAAACGGAATAACTTTATTTGGTCAGAGTGCTGGTAGTGCAAGTGTGCATTATCACTACTTATCGCCAATGAGCGCAGGACTCTTTCGAGGTATTTTATAGGATAATACGCAGCGAAACCAAGATAACAGTAATTAAACTATTTCTAACTATATTACAGTTACTATACATTGCATTTTATCGAATAGGAGGAATATCGTACAGCGGAACAGCGTTCGATTGTTGGGCGCAAACTGAGAATTCTTTAGAGAAAACTAAAAAACTGAGCGCTTTAATGGGATGTCCTACAACTAATTCTAGAGACATGATAGATTGCTTGAGACATCGACCGGCTCGAGATATCGTACAATGCCAATATTCTACAAACGAATTTATGGTGAGTTTCGGGAAATTTTATAAAAGGAGCAACATGATTTCCTCTCAACGCAAAAGGTAGAAAATTTTTATATTCGTCTTTTGATTTTAGTATTTCTTTTACAATCTTATCACTCCTTTCACACCAGTAGTTGAAAAAGGCAGTGATACACCTTTCATCGATAAGACACCAGTTGAAATCGTGAATAACGGTGACGTACAAGATTTACCTTGGGTTACAAGTGTAGTGAGTCAAGACGGCCTTTATCCCGTAGCTGGTAAAAATAATATTCGGGATAATTAGAAAAATATCTGCAGTCTCTTATCGATATTAATTTATTATTGTAGAATTTATCGCTGACAATGAAACTCTGAAACAATTAAACAACAACTGGGATCATCTTGCTCCGCGTTGCCTAGACTTTTATGACACCATTCCAAAAGAGAAATACGTCGAAATTTCTCACATTATCAAGAAGCATTATTTCGGTACGAAACCAATAGACCAGACAACTACAAGCCAACTGGTACAATTGGCGAGTGACCGCTTCTTCTTTGTTGACAGTAAAAAGGCTGCGCTAATGCAAGCCAAAGTAAATAAGAATCCAGTCTGGTATTCTTATTTTTCGTACAGAGGAAATCAAAGTTTAAGTGAATATTATAGCGGTACAACTAATAATTACGGTAAGTCTATCATGGAAATTGTTTTGAATATTCGCATATAAAAAGGAAAATTACATTTCAAAGAGAAAAGTTTTATAAATATTACTTCTTGTTTGTGTTATTTAGGTGTCTGCCATGGCGATGATATAACATATATATTAGATACTCCTTGGGTGGATCCAACAACAACGCAACGAGATCGCGATATGCAGAAACTCTTAATCGACTTTTGTGTATCTTTTGCTACAAATGGGTAAGCGCGAAAGATTCGCATATCGTACACATATCAATATTCATTCTTCAATTTTTTCAGAATTGCAAAAGTGTATGGTGCAAATTGGTCGCAATTAAATCCTTCAGAGAAGGAATTTCATTATTTGCATATTGCAAGTCCTACTGAGATTAACACGGGTAGCAATGCTGATTTCGGGGATGAAACATTCTGGAATTCACTTAAGTTTAACGAGAATGTGTTGACCACATAAAGAAATTGAGAAGAAGTGCTTTGAATGATTCTACAAGGAAATTCGACTCTTTCATCTATATTTTACGCAACTAATTTTTATTAAATATTAACATAATGCTTAATTTTGTATGTTATGTGCACTTATATTTACGAATCTCTTCTAATAATAATAAAGCAAGATGAAAACTATTGATTTTGAAAATTATTTTAACTGTCACTTGCACTGACATTTGCACTGACACTTGCACAATTTTATTATATCAAAACATGCTAAAAAATGTGCAGCAAAAAATAAAAAGGACAAAATTTATACTTAATAAGATGATAATACAAAACTAATATAAAAATGTTTATTAAGTTATATATACTATATAAACAGTATAGGTTCTCATGGAGAGATATATTATAAATATATACTACACATAATAAAGATGGAAAAATTTATAAATGATAGAATACATATTGTGTGGGCACAAATGCAGTAAAAAGCAAGAAAATGATATTGCTTCTGTCATGCAAGCTATCATTATCTCCAAAGCATCTCTTATATTTCATGATCAAATATATTGCAGGATGAAAACGATACATTATAAAACTATATATTATAAATCCATATATTATATAAAACTTTCTCTTAATTGCCCTTATTATCTTCTTATTATTTATATATGCTAATAATTTTTATTTATCAATAAAAATAAATTATTAATTAAATAATATTTATTTATTGTTTAAGAAGGCTATCTCTTCGAAAAGTATAACTGATCTAATACATTCCAACTATATTGTTCGCTGCAGAAATAAATTATTATAATTTCTAAAAGACTTAAAAACTTGCAACTGAATGAATAATCGTAAATCTTCTTTTATTTTTACTCTGTAATACACAAATATCCAGATATATATTATGTACTTCAAAAACGATTTGTTAAGCATAATTATATCAAATAAATTTGATCATATAAAATGTAAATAAAAATAAAGTGTAAATAATAAAAATAAATATATATGTATAGATAAATAAATAAATAAATATATATATATATATGTATATATATATGTATATATATATATATATATGTATATATAAATAAATATATGTATATATCTATATATACATACAAAGTGCCAGGCGCATCCAAAAAGAAGCTCTAGCTTATCTGGAGAGATTTTCAAAATGCTATAATAAAGTATTTTTTCATCGAGTACTTTTCGAGGTTTGAAATAATTTCTTAATTTTGGCATAAACCATAAAATATCTTAAAATATTCATTATACCATAAGATATTCATTTTTCGATTATCTTACCTTAATACTTTTATGTACAAAATAATGAGAGGAATCAATTGATGTAAAGAAAACACAAAATTCTTTAAAAAAAATATGTAATTGTTAATTGCTCGAAAAGTACTTGATGAAAAAATATTTTCTTATAGTATTTTGAAAATTTTACGAAGTATGCTACAAGAGTGTTTTTTTTGGAAAGAGATTGCCCTGACACTCTCTATATATAAATGTATTTATTACATATTCACATTCTGCCTTATTCGAAGAATTTAAATCATAGATTCAAATTCTTGATTTTTTATCTCTTACGAGTTCAATCTCTGCACATATTTTCGACACTGTTTAAAAAAAATTCAATTTCATTATTAAGTTTAATTTATCTTGTCCGCTACAAAAAGCTATACAAAAAGCTATACATATAAAATGTTGAAAGATTATATATGTTACGTTCTAAATTTGTATTAATTTTTTTTTTAAATTCAACATTTATTTGTACGTGTTTTATTTAACAAAATAATAAAAGTTTAAAACTATATCTCATGACGGAAACGTTCCTCCAGAAAATAGATTGGCAAATTTTTATCACTTTTAGTTTTAAAATATATCTTATGACGGAAACGTTCTTTTAAAAAACAGATTGAAAAACTCTTATAAAAAACAGACAAATATTTATCACTATTTTTCCTTATTCAATTCGTCTTTTTGTGAAAACAATAAAACGAAGATATCAATTATTGTATCTGAAACATACACGACATTTAGAACACGTAATAGAGCAATTCACATAACTATAAACCATCTTGATATTGATTTCTTTGATTTTGGCTTTATAATGTCTTTAATAACTTATAATGATACTTTCTAATTTCCATATGTATGTCATGAATGTGTTTGTATGGGAGATAAGAACAGGTGACACTAAGTAATATAAATATACTGATAGCAATATATTGAATAATAATCAGTGACTAGCGCCGGAGAAATGCCAGTTTGCAATAATTTCTGCAAAAGACGCACACAGCACACTACTAAATACAATGCTCATAAGACTACTGATCGTCCTGCTTTCTTTAAACTTAGCTATATTAGTAAATTCAGACGAGACTGTACCAAGAGTTAAAACTCTCTCAGGAGCACTGAAAGGGTATTACAAAATATCACAATATGGTAGAAAATACGAGGCATACGAAGGGATTCCTTATGCATCGCCACCTGTTGGAGAATTAAGATTCAAGGTATATGAATGTAATATCAGATTAATTGTTAACTTAAATACTTTAGCAGCTGTATTTGTTGGAACGGCATTACTTATCACATGAAACAGAATTCAATTGTGAAATAATAGATACTAATAATTTTACATTTGATCGAAGATGTTGAATATTCCGTCAATTACGTCTTTTCATTTAGAAACAATTCTTATAAAATTTTTCTCACATTAAATATTAATAAAAAAATCATAATTAAATATATTTTCCTTTCTCGTTTTTTTTCTCGTAGCCTCCTCGACCAATACCGGCATGGATCGGCGAGTTACCGGCTATGAAATTCGGTTCACCGTGCATTCAATACGCTCAATCTCCTTCCGATCTTGCGGATAATGTCGAGGGTGCCGAAGATTGCTTGTATTTAAATATTTATGTACCAATACGAAATAAGACGGAAAAGATTTCTATGCCGGTATTGTTTTGGATCCATGGCGGCGCTTTTCAACTTGGTAGCGGTACGATTTATGGAGCCACATATTTGATGGATAGCGACGTCATACTCGTCACAATTAACTATCGATTGGGACCGATGGGTATGTAATAATATAAATGTATAATATAATGTAATAATATGTAATAATGTAATAATATAATATATGTAACAATATAATAGATGTAATAATATAATAATGTAAATCATATAATACATTAAATTACATAACACATGAAATTATTTCAGCATTTTATTATAATAGAAAAAATTATATAATAATTCCAATATTAAAATTTATTTGTCCAAATGCGTTATACTGCAGATGATAGAAAATTATTGTGTGACAGAAAATTGATTGTTTCGTTTGTCTTTTCATGATTCAAAATTTTTGTTCTAAATTATCAAAAATATTAGGTTTTCTTAGCACGGAAGATGAAATAGTTCCTGGCAACATGGGTCTAAAAGATCAAAATATGGCACTTCGCTGGGTATTCCAGAATATCGAGTCGTTCGGTGGCGATCCAAACGGAATAACTTTATTTGGTCAGAGTGCTGGTGGTGCAAGTGTGCAATATCACTACTTATCGCCAATGAGCGTAGGACTTTTCCGAGGTATTTTATACGATAATACGCAGCAAAACTGAGAAAACAGTATTTAAACTATTTCTAACTATACTACTAATTTTTGTATTTTGCATTTTATCGAATAGGAGGAATGTCGTTCAGCGGAACAGCATTCGATTGTTGGGCGCAAACTGAGAGTTCTTTAGAGAAAACTAAAAAACTGAGCTCTTTAATGGGATGCCCTACAACTACCTCTAGAGATATGATAGATTGCTTAAGATATCGACCGGCTCGAGATATCGTACAGGCTACAAGCGAATTTATGGTAAGTTTCGTGAAATTTTGTAAAAGAAACAACGCGATTTTCTCTCAACGCAAAAAGTAGAAATTTTTATATTCGTCTTATGATTTTAGTATTTCTTCTACAATCCCTTCACTCCTTTCGGACCAGTAGTTGAAAAAGCCAACAATGATACACCTTTCATCGATAAGACACCAATTGAAATCGTGAATAACGGTGAAGTGCAAGATTTACCTTGGGTTACAAGCGTAGTGAGTGAAGAAGGCCTTTATCCCGTAGCTGGTAAAAATAATATTCGGGATAGTTAAAAAAATGTTTTTCAAATACCTGCAGACTCTTATTGATATTAATTTATTATTGTAGAATTCATCGCTAACAATGAAGCTCTGAAACAATTAAATGGCAACTGGGATTTTCTCGGTCCGCATTTTCTAGACTTTTATTACACCATCCCAAAAGAGAAGCAAGTCGAGATTGCTCGTATTATCAAGAAGCATTATTTCGATACGAAATCAATAGACCAGACAACTACAAAACAACTGGTACAAATGGCGGGTGATCGTTTCAATGTGGTCGATAGTGAGAAGGCTGCGCAAATGCAAGCCAAAGTAAATCGGAATCCAGTCTGGTATTATTATTTCTCGTACAGAGGAAATCACAGTTTAAGTGATTTTATAAGCGGTACAACTAATAATTACGGTAAATCTATCATGGAAATTGTTTTGAATATTCGCATATAAAAAGGAAAATTACATTTCAAAGAGAATAGTTTTATAAATAGTTACTTTTTGTTTGTTATTTAGGTGTCTCTCATGGCGATGATATATTCTACATATTAGAGTCTCCCATTGTGAATACAACAACAACGCAACGAGATCGCGATATGCAGAAAGTCTTAATCGATTATTGTGTATCTTTTGCTACAAATGGGTAAGTATCAAAGATTCGCATATCGTTTCATATATTAATTCTGATTCTTGAATTTTTTCAGAATTCCAAACGTGGCTGGTGTAAAATGGTCGAAATTAGATCCTTCAAAAAAGGAAATTCAGTATCTGCATATTGCTAGCCCTACTGAGATTAACATGGGTAGCAATGCCAATTTCGGGGATGAAACATTCTGGAATTCACTTAAGTTTAACGAGAATGTGTTGTTCACGTAAAGAAATTGGGAAGAAATGCTTTAAATGATTTTACAAGAAAATTCGATTCTTTTATCTATATTTTACGCAACTAATTTTTGTTATAAATTAATATAATGCTTAACTTTGTATATTATATTTACTTATATTTACGAATCTTTTCTGTATAAAGTACGATGCCCAAAGAAATTGATTTTGGAAATGTAAAATTATTTTAACTGACACTTGCACTTATTTGAATTTGTTATTACACTGTGTTTTAAGAATGGCATTCCATGATAATATACAAATCACGAAAGATGTAACTTTAGGACCACATCATGTATAACTATGTCACAGTTATTAAGCCTATCTATTTTTTGTGATCCTTTTTTTAATCTGGTATTTATTGGATTCGATACTCTAAAATTCAACTTAAAATATTTGTTTAACGAAATATGTTTCATCAAAACAAATTATTACAAATAATGTATTATGTCAAATATTAATAATTAGATGTACAGATAATGAACAAGAGAATTCAACAGACAATTAACTTTTACAATTAATAATATATTACATATAATATTTTACAATTAATAAACTAAAATTACAAATTTAGTATAATACAGGCTGTTATGTAATGAAATTATTGTGATTTCTTATTATATTTAATTACGTTATAATTTAAAAATTAATTGATGTTTAATTAACATAATTTCTTTGCATTCTTTTTCATATAAATATAACATAAAGTATAACAAAAAAAAATGCATTTAAAAATATAACATATCATATACATACATATCATATACATATATATATATATATATATATATATATATATATATATATATAATGTCTGCTTATCCCTTCTTATCAGCTTTTTTCCTCCAATAGAATATGGAAATCTATGAATAGAAAATTCATTCTCGTAGATTTGTGATCGCGAACTCTACCGTTATCACAGAAATTATTTATTTCAATAATAAAATTTACTCAGCATCGATAAGAAAAAAAAATCTATCATCAAAACTCGAAACATTTAAATGACATAATCTCAAACGCGAATTAACTTTAAAATTGTCAATTTCGCAAAATTGTCGAGTAAAAATGCTTATAAACGATGAAAAGTATAAACATAAATATAAATGCTTTAAACACGAAATAATTTATATTAATACAAAGACAGTACATTTTATACTGACATCTTCTAAATTATACTACAGTCAAGACTACAATCGAGTGTAATTTTTCCCGCCATAAAATGCCATACACTCAATAGATGTATTCAAAAATCCTATCGATGAGCAGAGATGCCAGATTCCAAATGTATCATGTAGAGGGAATACGCGCACGTTAAGGATATAGAGATAAATTTGCATATGTTTATGGACCAATCCATTGTTATGAATATGTTTATGTGTTATGCAAATTTGTTTAAACATATTCTAGATACGTCGCTACGATATGCGTTAATTTTATCAAATTTAATGACTTCTATCATTGATTTCATATAAACGAATAGTTAGCAATGTTTTTCCTGTTAAAAAGAAAGAGTGCAGCTAATTAAATAAATTAATAAAGTAATTCTTTATTATAATCGATTTTTAATCGCAATTTAAACATTGTTCTTCCTTCATTTTTTAAAACGATTTATAAGTTTGCCTTTCAGTTTTAATTCAAGGAAAAGTATATGTACTATTTGATAATTTATATAATAGAAAGATATATAATTTTTTTAAATACAAAAAGATAAAAATGTATTCTCTTCATAATTAAAATACAAATTAAATTTTATGGAATTTGACTTTCAATCAAGAATCATGACATAATATTTGAGTCAATCTTAATTAATTAAATTGATTTAAATTATTAAAAAATTTTGATTTATTCATAATTGAGCTTCTGCACGAATGTCACATAGAGCAAACATATACACATTGCATTGAAAATAATTTTATTTTTTCAAAACATGCTAAAAAATATGCAGCAAAAAATAAAAAGGACAAAATTCATACTTAATAAGATGATAATTCAAAACTAATATAAAAGTGTTTATTAAGTTATATATACTATATAATTATATATTTACATGATTTTATATTGTTACATAATTTTATTTGCATATGCAAAGATGACCAATTGATATAATTATGCTTAACAAATCGTTTTTTTAAACAGTATCGAAAATACATGCAGAGTTAAACTCATAAAAAATCGAAAATAAAAAATTTGAATCCGTGATTTAAATTCTTGGAATAAAGTGAAATGTGATTATGTAATAAGCACATATGCCGGAAACTTCTTTCAGAAAATAGATCGTCAAATTCTTATCACTATTTTTTAAAAGTATATATCTCATGACGGAAACGTTCTATCAGAAAATAAATTGTCAAAGTTCTATCACTACTTTTATCCGTCTCTTTTCGAAAACAGTAAAACGAAGATATTAATTATTGTATCTGAAACATACACGACATTCAGAACATGTGATAAAGCAATTCACATACAACTATAGGCCATCATGATATTGATACTGACTTTCTTTTGGCTTTATAATTTCCATATGTATGTTATGAATGTATTTGTATGGAAGATAAAAACAGGTGACATTAAGTAATATCAATATACTGATAACAATATATTGAATAATATAAATAACCAGTGACTAGCGCCGGAGAAGTGCCAGTTCGCAATAATTTCTGCAAAAGACGCACACAGCACTAAATACCATGCTTATAAGACTACTGATCGTTTTGCTTTGTTTAAACTTAGCCATACTAGTAAATTCAGACAAGACTGCACCAAGAGTCAAAACTCACTTAGGAAAACTGAAAGGCTATTATAAGTTATCGCAGAATGGCAGAAAATACGAGGCATACGAAGGGATTCCTTATGCGTTACCACCTGTTGGAAAATTAAGATTCAAGGTACGTGCATAATCTTAGATTAATTATTGACTTAAATATTTTAGCAGCTGTATTTGTCGGAATGGCAATCCTTATCAAGTGAGACAGAATTCAATCGTGAAATAATAGATACTAATAATTTTACATTTGATAAAAAATATTGAATATTCCGTCAATTATGTCTTTTCATTTAGGAACAATTTTTATAAAATTTTTCTCATATTAAATATTCATAAAAAAATCCTAATTAAATGTATTTTCTTATCTCGTTTTTTTTCTCGCAGCCTCCTCAACCAACATCGCGATGGATCGGCGAATTATCGGCTACGCAATTCTGTTCTCAGTGCATTCAATACACTGAATTTCCTTACGGTAAAGTCGAGGGTGCCGAAGATTGCTTGTGTTTAAATATTTATGTACCAGTACGAAACAAGACGGAAAACAAGATTCCTTTGCCGGTATTGTTTTGGCTCCACGGTGGCGCTTTCCAATATGATAGTGGCAAGAATTATGGAGCCAAATATTTGATGGATAGAGATGTCATACTCGTCACAATTGACTATCGATTGGGACCGATGGGTATGTAATAAGATAAATGTATAATATAATGTAATAATATGTAATAATGTAATAATATAATATATGTAATAATATAATGGATGTAATAATATAATAATATAAATCGTATAATATATGAAATTATTTCAGCATTTCATTAGAAAAAATTATACAATATTTCCAATATTAAAATTTATCTGTCCAAATGTGTTGTAATGTAGATGATAGGAAATTATTGTGTGACAGAAAATTTATTGTTTCGTTTGTCTTTTCATAATTCAAAATTTTTGTTCTAAATTATCAAAAATATTAGGTTTTCTTAGCACGGAAGATAAGGTAGTTCCTGGCAATATGGGTCTAAAAGATCAAAATATGGCACTTCGCTGGGTATCCCACAATATCAAATCGTTCGGTGGCGATCCGAAAGGAATAACTTTAATTGGTCACAGTGCTGGTGGTGCAAGTGTGCAATATCACTACTTATCGCCACTGAGCGTGGGGCTCTTCCGAGGTATTTTATAGGATAATACGCAGCGAAACCGAGATAGCAGTAATTAAAATATTTCTAACTATACTACTAATTTTTGTACTTTGCATTTTATCGAATAGGAGGAATGTCGTACAGCGGAACAGCTTTCGATATTTGGACGCAAGCTAAAGGTTCTTTAGAGAAAACTAAGAAATTGAGCGCATTAATGGGATGCCCTACAACTACCTCTAAAGATATGATAAATTGCTTAAGATATCGACCAGCTCGAGATATCGTCCATGCTACACACGCATTTATGGTGAGACTCATTTCGGAAAATTTTATAAAAGAAACAACAATATGTCCTCTCAACGTAAAAAGTAGAAATTTTTTATATTCCTCTTATGATTTTAGGTTTTCTTATATGATTTCTTCACTCCTTTCGGACCAGTTGTTGAAAAAGTTGGCAGCCATGCACCTTTCATCGATAAGACACCAATTGAAATCGTGAGTAACAGTGAAGTGCAAGATTTACCTTGGATTACAAGCGTAGTGAGTCAAGACGGCCTTTTTCCCGTAGCTGGTAAAAATAATATTTTTATAATTAGAAAAATGTTTTTTAAATATCTACAGACTCTTATCGATATTAATTTATTTTTGTAGAATTCATCGCTAACGATACAGCTCTGAAACGATTAAACGACAACTGGGATCAACTCGCTCCTCAATTCCTAGACTTTTATTACACCATCCCAAAAAAGAACCATGTCGAGGTTGCTCGTGTTATCAAGGAGCATTATTTCGGTAACAAATCAATAGATCAGACAACTACAAGCCAACTGGTACAAATGGCGAGTGACCGCTTCTTCTATGTCGACAGTAAAAAGGCTGCGCTAATGCAAGCCAAAGTAAATAAGAGTCCAGTCCGGTATTCTTATTTCTCGTACAGAGGAAATCAAAGTTTAAGTGAATATATGAGCGGTACAACTAATAATTACGGTAAGTCTATCATGAAAATTGCTTTGGAAATTCGCATATAAAAAAGAAGATTACATTTCAAAGAGAAGAATTTTATAAACATTACTTCGTGTTTGTTATTTAGGTGTCTGCCATGGCGATGATATAGCATATATATTAGATACTCCCTGGGTGGATCCAACAACAACGCAACGAGATCGCGACATGCAAAAAGTCTTAATCGACAATTGTGTATCTTTTGCTACAAATGGGTAAGCGTCAAATATTCGAATGTCGTACATATATCAATTCTCATTCTTCAATTTTTTCAGAATTGCAAAAATGTATGGTGCAAATTGGTCGCAATTAGAACCTTCAGATAAGGAATTTCATTATTTGCATATTGCAAGTCCGACTGAGATTAACACGGGTAGCAATGCTGATTTCGGGGATGAAACATTCTGGAATTCACTTAAGTTTAACGAGAATGTGTTGACCACGAAAAGAAATTGAGAAGAAGTGCTTTGAATGATTCTACAAGGAAATTCGACTCTTTCATCTATATTTTACGCAACTAATTTTTATTAAAAATTAACATAATGCTTAATTTTGTATATGTGCACTTATATTTACGAATCTCTTCTAATAATAATAAAGCAAGATGAAAACAATTGATTTTGGAAAACAAAAATTATTTTAACTTGCACTTGCACTTATTTGAATTCCTTCTTACATTGTATTTTAAGAATGACGTTCCACTATAATATATAAATCATGAAAGATGTAACTTTAGGACTTACCACATCATTTATAACTATGTCACAGCTGTTAAGCCTATCAATTTTTTGTAATTCTTTTTTTCCTGATATTTTTTAATCTGATATTTATTAAAATCGATACTTTAATATATATATATATATATATATATATATATATATATATATATATAAGGTGGCTCACGTATAGTGTTACAAATTTATATCTCGTAAACGAAGCAATTTAGAGAAAAATGTTTCAAACAAAAGTTATATGGTTTCAAGGGGGACATAAGATGGTGCCATTAGGATATATATATAAATATATAGATAGTAATTTTCTTCAATTACAGAAAAATTAGAATTTAATTCACAGAAATGTTAATAAATAATAATGAGAAAATTACTGATATATAACCATTATTAATAAAATTACTGCTAATCTCAGTTTTCTAACAATGTTAATGGTAATATATGTGATTGTTAATTAACTCTTGCTTAACTCTCTTTTTAATTATTTATTTCCACTTATGTATGCATGTGAGATAAGAATAAAAAAAACTCGAATGATAAGAAATATGTCGAAATATAAAATATGCTGTGTTAAAATGAATTAATGAAAATATTATTGCTTAAGACAGTGTCGAACTTTATGTTACTGATAGTTCGTTGCCGAAATATTTTACGTACCACGACTTACATATATATATATATATATATATATATATATATATATATAATAAATAATTTTTATAAATGACTCACCGCATATCTCTCTGGCTGCTTCAGACTCTCTCATTGCTCTCTGGCTGTTCAATACTTTTCCAGATGTCCTTCTCCTTTCTTCTTTATCCTTTGCTGTTTCCTCATGGTACTCATATTCACTCGCGTTTAGAAAAAGAATTCAGTTCAATAATACGAAGCATTCCGACAAAAGGCGTGGTATAACGTCGCGAATATTGTACAAAGCGTCAAATTGCTATATGACCGTGTTGATTAGTGCATAATTACTTTTTTCGTAAATGAATTTCAAGCGAATGCGATGAAGGAGTAAGAAAAAATGAACAAGAGAAATGAAAATAACGATCCATCGAACGTAATTTATAATTTATTATATTTTATTTTATTATATATTTATTATTTATGAAATTAATTATTTGCCTTTATTTTAATTTATTTGATTAATATGAAATATTAAAATATTTTATATGTATTGTATATATAAACTGTACTTTAAATTATATAAAATATTAAATGATATTCATATATATAAATATAAATAAATATACATACATATATATATTTTAATATTATTTAAAATTAATAATTAAAATGAAAAATAGATTTTCGTTTAGTTTCCATAAAGCATATATTTAAAAAGAATTACATGCAATAATTTTCCTAAATCTTGTAGCAGCGTGTGGCTGAGCCAGTAAGGCTCTTGCTTGCCTTATAAAGGGTAATGGCTTCAAGTCCTGTTAAGACTAGAATTTATTTCTGTCGATTGGGCGATAAAACCGCCTTCCGATTCGTCCTCAGGTTTCTCTCTGTACAAAAAAAGAGGGAAAAAGTGTGAGTTTAAAAAATGGGAGGAAGTTTAAGTTTAAATGGATAACAATCCAACAATTTTCCTAAATCTTAATTATTCATTTTATTACCAGTTTATGTATGACTTGAGTTTATTTCTATTTAATTACATTTACTGAACACTATAATGCTGTTCCGCATCGTACCGGTAAGAATTAATTTATTTTTATTTCATAGAAAACTTTAGATATCTTATTTCCTATTTTTTATCGTTTATCTGTATACATATACATGTAACCATTTCTGCATCCATTTAATTTAATATCTCGGAGTGAATTTGAAGTTTTTTTTTAATAATAATATATTTTAAACTTTAATAAAAGTATATCTTTACATTTCTATTGGGATATTAATACGATATTAAATTCAAACATCAATATTATAAATAATATTATAAATAATATTATAGGCACAAAATTTACGTGTATTTTGTCTGGACAATGCTTTTTATCGATGCACAATGCATCAAAACGGATTGAATTTAAAAATAGAGAATATAAAATAGAGAGAAAATGGTATCTCCATTATTGATACACGTAATATATTAACATAAATTATAAGATTGAAAGATTGATCTAATTTAAAGCCATAATATAATAATCATTTAATTTATAATTTATTAATAATTAATTTATGTTCGCATTTTAAAATACCGTAACAAAATATATTTGATTTTGTATATAAATTGTTAGATAAATAATTATTATTCATCAAGAAATTGAGAATCGAAGAATCGTAACGAAATTTACAACATTTTATTGGCTTTATTTTTACTTGTAATTATGGATGATCATGTAAATAGGATTAAGTAACAATATATTCTCAAACTGAACTCAAATATAACATAAAAAGCGAAATGATACGAGAAGATATAAAAACGAGTGTAAATAAGATATAAAGATATATAGATGTAGTAAAGATATATAATAGAAGTAATAAAGATATATAGATGTAGTAAATAATAAAGATATTTATTACATTAAATTTCGTCTTGTTCGTTTCGAAAGAATTTAAATCACAGATCCAAATTTTTTTTTTACTTTCTCATAACTTCGATCTCTATATATATTTCGATATTGTTTTAAAAAAATTCAAATATTAGTTTAGCTAAGATTTATTGTACCTTGTTTGGCAAAAATTAAATTATGCAAAAAATTAAAAAATCATATATCATCATTTAAATCACAGATCCAAATTTTTTTTTTACTTTCTTATAACTTCGATCTCTATATGTATTTCGACAATGTTTTAAAAAAATTCAAATATTAGTTTAGCTAAGATTTATTGTACCTTGTTTGGCAAAAAATAAATTATGCAAAAAATTAAAAAATCATATATCATCACATATCATCATATGTAATCATGTTTCAAATTTATTTTATTTATATATATACTATTATATATATATATATATATATATATATATATATATTTCCCGCGAGCGGCCGATTTCTTTGAGCGCGCCTTCGATATATATCGAAGTCCTCGCCCTGGGCGTAACAATACATATATATATATATATATATATATATATATATAATATATTTTTTTTAAATTCAGCATTTATTTCTGTGTTCTCATCAAAACGATAAAAATTTATCTCGGGAACATTCTTTTAGATAATAAATTGTTATTTTTACCATTAATCTAATCCGTTGCTAAATCTATTCTTATCATTAATCCCTTTTATCATTAATCCATCTTTCCTTTCGAAAACAGATACTAATGATATATCTAAAAACATACATGAGATTTAAAACATTTCCCTTTAGAATAGTCCTATCTAATTCCCGTGTATATGATATAAATATTTATTTGTTGAGAGATAAGGATAGGTAGTAGTACAATATGCTGAGTAATATAAATAGCGACTAGAATCAGAGAAGTGTCGATTCGTAATGGTTTCTACAAAAGACAGTACGATGCTCAATATTATGATGGTAAAGTTACTGATCGTTCTGCTTTGTTTAAACTTAGCCATATCAGTAAATTCAAATGAGACTGCACCAACAGTCAAAACTCCCTCAGGAGCACTGAAAGGCTATTATAAGTTATCGCAGAATGGCAGAAAATACGAGGCATACGAAGGGATTCCTTATGCGTTACCACCTATTGAAAAATTAAGATTCAAGGTACGTGCATAATCTTAGATTAATTATTGACTTATATATTTTAGCAGCTGTATTTCTTGAAATGGCATTCTTTATAAAGTGAAACAGAATTGAATCATGAAATAATAGATACTAATAATTTTACATTTGATCAAAGATTTGTATTCCGTCAATTTGCTTAAGAACAATTTTTATAAAATTTTTCTCACATTAAATATTCATAAAAATGTCCTAAAAGTTTTTTTTTTCGTTTTTTTCTCACAGCCTCCTCAACCAATACCAGCATGGATTGGCGAGTTACCGGCTACGAAATTCGGTTCTCCGTGCATTCAATATGCTCAATTTCCTTACGATTCTACGGAAAAAGTCGAAGGCGCCGAAGATTGTTTATATTTAAATATTTATGTGCCAGTACAAAACAAAACGGAAAACAACATTTCTATGCCAGTATTGTTTTGGATCCATGGTGGCGCTTTTCAGTATGGTAGCGGTATGATTTATAGAGCCACATATTTGATGAATAGCGATGTCATACTCGTCACAATTAACTATCGATTAGGACCAATGGGTAATACCATCATACAATATATCATATATGAAATTATCTCAGCATTTTATTAGAAAAAATTATACAATACTTCCAATATTAAAATTTATTTGATCAAATGTGTTATAATGCAAATTCGTTGTCCCGCTTGACGATTCAAAATTTTTGTTCTAAATTATCAAAAATATTAGGTTTTCTTAGCACGGAAGATGAAGTAGTTCCTGGCAACATGGGTCTAAAAGATCAAAATATGGCACTTCGCTGGGTATCCCAGAATATCGAGTCGTTCGGTGGCGATCCGAACAGAGTAACTTTATTTGGTGTAAGTGCTGGTGGTGCAAGTGTGCATTATCACTACTTATCGCCAATGAGTGCGGGACTCTTCCAAGGTATTTTTACAAAATGATACACGCATCAAGATCGAAGTAACAGTAACTAAATTATTAATATCTATTACAATTATATCGTACTTTGCAATTTATCACATAGGAGGAATGTCGTTCAGCGGAACAGCGTTCGATTGTTGGGCGCAAACTGAGAATTCTTTAGAGAAAACTAAAAAACTGAGCGCTTTAATGGGATGCTCTACAAATTCCTCTAGAGACATGATAGATTGCTTAAGATATCGACCTGTTCGAGATATCGTACAGGCTACAAGCGAATTTATGGTGAGTTTCGGAGAATTTTGCAAAAGAAACAACGCGATTTCCTCTCAACCCAGAAAGTAAAAAATTTTTATATTTATCTTATGATTTTAGCCGTTCTACTTCAATCCCTTCACTCCTTTCGGACCAGTAATTGAAAAAGTCAACAATGATACTGCTTTCATCGATAGGACACCAGTTGAAATCGTGAATAACGGTGATGTACAAGATATACCTTGGATTACAAGCGTAACGAGTGAAGAGGGCCTTTATCCCGTAGCTGGTAAAAATAATATTATGGATAATTAGAAAAATGTTTTAAATATCTGTAGGCTCTTATCGATATTAATTTATTATTGTAGATTTGATTGCCAATGAAAATCTGAAACAATTAAACGACAACTGGGATTTTCTTGGTCCGCATTTCCTAGATTTTAATTACACCATCCCAAAAGAGAAACATGTCGAGATTGGTCGCCTCATCAAGAAGCATTATTTCGATAAGAAACCAATAAACCAGACAACTACAAAACAACTGATACAAATGGCGAGTGATCGCTTCTTCATGGTCGATAGTGAGAAGGCTGCGCGAATGCAAGCCAAAGTAAATCGGAATCCAGTCTGGTATTATTATTTTGCGTATAGAGGAAAGCAAAGTTTTAGTGATTTCTTGAGTGGTACAACTAATAATTACGGTAAATTTATCATGGAAATTGTTTTGAATATTCGCATATAAAAATGAGGATTACATATCAAAAGGGAGAGTTTTATAAATATTATTTCTCGTTTGTTATTTAGGTGTCTGCCATGGCGATGATACATTATATATATTAGATATTCCCAGTGTGGATCCAACAACAACGCAACAAGATCGCGATATGCAAAAGCTCTTAATCGACTTTTGTATATCTTTTGCTACAAATGGGTAAGCGTCAAAGATTCGCATATCGTTTCATATATTCATTCTGATTCTTGAATTTTTTTCAGAATTCCAAACGTGGCTGGTGTAAAATGGTCGAAATTAGATCCTTCAAAAAAGGAATTTCAGTATCTGCATATTGCTAGCCCTACTGAGATTAACATGGATAGCAATGATAATTTCGGAGAGAAAAAATTCTGGAATTTAATTAAGTTCAATGAGAATGTGTTAACTACATTAAAAACAGAATAGAATGATTTTACAAGGGGACTGAATCTTTTCATACATATATATAAATCCAAAAAATCTCTTGTATATAAATCTAAAATTGTATATAAATCTAAAATTTTTTCAAAATTATTATTATATTTAAGAACGACATTCAATTATAATAAACAAATCATAAAAACTCTAACTTTATGACTTACACGTCATTTATAAAGTTCCAATTATTAAGCCTATTGATTATTTTATGGCCTCTTCTTAATCTGATATTCATTAGAATCGATTATATTTGAATATAAGAAATATACATGAAAGTCATAATAAAAACAATTATTACCATAATAATCCAAGAACTCGAAGAAAAGAATATATTGGATAGAAATGCATAGTGATTGAAAATAATTAGAAACTAAAAGACAATCTATTTATTAATAATAATACTATTTTGTAATATTAAATTTTATAATTTAGTACATTGCATTATATAAAGTATTATATAAAAATATTATGCTAGTATGAAAATTATAATAAAAATATATAAATAATGTTAGCTATATTAGAATGGAACATATGAATTCTTTATATTTTATATAAAGGAAGAGACTTAAAATATTTTGCAACATCTATATTTTTCGAGTCTTAATTATAAAAACTTCAGAAGAATCAGTGATTAATTTGACAAATTCTATACATATATTAATAATTAAATTTTTAAATAATTAAAAAGTGATTGATAAATATCAAAGATCAGTTTACTGTTAATTAAGAAGATTTATAGAAAAATACAGTTAAAATTGCTTTTATCTCTCAGCAGACATTTTGTGTTTTGTAAATAAAAAGATATAAATATGACAATGAATATAGAAAAATATTTATTTCATCTTTGAATATTACAGTATCTTTTGCGATTGAATAATTTATTTACTATCAATTTGCATACATAAGTATCTTGTTATACAGCACTAGTGCTACCGCCATTTCGTGCACATAGCACGGAACAAAATCAAAAATTGTGCACATTATACATTACCCTCTGAGAACATTCATGGACGTTGGCTTTGTAGTTCATGTCCACGTTTTCAATGTTCATAGAGGGAGTATCGCTTTCAGAGATCATCTAAAAACAGGCCATGACATTTCTCAGTCTTCTCTATGCATTCTGGTTTACATAGATTTACAAGCCGGTGCACATATGCAAAACTGCAAGTACATTAAATAAAAAGTAATTCTACTTGACAGTAAGTTCGATCCTTTGTTATTCTCTTTAATTATATTCCGAATCATATAAACAGTTATTTTATTTTTCACATTTTACAGAATCTAACCTTTCAAATAACCTGTGATAAATGTCGCATTGAGAAACACATTCAATATCTTCACCATGCTATCGATAAATAGTGTAAAATTAATTATTCCGGCGAGCCATACAACGTGGAAAAATTATGTAGGTAATACGTACTGTCACCTGAAAATCTATCGCAACAGATACAAGCACCTAGTTCAAACTTTTGGTTATTCCACGAAATGTGATATAAAAAAGAATGCTGGTTCATTGCTCGATCCCAGGGTCGAGGCACTGCGAGAGAAATTGATTTATTGCGATTATCTAGATCGTAATAAGGTGACAATGAATTATATGAAGCGTTTTATGCAGAAGAAGAAGATGGAATTTATTGATAGTCAAATGCGGGTTGACAGACTTATGAAGCCTGTCTACAGTATACTCTTAGATAAGAAAAATGATGAGAGCAATGACAGTCATCTGCAGGAAGCATGTACAGAAGAGCAACCGACAAAACCTATTAAATCTGTGCATATGCCATATGCGAGTACTGATGAATATAGTAATGTAAAGATGTCGTCGGAGAATGTAAATGATAATAATTTTGATGAATTGGCAATACCTTTGAATGACAAATATAAAGCTCTGTACGATAAATATTTGGAAGAGAAGAAGGTAGCTTCTAGCAAAGAGACAAAGCTCATTTTAAAGGAATATTTAGAGGAAAGAGAAACGGATTCTTCGTACAAGTACAACTTGTCCAATGTTCCACCTAATTGGATGGTCGATGTCGAGGAATATGATGATACCTTAGATATGTGGCTCGACAATTATGGCACTCCAGATCCCAACTCTAAAATCAGCTCTGTTCCTTGTGGCGGATGCGGCGCCTTGTTACATTGCAAAGATCACGCTCTGCCAGGTTACTTGCCTTCAGAACTGTTTCTGAATAAAAGCGAGAAGGAACTGCGAGTCATGGTCTGTCAAAGATGCCACTTCATGAAATACTATAATACCACGTTGGAGGTGAAAGTATCGGCGGACGAGTATCCGAAACTTCTGAAGGTAATAAAAACAAAGAAATGCGCTGTCATCCTAATGGTTGATCTTACGGATTTCCCGTGTAGCATATGGCCTGAGATAAATAGCGTGCTGCATCCTCTGACACCAGTATTTGTGGTAGGAAATAAAGTTGACCTACTACCTCAGGATTCGCCACACTTCTTCACTCATGTTAAGGAATGCCTATCAAAGGCTGTGGAAAATGCAGGAATTAAAAAAGAGAAAATCAGACACATAGAACTGATATCTGCAAAAACTGGATATGGCATAGAAGAACTAATAAATAAATTACATTCTCTATGGAAATATAAAGGTAAATATATTGATTCGAAAAAATTGATCCTAAGAAGGGAGAAAATATACAAACAAATAAAACATATATTTTAATTTTTAGGAGACGTTTACGTGATTGGATGCACAAATGTGGGCAAGTCTTCTCTGTTTAATGCGTTGCTACAGTCTGATTATTGCAAAGTACAGGCTGTGGATCTTATACAACGTGCGACAATCTCTCCCTGGCCGGGTACAACTTTGAACTTGTTGAAGTTTCCTATCTTAAATCCCCTTAGATGGCGGCTTTATATGAGAACGATGCGATTGATAAATGAACGACAATTCAAACATGATGAAAACCGAATAAAAAACGATATGTTCAAAACGACGCGTAAATTAAAATACGCTACATTGCAAAGTAGGTATCGCGCTTACATCAAGCATTTATTGCTTATTGCACGAAAGACTAAATGTTATAATATTGTAATGTTATAATTTTCTCTCAAATTAAGGTCACATTGGTATGACATTTCGATCAAAATTGACACTTAAGAGCGATCCGTTTATGGAAAAAAAATACAGATATCATAGGGAACGATTCGGTTTCGACGAAACTAAGGAAGAATATAAATACAGCCGCTGGTGTTACGACACTCCCGGTACCATTCAACCAGAACAGATCTTAGATCTGCTAACGACACCAGAACTCTTATCAGTTTTACCGAGGAGAATAATCTCTCCTAGAACATTTATTTTACAAACAGATCAGACGATATTTTTGGGCGGAATCGGCAGATTGGATTATTTGGAAGGCGACGGTTTCATTAGGTATCCTCTCGTATTTAATTATTAAATAATAATTATTAAATTATTAAAATTTATTTATTATAATTATTATATATTTTATAATTATTATATATTTATTATAATTATTAAAATTTATTTATTATAATTATTAAATAATTAATCAGTTGAAGATGTTCAAGTATAATGAAAACGGTTTGCATGATATATAGATGCACGATATTCTCGAGTAGACAATTGCCAATTACTGTAACCAATACTGCTGATGCGGACAATATATACGACGAATTACTCAAAACGGAAGCATTCGTCGTACCCGAGAGCAATCCGGAGCGATTGAAACATTGGCCCGCATTAGGATCTAAGGAGATGGAAGTCATTGGTATTGGGAGGAACGAGTCAGCTGCTGATGTTGTTCTCTCCAGCGGCGGTAATCTTTGTTTAATTAATTTAATAAATATGAAGTTAATTTAATAAATATTAATTTAATAAATATGAAGTTTCAGGAACATATTTGCGTTTCGTGATTCTCAATCTCATGAAAGCTATAATTGTTATAGGATGGATCGCGATTGCTGGTGGACAAAACGTACGCCTTTCATTAAAGGCTTGGACCCCGCAGGGACGCGGCTTACACCTTAGAACGCCGGCGCTCTTAAGTAAATCCGTTGTTCTACGTGGTACTCGAGTCTTCGACGCACCAACATATAGAGACGGACGTCAAGCGTACAAAGCGTGAAGGAGAAAGAATAGTTTTTACATGTATAAACTTCTTGTATCTCCACATTACATGTTTCATCGTTTACGTATGTAGTCAATTTTTTCACTTTTATTTCATGCAGTTGTTATTTTGATAAAAAAGAGAACACAGGGTGTATCTTATTTTCTATCACATATCTCTAAAGAGATATTAAACATTGAACAATTGCTATTAACACTTGTACACACAACTTACGTCAATTAATTATTTTAATTAATTACAACTAGTCTTCTGACAATGAGATTTTTTCGTGTATATAAAACATCGTGTATATAAAATCGTGTTCGATCTGTGTTTTCAAATTTTATAATATAAAAGTCTAGAAAAAATTAGATTAATCAGCGATTTTTTTTCGATATCAACCATCGACTTCTTGCGCTCGTATCTTTGCTTGCTTGTACATTCTTTTATAAAATTTTTCTAGATCCTTATAAAATTCGTAACCTCGAGAATGATCCCGAGTATACTCGCAATTCGAATCGCACTCTTCGATTCTGAAATATAATATTTTCAAAATTGAATATATCGTTCTATTTTCGACATGATAATTTTATTCACTTACTCCATAGTTTCAGTAGGGCACAATTTTTCTCTAACTTTCTGCAGATTTCTGATTTTAGATTGTAATCTGTAACAAGCAGATATATCAAGGTAAAAGAGTCGAAAAATACACATACATCTTTTTCCAATCAACTCACAATGACACCGTTGCTTCCTCTCGCGCATTGGTCAGTTCACAAATACAACAGCATTCCCCGGTTTCGGACAAATGTTTGCGACATCGACGCTTAACGTCCATGTATCTCTTGTCTATGTCCGAATCATCGTAGCATTTAGAAAAGTAACAATTATATTTTAAACAAACCGGACAATTGTCCGTAACATGAATCTTATCATCGCACATCATGACAGCTTCAGCTTGCTTTCGAATACATGGAGAATCCTTTTTTATTGAATGATAACACTTAATGCCATGATTCGTAGTATCACAGTGGTGAGAATCGCCAACACTGCTAGATCTCTGACGAAATCTATCACAAGATTAAATAAAATACTTATACATTTAATTGTTAATGTTCAAATAATATAAAAATATATAATAATACATACGGTCGACAGCTTTGAGACCTCGGCTTAGTGTGGCAGACTCTTCGTTGCCTAATAATACCTTTGACCGGTCTTTTTCTCTGCCCGCATGTCGTTTGCTGAAATTGATAGATTCGCAAGACCGATATTACAAAAATCCCGAAGAATTCTCAAACATTGAATATACGAAAGAGGGTGAGGGAAAAATAAATTATAAACATGCATTCGTTCATACCTTAGAGTTAATCATTTTTGGATTGACGACATAACATTTGCTCATACTTGTGTCATAGGAGCCAGACACTTCCTCGATAATCGTTTTAGTGGAGACTTCGATTTTGGGCGCTATGATACCCTATGCAAAAACGGAGAGATAAAAAGTTTTATAATGGATACAGAGTCGAATATGAACAGAAGACGTACAGGAAAGCATTTGGTCGGCTCCATCAACAAATCTACATCAACTCCAGCCAATAAACCCTTGAAACACGACGCAGGGTATAGTAAATCTGCCAGATTCGTCTCGAACGTGGCCAGGGTGATGCCTCGACGATGTGCCGGTGTCGTCCATTGTATTAATTCCACACACAGAAACTCTTGTTCCAAAGTGCGTTGCAATTCCGCTAAAGAAGCTATTCGAGCAAAGATTTTGCTGAAGGTGAACTTGTCATGGAACAGCAGCGGGAAAATCGGACTTATTCTGCGAGTTTCCGCGCAAAAGTCGAGAATATCGAGTCGCAGAGCTACTTTGCCGTTAGGACACAACCAAACACCAGGGCACGTTACCTGAGAGCGAGAAGAGGAAACAAAACATTCCTTTGAATAATTTTATATATATGAAAGAATTATATGCAATTGACGAGAGAGGGAAGATACGTACCGCGTGTACTTCTAGCTGTACTTTAACGCGGAAAGCCCTGCCTGCCATCTCCGATGACAGTTTGACACATCGATCATATGGTCGATATTAACAGCATCGTAGCCGGATCTTAGAAATAATCACTTTTTGCTTCAGCAAAATCATGATGAGTTATAGCGACGTATGAATTTTCCGCCTCGTGTATTGTAGCCGGACCTACCGAACCAAACGTCTCGATTTAAAAATACACGCGGGACCTTTACACCTTTATGAACCTATGCCATCTTGCGAAAGAGTATCTGTTGCCATGGAACAGCGGTACACAACATAAGCTCGATCAATGTATCGAATTTTCTTCCAAAGTTCAGTCGGCACCATAGATATTATTGTCGAGAGAGCATTTTTTTCTGAAATGTAGAAGAAAATTCGCCGAACACGTTCAAGCTGATGTTTCATCTTTATTTTAAATCATACAAAGTATCTTGAATATTTATGTTCTAAACGGTACGCCGGCAAATTTTTTCTCCGGTAAACCTTTGTGCAGTTTTCGTGCGAGCTCATATGTTACAAAATCTGATTGTTTCCTGGGGAAACGCAATCTCAGATCCCTCGTGATAGGTATTAACGGTGCAGAGAACCAGCCATATCTGGACGCAAATGACTTGTTATTGCAACTAAAAAGTCTCTTCATCTACGTACTTGTCTCTCGTCGACTTACTCCATGTTCACCGCCGGTGGCCTAAACGAATAGATATTCTTAGGCGTCATCTCCTGTCGTTTGATCAAATCGACGTCCTCCTGTCGAATTTCCCACGGTGGAATAACGTCATGTTTCGCATAAAACTTGCCGGTCAACGATTTCGTTCGAATAGTAGGTGTAAATGTTTCTCGCACACTTATCAATTTGTTCTCTCTCTCGTATCTCTCCTTGTAAAAGCGCAATTTGGCAGGATTCATCAGCAAGTTAGCCATAGTTTCTTCGATTTTCGAAATTCTCTAATTTTTTTATTGCCGGTAACACGCGGATTCGACCTTACGTCATGAGAAAAAAAAATAGAAAAGCGAACATCTAGTTAACTAATTTCAAGATCTTTGCTGACAACGCATTCGCGAGAGATGACAGAGCGATGATGATAGAAGAGATAATAAAAAAAAAGAGTATTGATGTATATATATTTATTTTAAAATATGTATATCGATAGAAAACACATACATAACAAGCGGAAGACCGTGGCCGATCAGACAGATTTCCAGGCCTATAACATCGTTGTCTACTTTTTCTCGTGCAATCAAGAAATTTTTCATAAATGTATAGTCGAGCCTCTCTTATTCTTTCCTGCTACATATAGTTCCTATTCTTTCCCCGATTTTCCTTTTCCGTTGCCTCGCTCTTTGCATGCGAAAGTCAAACATAAAGTAACGAGAGAGCGGGGCAAGAAAGGGGGGAGAGAGGAAGAAAGAATAGAAAATATGGAAATAAGAATAGGAAGTTTGACTGTACAAGAAATAAGGAACTAAAGCGCCGTTTCTTTCTACTAGTCTCCGACATTGCGCCCTAAAGCGTCACGCTGCTTCGAATAAATCATTACGCGAGCGATTAATCGGATTAATTGACGATGCTGATTTTTTTACTACATTCTCGATATAACGTATCTGACATGATTCACTTAACGCTACGCATTAAAAAACTATTCTTTGTTCGTGTCATACTATGAACACAATTATGGCAAAAGAAAGATATCGAGTATTTTTTCGAGAAAAAAAGGCTACGTGCACACATTTAAATTCGTAAAGCAGTTGACACTTTGGAAACGCGAGTTAGATAAGACTGATGAGACAAATGACGACAAACGCGAGATTTTTTGTTGTATCTCTTACTACCTGGGATAACTATAACAATATATAGCTGCCGACTTTTTATATTTATATTTCTCTAAATATTGGAGCCCAAGTATACTCTTGTAAGTCACATTAAGGCAATAAAAATACGCAATTATTTTTCGCTATTGGAGAGACTTGAAAATATTCTAAAGTAAACTCGATAAAAAATATTTTGCTTTACAGCTTCTTTTAAATTAATCCTTCCTGATCCAAAGATAATTGGAAAAAAAATCAATTAAAATTTCTGAATTTTAAATGAAATTTATGTGATATTTAAGTAGCAATCTTTGAATCAGAAAGAAACATACGATATATTTAAAAAAAACAAATTTAAAAGTTTCAAACATAATACACAATGATTTCCGATTAGAAGAAAGATAAAAGCTACAACTCCGATAATTTTTTGACATTGTGGTTCAACAATTATTTATCTTTTTGCAACAAAGAATATAGAAAATTTTGAATTTTTATATTTTAAGCTTTTCAAAAATTTCAAAAAAGTATATCTAAATTTAATGAAGTTTGATTAAGCTTCTCCCTTCACGTACATAACATATAAAATAGCTTCTGAAAAATATTATTTTTGGCGTTTTCAATTCGTTAGAGAAATAACTCGTCGCTAATTTAGTAAAAAATCTTGCTTATAACCGGACATCCTTGTATTTCAACACGATGTATTTATTTAATATTTGTTGGTTCCACCTTTGTCATCGCGACTATTTCATCATCGTGATAAAGAAGCGCGAGACACTTTGACGCGCAATGAGAGATTCACTGATATATTATAAATCTAATTATATAAAATCGTTGTATAATAGTAGATGCCGCGTTTTCCTGTATTTTCAGTGTATTCTTATAAAATTACTTTCTCTATCCGAATTAAAAGTCAGTTTTTTTCCATAACAAAAGATATATCTGCAGCACCGAGGATACGTTTTTTCTTTCACTGAAGTGTTGCATTATGTTTCTGAAAAAATAAAATTTGTTTGCAGTTGCAATTACATCCTATGAATTAAAACAAAGAATATGAGAATTTAAAACAGAGTAGAAGATAACTGAAAACAGATTAATTTCTTTTTCGCTTCTAAAAATTACATTTCTTTTCACTGATCTTTTAACGAGAATGATTTAACGCATTTGTTCACTGTACCCTTTTCTGCTCACCGAATAGCTTGCTGTTCCCTTCGGCGAACTCCACATCCGCCATCCTATCAGCGTAGGATCTTTGCCTGTCGGCGCCGAATTGCGATAGATCCGCGATATTGCCGTTGTTGTGATATCCGTTCTCGCATCTGCTCAAGTAACCGTCCAGCAACGGTGATCGGCAGGTGTCACGCGACGACAAATAGTCTGGATTGCTCGGCGACAGGATCTCCTCGTAGTACTCCACGCTTTTCGGTTCCAGACGACTAACAGTGGAGCCGTACTTTTTCGGCAGAGTGGTCGATGCGCTCCTACCGCAATAAAAATCCGCCGTTGTACCGCCGTCGTTCAGGGACGATCTTGACTTGGTGATGTTCTTGTACCCTGAAACCGCGAGATCGTTGTCCGCGATGACGTCCGTACTGTGATATTTAACGCGCGACGCGCACAGATCCGAGGTTGGCGACTTCACGTATCTCTTCGAGGAATCGTATGAGGAAGACGGTACATAATGATCGTAGAGGGACTTTGCTTCTGGACTGTAATGACCGTGCGAGGACACGTCGCTGTATCTCTCTCGGTCGATCGGCGATTTTCTGGAGGACACCTCATCGTATAAACCGTATCTATTGTCCGATCTATGAAATATATATGATAGGTATGAATTTCCCTTTATGTAAAAAAACTTATTATAATATTAAATAAATTATTATTATTAATTAGGGTATTTCAGAAATAGATAGCCAAACTTTTGGAACATATTTTACATATCATAAGGATTTAAAAACCATTAAATATACATATATATATATTGCAATTTTTAAAAACAATTCAGATGATTAGAGGAAGAACTGGAAAATGTACGCTGTAAATTAATTTACCTTGTTCTAGAAATGCCATAATACAATCTGCTGCGCTCCCTTTCCCTGGAGCTATTGAGGCTGAATCTCCTGGGCAGAGTCGCGCTGGTCACTCCTGGCGGTGGCGCAGTCAGAGATGGCCTCTTCCTATCGTTGAACCTTGAATAGAAACTGCGCCTTCGTATTCGGTCTATCACCGATTCCGAGCTGTCGCCGCGCGTGAATAGAGAATACGACGTCGGCGACGTCGGCGAATATAACAGTGGCGAGTGCAAATCACCGCGATTGTGATTCAGGTCAGCCGAACAGATCGACCAGGAATCAAAGCTCTCCGGTTCTTCAGGCGAGAACATTTCGCTGGTCAAGCATTCTTCCGATGGCGACTCTTTAGTCATTTTAGCGTTGTTCGTGTCGCTGATTTCTTTAAGCGGACCTATCGCGTTCTCTCTCGGCTTTTCGTCACTCATCGAATCAAACGTTGAATAATCGTCGATAGTTTGCGAGCTCGAGCAATCGTTTCGCGACTCTATGTGATTCTCCATGATCCTGACGCACTCGGTGACTTCTCGCTTCAGCTCAGCGACATCCTTGGCACGCAAAGGCTTATCGATAATGATCTTGTTGCCGGTGATGTTAGCGTGATGCGTCATCCTCGACAGACACTCTATCAATTTGTCGCCACTTTCTGCCACAGGAACGTCAGTCTTAGGCGATCCAATAGCGGGATTCGCTTTGGGCGACCCGGACTTGGGCGAGTCCCTCTTGGGAGTCGTGTGTCTGAACGTGTGCTGTGGAATCTTGGACAGATCGAGTTTCAGGCCTGCTCTACTCGGCCGATGTTGATCCGGTGATTGTTTAGTCGGATTGACATTTGAATTGGAAGTGTTCTGAAGCACAGTACTAGTCTGATCGATGGACGACAAGTGTGCGGATTTGTTCGGTCTAGCTTGGTCTTCTATAACATCGACTTTGGATGACGTATCTGTACTTTGCGTAAGATGTTCGCTAGCATGATTGTCAGACTTCGCAAACGATGTTTTCTGAATGTCCAATTCCGTCCGTTTTAAAGAGGATGATTTCGAGGCAATCTGATCGTCAAGATTGTTTCCCTCATCTTGTGCTATGACATTCGACGCCTCGGGACTTTTCTCCTTCTTTGTTATTAGTCTCTTTTTTATCAATGGCTTCAATGATCTCTCCTTCTCATCGGATTTGCTCTCCGAACTATCGGACGATTTCTTCACGACCTTCTTCACGACACGCACTATCTTCTTTTTCTTAGTGCCGTTGATATCATCTTTTTCTGTACTTTCCTTCAATTTCACCGGCTTCTTAATCTTTTTATCAATATCCTCGCTTTTGTCAATTCTCGCGATAGATCCATTCTTACCTAGAGAATTAATATTTTTCTTGGTCTTCATCAGTTTCTTGTCTTCGCCACTAATAATGGACTCCGCATGTTTATTATCTATGATTTTCTGAGGGTCCGACTCGTCCACTAATTTTTTCGGTGACTCCGCTTTCTGTAACTTTGTTTTATCCGCGGAAGAGTCCAACTGCATGATTTTTTCCGGTGCTTTTTTAAGCTCCCTCGGCTGCTTCTCCATCAGAGGTTTCTTCTCTTTAACGATCGATTCTTTTTCTCTCGGTTTCTCCTTGGGCGGCGATCTCTTGCACTCGCTGACTTTCTCTGGTGATCTCTTGTTCTCCGGTATCTTCTTCCCCGATTTGTTCTCGGCTCTGGCGAACTTGGTCGGTATTTTGCTCGTTGTGCTGTCTTCCTCCGATTCGACCGACTTGGCGCATTTGGGAGGGCTTCTCTTCAACCTGCTCATGATTGCGTTCTGCGATCGGCCGCTGCTATTCTGCTTCGCGTCCGCGTTTGTCTTAAACAAACCCAACACCGATGTCACCCTTCCTTTGGCTGATGGCACGTTTTTGACATCGGCATTCTTGTTCAACGATAGATTCTCCACACTCAGTGTCTTCTTTGCGCCTGTCGATTCCACGGATGAACACGGGATGGGCGGCGCCGAGCATTCGCGTTCCTTCCGATCATTGGCATTTATCGTCGTCGACTTTGCGCCCGCCATCTCGTCGTTTACGCGCAGCCTCTCCAACTTCTTCTCCAATGAATGCAGGAAACCGCTCTTCGCACCCGAGACACGTTCCACCTTCGCTTTCTCTTTATCCTCGTTCTTGGGCTTGGTCTCTGAAGAAGAGGAGGAAGGGGCAGAAGAGGCGACAACACTGTCCAGTTTATCCTTTTGTAACGCGTTCATTTCATTCTTTTGCTCCTTGCAGATCTTCTCGTCCTTCGCGCTTTCGCCCTTCTTGTTCTCGCTCTTTCGTCTCATAAATCGTGATTTCCGGCGCTCGTTCTCTGCTGCCTTCTGCGCCTCTTTCTCCTTCACGTATTGACTCTCCTCTCGTGGTGTGTCGAAAAAGTCCGGTCGCAAGAAGCGTGAGATCCGATGTTGTTTAGGTTTCTGATCTTGCTTGTTGTTGTTCTTAGATTCAGTCTCTTTACTGCTGCCTCTAAAGAACTTGCTCAATATCGATCTTTCCTGAGTTGCATTTCCAGCCAGCGCGTCTTGCGAGCCACTGAATGACTTCCTGTAGTCTGCGTTTACGCTCGATTCTCTAGTTAACGAGCCTGAACGCAATCTGAGACTCGGGATGCAGCTACGTCTCTTGGATGTGATGGAGTTAGATGACAAGTCCGGGGGTGAGGTGGTAATCAGTGCCTCCTTATCGCATTTGTCCGTGTCCTTATAATTACAGCTGAGATTCGGATTGAATCGCTGCGGTGTTAGATTCCTTAGTTTTGATTCCTTGATCAGATTTTCCGCCGCTAATAGGCGATTCTCGAAGCTCATGGACGTGTGATCGGACTTGCCGATCGATTTGCTCGTATAATCGCCCAGATTGGATGACGATTCTGTAGGCGAAGTCTCGCAGGATCTGGCTGATATGCCGCTCGAGGTAGTGGTGGTGTCTATCAGATTGGCGTTCGAGTTACACATGGATATCGAAGTGCTTTCCGACACAGAACCGTTTTCAGCAGCATTATCGGTATCTTCCTTGCAGCCAGACACGAGATACGCGTCGTCGCCGGGTTCCTCCTGGATCTTATCCGTTGTCCTGTAATTGTAAAAATTGTCTCGTCTTACGTTACCAATGATGCTCGATCTAGCAGAGTCCTTGTATTTCCGTCCGAGTGTCATCACGTGCTTCGGTAGCGACGTCAACAGTCTGCCATCGTCGTCGTCGTCGTCGTCGTCAAACAAACTGATGCTTCTCCGCGGTGAATGTCGCTCCATCGATCTGTCAAGTCTGGATGGCTCCAGCAAACTGTTGGTCCTCCTAATACCACCCCGATCGAGTGATCTACCCCTGTACTCGGTCTGATCGGACGTCGCCGAGTGCTGTAATCTCCCAATCTCGCCGATCAAGCTTCTCGCCGGCGTTTCCCTCGTCGGTGACCGACAGTATCTGCTGCTGTCGCGCGGTACAGATGGTGATCGCGGTATCGAATGCCTGGTCTGCTCGATAAATTGCCTGCTCAATCTGCGCGCCAAGTTGGGAGTGAAATTATGCTCCAACGACTCTCGCGTCTCTTTCTTGACTTGAGCCGTTTCCGCTTCTATATCTCGCTTGCGAACTTCCTCTACTCTATCTGAAAGCAATCGAAACAGGGTCTATGCACATTCCGCATGCGGGTACGTGTACATGTGTGTGTGTGTGTGTGTGCGTGTCTGTATCGTGTGGCAACTAGGTATTATTGTTGGTAGTAATATTTGGTGTAGGACAGTTGCGTAAGAATACTCTCACAATGTCGGTATATTTACATTCCTTTATTTCTCTCTACATACATAAATTGTTTTTATAAAATCTCTGTCGCGAAAAATGTAATAAATAAAATGAAACATACTGTTCCTTCTTTTCTCTCATTCAAATTTTGTCGAGCGTCTTCTCAAAAGCGATCCCACATATCATACAACTATATATTGTAGGACAACTGCACTCGCCTTCGTCGATGTATATTTTCAAGTCATGGAAAACTCTCTAAAACGTGACTCTACTCGCTTTCCGCGTGACATCGATGACTTAGAATAGTGGAAGATTTCAAAACTAATCTTATACAAGGATATCACATATAAACAATGGCTCTTTGAAAATATGCATCAACGATACTACATAATAGTAGCATATACATATACGTACTGCTTTTCTTTACATATAGGCATTAATACAGAAAATTATAAAGTGTGTACTCATTTAACAGTGATCATGCAAAAAAAATAGGACGCTTTCATATATAAATAATTATAGATTTCAATTAATAAATAACAAAATATAAAATAAATCAATATATAATATATATACTATATATATATATATATATGTATATATAATATATACTATTATTTATTCTATATGTAATATATATTATCAGATATATTATTATATATATTATGTATACACATATAAATAATATATATATTCTTAAAAATCACAATGTGTTAAATGAGTAGACTTAGAACAAGTAGTGCCACAAAGAGAAGGAGAAGGGGCTAATAATATTAAATACAATATATATATATATATATGTGTATGTATGTATATATATGTATATATACATATATATGCATTATATCAAAGCATGCGGAGACAATGTGAAATATTAAAAAACGCTGTTATTTAAACTCTTAAAAACACAACAAATATCAGCCATCTCAGACAAGAAGGTTAGCTTCCGCTTGCACAAAAAAAAAAGTATACAATCTTTGATTTCTTTTCTCTTTCTTCTTCTTCAAATACCTCTCGCTAACAATGTAACACATAGAAAATTCTGTCTCTCTCTCGTATAACAAAGTTATTCTCAAATTCTTAAAACATGGCAACAAGTAACTTATTTATCAACGATTTTCGCGAGCCAGGTTTCGGTATGATTTATTCCACAATGTGTTGCACAAAATATCATATCACACTTACACATTTGTCGTCACTTATTACAAACATCGGAGCTTTACACGTTCGTGGCATTGTTATTGACATACTTCGTTTTTCGTCGATTCAATACTCATAGTAGTGTACACTTTCCCATTTCTTTTTATACATCGCAAATATACACGTCTCCGAAATAAATCATACCAAAGATAACCCGGAAGATCCACAGGAAGAGATCCACTCTCGCGAGCAGGATGTCTGGTCTCGTCCAAGACGCACCGCGTGAAGAGTGTTAAATGTGTATATCGTAATTATCGTATAATGCGAGAATGTCCACAATTTGTCTTCTCATCGTGTGACGGAAAAATTGTACCGTTTTTTTTGTCGGCCACAAATCGCTGCGATCATTCTATGCGGTAACATCAGACAGATTGACGATGTTCGAGGAAGACCTCGATGAGAGTGTGCGTTTATTGAACGACTATTTTTTTGTTCTCTTTCTCAATGTCATGAGACTGCGTGTGACTTTATCAGTGTCACGTAAAACACTTTGAGAGAATTAGAGAGATATAGACATTAGTACCTAACTTGGTTTGTGTCTACTGGGGATTATCGTCTGCCCGCCTACGTAGAGTCACTCGCACGGTCGCTGCAACAACCGTCAATAAAACCGTCAATTAACGTATCACAAAACGACGTCACAGTATAGATTTTTCTAAATTATATCTCCGATAATAATTGTTTGCTAACTTATTGACCGAATGCGATCTTTTGGTTAACATGTACATCTGCGTACAAACAGGGTCTTCTTTCTTATATTTTTTTTTTGTCAATAATCTTTCTATAATTTACAAAAAAAGTTACACTTTTCTGGCAGTACATTATTATTTCTTTTAATTATAATATCCATATTATATTTTCAGAAACAAATAGAGAAGATTTTGTAAGACACAAAAGAGCAATATTTTGATACATCATTAATTAAATTTACTTAGTGAATAAAAAGGATCAATTTAGAAGTCCCTGTCGTTTAAATTAATCAAATCAATTAAGCCGAACAATCATAACATTCAACTACTGTGATAATTTGATTTTTTTCTCCTCCGAAAACGCTAACAAACAATTATTTCAATTACTGATTGAAGAGTCGACGATAGACGTAAATTAATGCATGAACTTGAATTAAATATGGATCTCAGTTTTTGGAAAGTGAAATTGAGACTCTTGTTTGTATATTGTATATGGATATGTATATAGAACATGCTCCAAAAATATTTAGTGTATACACTAGGTAAATGAAAAAAGAAGAAACTGCTACTACATTGTTATGAGATAATGGAAATCAACAGCAGCAGTGCATTGCAACAGCTATGGCGTATTACAAGGTTCTCTGTCAGGCAAAGTGAGCTTACAATTTATTCGCTATGTCTCTTTAATTTACTAGGAATAAAGTTTCTACTTATTATTCTTTTTTTTATTTGCATTTTTTAATTTTTCAAACAAATATATGTAATTTATATTGAAGATAATATATATTAATAAATATTATTATATCTCTAATATATATTAATTGTATTATTAAGATAATATATATTAATTTTACAAAACACAGTGCATTAAACAAACTTTGTAACTTTTATACTTGGATAAGTAAAAAAAGTTCTTAAAAATAAAAGAGTTTATTTATAAATAAATATAATTAGAGAGATAGGGTCCTAATGAATGAGTGCAAATAAATTCTCAAGAATACATAAAATCTAAAAATAATCATAAACAATAATAATTTGTTTTATTCTTCAAAAGTTTTATATAAATTATTAAATAATTTTTCTTTATCTATTTTTGTGTGTCAAAAGAGAGTATAAATAGCAATAATCAAATATTATTTAAAAATCAATCGACATTTTTGCATTTCACTTATAACGCGAATTAAATATTCAATATTTATAAAATCACGAATAAAAGGAGAGATCCATCACATATATATATACTCATCTCTGCCAAACATGAACCGTACAATTAATCTACCGTGTGTTAGTACCAAAAATTGCAAAACATCGTCAGGCAAGAAATCAAAAAATTAACTTATCGAAAGGAAAATAATCAAAAGAGAAAAAAAGAGAAACAATAGGTAAAAGTAAACAGAAAGATGTGCTCTGTCTATCAACGACTCGACAACAGCTAGGTACTAGAAGATGCATGCTGAATACCATCCAGCATTTTTTCACAAGGCTAATAAATTTAACTAGTGACAAGGTAGCGTTGATGACTGCAGCGATTCAATAGAAGCTTTCTGATCCATATTTTTCAATTAATGCCATACGTATGTAATCGAATCAGAACTAATTGGATATACATAAAAAAAGTAACAGATTATAAATAAAAAAAATTCAGCTTCTACGAAACGCGCGAGTCAACATTCTACAACATTGAATATTCGTATGTACAATTCATAGTGAGCCTTGATCAGCAACGACAGCACTGAAATCATTTGCAAGATAGTTTCAAATCATCAATGTTTACTTTATTATGATTTGCTCTTATGCGGATCAAGGTACCACGTAAAATTGTAAAATGACCGTATTACACCCTCTTACCTCTTGGCAACGTATTGCTTCCGATTTCGAAGACGCTCTCCCTGGAAGGTGTACTGCGCGATCCAGGGCTATTCGGAGTTCCGGGATTGGAAGTGCTGGCGGAATCTCTCCTCGAGAACATATCTGCGTCCCGACTCAGAGAATGTTTAAACTGCGATTCCGAAAGTCGCCTGTATGCACGAAAAGAAAAAAACGACAAGATATCACGTTTATGTTAGCGTATAAAAGTAAATTAATTTTTGATGCGGATCGAAACGCGAGTGTTTGAAAAAGAAAGCGAGGAAAAAAAAGATATTCACACCAACGACATCCGCGATATGAGAGTGTGCAAAATAAATCGGTGTCTATGAAGACAAAATCAGTACTGGCAGTAAAAGGCAGGTGTTGGCAAGAAGCAAGGGGGTGTCAGCCGTATGCGGGTTGATCGCAAGTATTTCGGGCTTGTTTATTTTTTGCAACGTGTATGTGTTACTCTCAGGTGTCTCCGTGTGGCGCATGGTATTAAGCCGAGGTGGACGAAATTAGGTTGACTGGCACAAACATGTACATGTATAAATATGCGATCTAGTTTTTTTAACCTGCTCTCTGTGTCCAATTGCGATTTCTGTGTTTCGTTTTTTTTTTGCAATCCCTATTACTTGTATCTCGGCTAACAGGCGCGTGTTACACTACGTTTTACAAATCTCTTTCTGAACAATTGGACTCACGTAGTCATGGTCCGTGTTTCGACATAGCTCTCGTAGCTTGCACAGACAAGCATAAAAGTCATCAACGTTATCATTAAAGTTAAAAATTCTTAAATACTTGATGAATCATTAATAAAAGTTATATCGAGAGCTCAATGTTAAGTCTCGCTGTTAGATGAATCAAGCTGGAAATGATATTTGCACGCTAATATAAGAACATCTATATTTACCTAGACAACGGCTTGTTAAGACTCCAAAACGCTTGCGATGTTGGTTGAGAACCCAGTCGGCTGAACAATCTGCTACTTGGAAAACCACCGGGTCGATTGTCATCGACATTGAGTCGTTGCGTCAGACTTCGCACTCTAGATAATAAGGTTGAAAACAGATTTTCGGCCGTCAGTAACTCGAAACCGTCGTCGTCGTCGTCCTCGCCGGACGATAAGCTGTCAGCATGCTCGGTTGATTGCCTGGACGGCCGCGAACTCCTCAACCGATGCATATGTCTTTGTAATAGATCATCGCTGTTCAAAAAAATAAAAGATTAAAATGATTCAACATTGACACTCAAATTTGAATTTATAAAGCAGCTTCGCATGAGCTGAGCATAATATTCATACATACATTGATAGACTGTTTATCAGATTATTTATTTGATAAACTTGTATCCTTTACCCGTGCAATGAAGAGAAGGGAGACTCGTCTTCGCTAGCATCCGACAGGAGAGAACTCATTCTTCTCGGTCTACCGAATCGGGATCTCGGCGGATTCGTGCTCGTCGGTGTGCTGGTCTTGCTCTCTGGTTCCAGACTACCCGATCTAGGAGTGACATAACCACCACCCTCTACTGCGATCGGAATTATATACTCCCTAGGACTCTTCCTGATCGGTTCCGGACCCACTGTTGAACCGAGAGCGCTGTCTGTATCCGAATCTGCAGTTGATTGACGCGACAAAGATCCCGATCGCTGAGACATTGATTTCTGAGATATTAGTGGTTTAGGCGGCGGTGTAGTCGAATGCTGTTCAGATCCCATCTCCACCTATAGGTATTGCAAAAGCAAGAGTTAATTTCGCTATGTAAACTAGAAAAGAATATGTACTTGAAGAATCAAACCTGAATTGGTATAATTCTTTCCCTCGGTGGTGCAGCCTGGAGCCTAACTTCTGGTTCTAAGCTCGCGCTCCTATTTGCACGAGGCAACCCCACCGCGGCGACCGGAAATGCCACCTCCGATCTCTGCGTGCGTAGTTTCTGCGGTTGAAAAGCATCAATCTTAGCTTCTACCTCGGACTTAAACGCTACAGTTTCCGACGGTTTGGTCCCGGATAATGTAATTTCGGCTTTGCTAGTTTTTCGCCTAGGCAACGTTGCGCTCTTTAATGTTATCTCCATTTTACTCGACATCTTAGGTTCCTCCAACTGTGAATTTTTGGTAGCAGCTGACGTACTAGTTATCTATCAAAAAAAAAAGTAAAAAGAAAAATCAAATGCGAACCGATGCATAATAGATGCATAACGATGAAATAACGATAGCATTAATTTCACACTTACGGTTGCTTGCGATGGTAATTTGCTGTCGAATTTCGTCTCAACTGGCGTCGAAACAGAGATGGTGGCCGATCGCATGTCATTCGGTGCGACTTGTATCTTCAATCCGAGCAATTTCTTGGAGTCCGAGTTTTGAGGCGATATTGGTGGCGAGCCGTTCAGCTTTTTTTGCATCGGAGGTTTACCGATCGCGCCACTAATGATATCGATGGCACGTTTCTTCGCTTCGTCTTGTTTATTCAATCTATCTTCCGTGGTCGCGGTTTCCTGACCTTCTATCGTCTGCTTTTGTTCCGTCTCCTTCTCACCTTTCTTGTCGGTTGGTACATCGATAATAACTTTAGACGCGCTGACCTTTGTGGGGGATGGCGTGGTTATGGACGAGAGACTGGCCTTCCGTTCAAAGGCTCGTTTCGCGCCTCCCACGTTAACACCAGGAATAAATATCTTCTTGGGTTTCTCGTTTTCTGCGGTAGATGCCAACTGATTGAATTTCTCGGCGGTCTCAAATATCTTTGAACGCCGTCTTTCAACAGGTTTAGCGAGTGCAGTTATCACTTCATTTGACAGCTCGGAGTCCAAGGAGAGTGCCTTCTCTTTGAGCTTCTTGAAGTCGTTCTCCGTTGGTTCGAAATGCTGCATATCTTGCGACAAATATGCTTCATTTCTGATATTTGTGTTATTTTCATTTGGCACTTTTGATTCTAGGGCATCTGACTTCTTGTCAAGCGGCATCTCATTCGTTTTATTTGCGCTTTTCGAAGCAGTATCTGCATCTTCATGTAAACTTTTGCTAGGAGATTTAGTATGCTTTTGTTGAGACTTATCTTCCTCATTACTAGGTTTTTGATTATAAAATTTCTCATACATTTGAACATTTTCGACAGACATTGGTTCGCATGATTGTTCGCTCATCAATGGTGTCTTGCTCCTTTCTTTACTTGGCGATCTTTCTTTTGATTCTTCAATTAATTCTAAGCAAGCTGCCACGCCTTCCGCTCTATCAAAATCGGCAGTTTTACTTGTAGGAACAGTTATAATGGCTGCAGGCTCCACCTCCATTGCCTCCTCCGATATAGCATTTGGAATTGGAGCTGAATGATGCCTAAAAAATAACATTTATCGATGTTATATTTATTCACGAATATCTTAATCCAAAAAAAGTAATTCTAAAATTAATATCTACCTCGACACAGATCTATAGGTTCTAGATTCTTTGTCATCTGACTTTTCTTTTCTCCTAGATCTCTCTTTCCTCTTCACCCCTGCCGCGGCCGTTTCGTCCATCGACGGAGTTGTCTCTAGTTTTCTTTTGGCGTCCCCAGCCGCGGAAGACCTTGGTTCCTCTTCAAACAACTCCCTTATTCTTCTATCGGAATTATTCTGATCGAGTTCCATCAAGCTACCAACCGAATGGCACCTGGTAGGTACTAGCGTTTCAGAAGACATATTATTCGCAACGTCTCCGCCCGCCTGCTGATCACCCACCAGTAGCTTTTCGGCACTGGCGGACTGTGGCACTAATGAAAGCAACAAATCTAGACGCACAGGAGTCTGAGCAGCCAGATCCTCGGCAATATCGAGACAATTTTGCTCATAGCCCTCGTTCACCCACCAATGAGTGCAAATTTTTTCAATATCGGCGCGTCTGCCCGGACAGACTGTGAGCATCTCTTTTATAAGCGGCGAGGCAGCTAAAACAGAAAGAAAGAGAAGTGAATAAAACAATTTAAGCATCAACATCCACTTTATAAAAATCTCACAAATTAAAAATAATTAATGGAAACTTATTTTACGAAACATTGTTCTTTTTTAACATTCGAATATTAGAAATTAACGAATTTCTTGATGTAGTTATTTTGTTACGTCAAGTTCTTTTAAAGGACATGTGCCTTGACACATGTTTTATATGAACATTATACTTACGAGATGGTTTCTTGGGTTCAAAATAATCAGATTGTGAGATCTGTTTGACTAGTCGCTTGAAATTAGACCCGTCGAAGGGCATAGCACCGTAAACCAATGTATATAGCAAAACGCCTAGACTCCAGCAATCCACTTCTGGTCCGTGATAAGGAGTTCCTTTCACAATTTCCGGACTCGCGTACAACGGACTGCCGCAGAACGTGTTCAGCAATCGTTGCTCGTCGAACACGTTCGAAAGACCGAAGTCGGCTATCTTGGCGTTTCCGACTTGGTCCAACAAGATGTTCTCGAGTTTCAGATCTCTATGGCAGATTTTGTGTTTGTGGCAATAAAAAACGGCAGTGGCGATCTGCCGGAATATTCTCCGAGCTTCGTGTTCGCTTAGAACCTTGCGTTCGCTCAAATAGTCATACAATTCACCGCCAGCTGCATATTCCATTACTAGCACCATCTTTTCTCTGTTTTCGAATACTATAAAAATACATAACAAAATAAAACGTTAATTTGTAGAATAAAATTGTACAAAGAATTGAAAAGTATAAACTCTAATTTCCATCAAAATTAATTAATTCAAATATTGAATTATATCAATAATAATTTATCAAATTATTAATTTTATCAATTCTCTTTTCTATTAGCTCAATTCGTGAATTTTCATGTAAATAAAAAAGGAGGATTTATTCGATTGTGATTATTTATTTGATGTATAATATAATCATCATCATTCAAATCGTTATATATTATCGCATCCCAAATCCTTACCCTCGTAAATATGAATGATGTTTGGGTGTTGAACGCTTGACATGATTTGTATTTCTCTTCGTATTCTGATCAAATCAGCTTCCGTTTCTATTTTGCATTTCTTGATCGTTTTTATTGCCACTTCCTGACCAGTTTCCTTATTTATTCCTAATTGCACCTTGCCATAAGTGCCCTGGCCTAATTTCTTTATGATATCAAATCTGCAAGAGAAATTTCGTCGAGAAATTAAAGGTAAATTATCTGGTTGTTAATTTGTAATTTAATCGCAAATTGTATACATTGCTGAATTAATTGTTATATCAAATTTTATTTAACTTAAGCTACTCAATTAAATTCAGAAAATTATTGTAATAGTTTATCTATAACAATTTTTATCAGAACTTTTTTTTCATAATATAATTTTTTTAATTTTCTGAAACTGCGAAAACATTCTCGTATGCAAAAAAATTACTCGATTCTTCGACATTTAAATCAGACATTTACCTTTGTTTCAACTTTCGCTTATGATTATGAAGCCGCACACCACCCGTGCTCTCCATCCCTCCCATTATATTATGTATGCTTGCTTCTCCGACAACCATCTTGCCTGCGTTTATCTGTGAAAAGAAAAGCAAATAACAAACTATAATATATTGTAAAAAGAAATTTTATTTTTATCTTACATAAACGTTATGATTAAAGTGAACTTATATGAGAATATTTTTGAGCCAAACTTTTGGATCACATATTCTTTATCATATATATATATGACAATAATAATAATAAACTATTATATAATACACTAAGAAACGCGAAGATTTCAAGGTAAATCTTCAGACATAGATGATGCTGAAGATACGTAAAAGACAATTTTCGTATCATTACATTTAACGTCTAAATAAATTTCATATCTAAATAAAGTTTCCTTTCTACTCTATTATTTGACATTTTCAGAAGAAACGGTACAGCTTCGCGCACTATGCATGATGTATTAATTTTACATTTGACGTCTCGCTGTTGAAGTTTAGAAACGACTTCGGAGTAAAATCCGTTGAAATTTTTCAGCGAACGAGCAACGGCGTTTTAATTCCATCCCGAACGACGGATTTCAAGACGCTAGCGCTTTTTTTATTGCGACATGATTCCTTCTCTGTCTCTCTCTCTTTTTCTCTTTTTTTCAGCCGCTTCCTGCCTCCCAGGCGGAACCGGCGCGGACTCTCTCGTAAACGAGGATGACAACGATAGAGAGACTAGCTATAGTCAGAGTCTTACATTAGAAAATGAAGAAGACGAGAGTGCGAAAAGGAAGAGAGAGAGAGAAAGAAGCAGAATGCGGTGAGTTTATTTCGGGCGTCGAAACGCCAGTGTATGTCGACCCGTCGTCGGTAGGTTTCTTCTCTCTGCACCGTCTTCTCGTCATCTCTACACGTACCGAGTACTCCTCACCGCTAATTTCCTAAATTCCTCGAGGAAGTCCTCAAAGAAATGCACCTTGCAACTTTCCACGAGACACGCTTCAATTAAATGTATCCTTTGAATTTTATAAAAATGATAGGCAATTATATATCGTGTAACGAATTCAGAAAATAATAAAAATGTAGAAAAAAATTAGCAAAAAATCAGCGATATTATTGTATGCATAATATTTAATTTAAGAGAGAGCAGAGGAGATCGTAAGAGTAAAATGTTTCCCAAAGAGGAGAGCGACTCGAGATAGAGTGACCTGTGCTATTTCGCTGTTGCGATTTATTGTAAGATTTAAATCTAACACAGTTTGACGATGTGTGATGCCAGTTTGTTCAATATAAGCGTTAACAAACTCAAATGACTCTAAATAACTCAGCTCTTACCACACGTGACTATCATCCTACGAAACTATCGTTAATCTCATTCCGGGACGATTAATGAAATGTAATTGTTGCCCGACAGTACAAACGATCGCCAACCGACCAATCTCTCTCCTTCTCTTTCTCTCTCGTTGTCTCTCTCTCTTCATCAGAATTTTTCATCGTCAAAATAGCTAAGCGCCTTCATGGCGCGTAGATTATGCCATGATTTCGTCAATGCGCGACAGTTAGTTCGCCAACGAAATAAATCACGGACGCGAATTTCCGAAGTGCTTGAATAAACCTTGCCAGATGTATCCATTGACAATTCGTATAGCCTTCTCTTCGCAGAAATATCAAAGTTTCGATAGTATTATGTCTAGTATTATTAGCGATACTATTATTATATTATTATTATTACACGTTATAAGTTTCAGAAATAAAAATAAATAACAAACTTGTATACTTGGTGTTTTCTTTCGGAAAAATATTTATTTCAATATCGAATTAAGAGATACGAGAAGCAAAAGTGACTTTTGACTTGTGAGAAAAAATCGAATTAATCGAAGAATATATTCGTAAAGTTTATCGAAATATGTATTTTAGTAAAAATTTATATAATACATTTCAACAAACCAAATAGAATAATCATTATTAATATAGTTTTTTATATACTTGACGTAATTTTAACTTCAAAATTTTATCTCTCATTATTTTAAAAAATTTAAGATTAATTGATCTTGTTACATAATTTTGGTTATATAATTTTGTTAAAAAAGTCTCTCTCTCTCTCATATGTCATTTAAAATTAAGTGTATTTCACCGTTCAAAAAAAATTCATTGTGAAAATTAAAATTAATATACGATTTTCATATTTTTAATCATTAAGTCTATTATAGAAAAATTGTAATTAATTACTTTCTTCAAAATTTAATCCTAAATTTCTCAAAATTGAATAACATAAAATATTTTTCATTCCTTAAAATCATGGATGAATAATAGAACATTCGACATTTCTTTCTTTCTCTCGAGAAAAGTCTTGAGAAAAAGTTATTTTTTATTGAACTAAATTACACACACTGTGTAATTTTCGTATTGGCCGACAATGCATTCTGTGCACCGAGAGAAGACGAGCCGCGTCTGGATGGCGAGGTTGTGCGGACCAGACAAGGTCCACGTTCGAAAGAAAATAATTCTCCACTTGAGCGGACTATCCGAGCTCGGTTCTCTCTCTTTCTCCGTCTTTCTCTCTGAGACGTCCCTGCGAGACGACGATAGCACGTCGCCTGGCTATTAATGCACCGCAATATGGATAACGGCTGACTTAAATACAGCGCCCGTGCTTAGGTTCAGGCGCCTGAACCGACGATGTATGACCGTGTCCCTTCTCCCCGTCACCCTGTGTCCACGTGCGAGAGTAACAGCGGCTGCTCCCCTCGGGTGAATGAAACCGAAAAGGCGACGTGACATGGCCCTGCCCTTTCCTTCCGCGATTAAGAACATCTTGCTGACTACGGCTAAGATGCCGAGACCTTTACTCATAATCAAAACATCACGAATATTGAGATCCCATGTTTTGTTTAGAATAATTAACGATGAAAAAAAATGATATACAATATATTTTTGGTCATTTAAATAAAATAAATATTTATTTCGCGCAACAATTCCCATCCCTGCTACTTCCCGCGCCTCTCATGCATATGCAACAGTTTTATAAAGAGTGTCTCCAAATCAAATAAAAAGCTTAAAGCCATATAAGATGAAAGAAATTTTTTTCTAAGTCTATATATATATACATATCTACAAATTTATTAGTACAACTACTCAACGTATATAAATTATATTAGCAATGTACACAGAAAAAAATAAGCGTCAAATCAAAACTTATATACTTAAATTAACGCGTTCATATATATGCAAAAATGTATAATCTTCTTAGAAAAATTTAATTTAAAATTAATATATTTAAAATAAAATTAAATATTTTTAAATTAAATTCTTCTAAGAAGAAATTTAATTTTAAATTAATTTTAAATTTTAACAATATTATAATCTTATTTCAATATAGTCATTGTTTTCTCAATATTGTCATCTCAAGAATGTATAATTATTTAATTCTACTTTAAAAAAATTATAATTTATTAGCTTCATTCAAGAAAGCAATTATTCCAGCAATTATATTTTTCTTTAACGCAATATAATCTCATTTCAAAATATCCATGTTAAAACTAAAGATATTTTCAAAACAAGAATATCCTTTTTTTCTGTGTAAAAATGGAATAATGTAAAGATATTGTTTAAAAAAATTTTAATCACAATTATAAAAGCGTGAAAAAATTTGAAAACTCTACATTTCTTAAATTTTTCTAGGAAGTAGAAGTACTGTTTCCTCGCTTCATTGTGCATACAAATTGTGCATACAAATATATGATCAGTTTGAAGAGCTCTTTTATACATGTACTTAAATTCTTAGGTTAAACTATTTAAATACTTAAAACATCTTACACTGCCATTGTTACTTGATAAAGACTATAAAAAAAGAGAATAAGAGACTCTTTGTCATTCATATATTTAAAAAAAAAAACGTGTCACGAGATCTCGTCTCGTTTCTATCTTGACTCTGGATTATCATACGTATATAACTTTTCTAGAGCGAGATGAATATCGATACAAGTATCGCGGTTTCAAAGGATTCAAAGACCATCCTTTTGTGCATCGAGAAAGTGGAACATGTCCCGGTGCAGATGCAGCATACGACGTCTATACATATTTCAGAACTTGTCTCATTCATGTCGTTCCCGAGTGTAATTTCCTCTCTCGCATCTCCTTCCGCTTGTCAGAGGTAACGAGAGAGTCGCTCGTTAAGGATCTCCTAGACTATCTCGTACACGTGGCCTGGTACGAACAGCCGCCAATGGCCAGTTTTATTTCCATCATGCGTCGATGCGTTCTCGCCTGATGTCGTAGAACGTTCCAAGAAGAACCGCGTTCTTCAAGGAAACATCGCGGTTAGACGTCGCGGTTGCCTTTTTTTCTGCGTATGAACCAACACCGTCTCGCAAGTCGGTTACTTCTGTTCCCAGATACAATCCCAGGAAAGATTGTAATATAACCATTAATAACTCTCCACACTTACTCGTCCTAAATCGCGCAGAAAAAAAATATTATCGCGCACTGATAAAGCGAACCGAAAGACCTTTTAATCGAAATAAAAATATCACTGAGAGATGATGTTTCTTCCGAGAACGCGAGATAATAATTCAGTGAAAAGTCTCTGCAGAAAGATTTTTCAAAATGATTTTGAGAGAGAGAGAGAGAATTTCTATTTTATTTTATATACAGAGTGATTCATTTTAATCTGAACAGGCAAATATTTTGAAAAATATGCGAGATACGAAAAAACGTTTTAGACAAAAGTTGTCTGGCTCCCAGGGGGATATAAGATGGTGACAATGATTTGACCTTGGTCGTTTAAAGGTCACGCGAAAGTTAATTTTCTAAATGGATCACTTATTTTTCATTACACATTCTTACAGCTTATCTCGAGAGAGAACACTATAATTAAATGTTTTTTTCATTAAGTACTTTTCAAATTATGAGGCTTAGGATAATTTCCTAATTTTATATAAATCGTAAAATATTCATTTTTCGATTATGTTACTTCAATACTTTTATACACAAAATAATGTGAGAAATCAATTGGTATAAAAATATAGTTGTTTTTAAGAAAAAATATGTAAATTAATTTGCAATTAGATATTATACACTCCCTTGAAACCATACAACTTTCGTCTAAAACATTTTTTCGTATCTCGCATATTTTTCAAAATATTTGCCTGTTAAGATTAAAATGAATCACTGCGTCACCTGTATATATAAAAGACCATGAACTTTTTTGGACTCTTGAACATCTTTCAGAGATCCTCTCGACAATTCTCACATATCATAATGATTCAAAGTTGTATTCCCAGAAACGAGCGATCGGCGATGATTAATATCGATAGTGTATTCTTCATAAAATAGACACCAAAAGCAAGTGCGTCACGACCGAGAGGACGAGGGGAGATAGCGAAGATGTGAAAGCAATTATTTGTGTCTCCCCGTCGAAAGATTGGCAGCCTCGCTCCGCTCCCGATACAATCCCGATCGGTCGCCCGTTCGCGTTTACGGTATTTTTAGCGGGACGTGTATATCCGCGTGTAGGTAGTAGTAACCTTAAAGAAGGGATTCGTGTCCCTCTAATAGAGTTTCCTGTCTTCTCCTCCATCTTACTCTCTTCGATCTATTTTCTGATGTATTTATGAATCTCTCCCTTCTCTCTTAAATTTCTCGTAATTTTGTTTTTCATCGCATTTTTTTAATCGCATTGCTTAATTTGATCAATCTATGCGATTCGAATGACAATAAAATGTGCACTTCCATGGAAACATACTTGCGTTTTTATTAATGACAATATTTATTTATAAATATCTATTCATTCTCTTTCTCGAAATTTTGTTTTTCATCGCATTGTTTTTACATTGCTTAATTTTATTCGAATGACAATAAAATGTGCACTTGCATGGAAACATACTGGCGTTTTTATTAATAACAATATTTATTTATAAATATCTATTCATTCTCTTTCTCGAAATTTTGTTTTTCATCGCATTGTTTTTACATTGTTTAATTTTATTCAATCCCGGCGATTCGAATGACAATAAAATGTGCACTTCCATGGAAACATACTTGCGTTTTTATTAATGACAATATTTATTTGTAAATATCTATTCATTCTCTTACCGATATCGTTAATAATAATTGACATAAATTCTTGAATGTTGAAATGAATTTTTCAATTCTTAGAATATTATATTCTTTTATACGCGAAAGTAGCTTATTCAACAATTATTGTGAAATTCTGATTCGCGCTATTCCCTGTAATAAAATCGCCATCGGTTTCGTCAGGGATGACTAACGCTACGGATTTACCGTTCGATTAACACGGTCAATCGTACAATGCTCCCTCTCGCTCCTCTCTCCGTCTTTGTCTTTCCGGTGAAGGTCAATCCACCGAAGCGTCACGCATTTAAGGATGTATGTATGTACATAGAAAACTATGACGTCACACGGTGCGTGCTGGATCGATGCCGTCGTGATTCACATCGGTATTATTAATTCGTTATTCTCGGTGACACGCGCTCAAAAACGGTCCGGACGGTCACCGCGGAAGATGCATTCGCCGAGATGCACCGATTCGCGTTCGAACTTTGCAGTTCTGAGATAACAGCAAAATACGAATGATTGTCATACATAATTAAAATTTCATTTTCGAATTTGCGCGTCGATAAAATGCTCGTTAAGATATTTTTATTACATGCATAGATTTCTCGTACTTGTCGAAAATCTTATCGCATGATAATCAAATACTTATTGTTAATAAGTAAACGCTTTCCAAGAATTTGTTAGCTCACTTGTACAAACAGAAAGTATCTCTAGCAATCTGGAATGATTCTACAATGATTTTATGTGAAACATATTTTATTTTACTTTTATTTTTCAAAAAAATATATTTTTTTTAATTCTTTGATGTTCGGTTTTTCAATTTTCTAAAAATAAATCTAGCAACTAATCTAAATATTAAAAAAAGATGCAATAGAAAGTAACTTATGTTAGCCAGATATTGTAAAGATTTGTTATCACCCCATGTCCAATAGATTGGTTATCATACTATGTGTCATACTACAGATTGCTTATTATACTTCAGCATTCTTCCGGAAAATTTACCGGTTAAAATCCGTCACGTATAAAGGTAAATTCTATAGTATAATAAATCGTTATAGTTTGACACTTCTCAATTATTAATTTAGAGCCTTCTTTATCTGATATATTATCATATTTATTATATTTATTTATTTATTTCTTATATATATTTCTATTTTATCTGATATATATTATATTTTTTATATTTATATATTTATTTCTCACGAATCGTCATCAAATACACATATATTTTGGATATATTATTAACGATTCGATGTACGCCAGAAAATTTGCACAAATTGTTACAATTTCATTAAATTAATTTAAACCGAGGAGAAATTTAATCAATTAACAAAATTAATCAATTAATCAATTAATCGGTTTTTACCTGTTTTTGCAAAAAGCAACTCGTACATCGACCGGCACTTTTTTAAAAAAAATCTATCGTGAATCCTCGTGCACGTTTTGGCGATATCGTGAGGAGAAACATACTATACTGACAAATATCGCAAGACGTATCAAACTTCCTTCGCGCGATGCTCGAGGACGGAGGAACCACTTAAAGAATCCGACTGTCAATCGGGTCAAATGAAACGTGCGTCCTGCGCACACATACATGTACACATGCACGCGTACACCTACATATATAAACATGCATTGTCGCACTATATGTAGGTTTCGTTCCTGTCGGACGAAAATAACATCCTCGAGGAAATATCTTTCCGATAAACCATTTACGGGAAAGTTCAGACGCTCTTCGAATTACGACTACCTACACCTACATAAGCAAGTGTACGTGTGTGCGTGTGCGCGTGTCTCGAGCACGCTCCTCTTTTATCGTTGGGTAATCGCACAACGCCCACGATGGCAAGAGATCGAGAACTCTCGCGAGGGTGTACGTGCGTGTCCATCGACGATATATTGTACGTGTAGTAGTATTCCTACTTCGTTTCATGATTAATAATAATTACATGCAACAATGCGTGCACATTATTAATTAAAAAAGTACGTTTTTGCACGTTCTCTCGCTGCGATTTTTTAAAAAAATTACGTTATTATTATTTATTATTATTATTTATTATTATTCATTATTATTATTATTATTTATTATTATTTATTCTCTCTCTCTCTTTCATTATTATTATTATTATTTATTATTTATCTTCAATTATCAAATATTAAAAAAAACAATATTGCGCAATAATTGTTGCTTTCTTTATTTCTCTTTAGGCTTATTTCTCTGTATTATTCGTTCTCGACACGGTAATGCATATTCGTATTCTGGAAGAAGGAAGATGAAAGAGAGAAAGTGCATATAAAAGAGAAAATCGCAAACGTGCCGAGAAATCTTATTAATATATCCTCTCCTCGATATGTGTGTTCACGGTGCAAATTTAATTTCCTCGATTTTCTTCTATATTCTTTCCATTTCGAATTTTTTATCCGTTCCTGCCTTTTTCGGTTGCTTCAAGTAATGATGTCAATATTTGCCTTTTTTCAAGTGTATTATCTTGGATTTATCTCGAAATAACTGAAAAATGGAATGTAGGACGTGTAAAATAACGTAGGATAAAAAAACATGTATTGCTTCACATGAAATCATAGAATCACCATCGATTATTCGCGATACTTTTCCCGTCTTTATAAACAAGCTAATAAATTATTGGAAAATTCCTGTTTATGATTATTAAGTATTTGATTATATCATCGATGATTTCGTAAGCAAATAGATGAGAAAAATAGTGCTTTAAAAATTAATATTATCATCTCCAAGTCATCGCATTAATTATCTTTTAATTATCTCGATATCTCGTCCGATCCACTAGCAGTTATCGGCTTTCCTTACTTTTCTCGTTAACTTTAAATACAATATCTCTCTAATCTTTTCCAAACTATCGTTCAACATCCAATCATTTTCCCAATCTCCCTTATTCTTACAACTCCCCTATTGTTATCAATTTGCCCGACTTTCGCGTTATCGCAACTTTCTAGACTCTGCAGCATCGTCTTCTCTCTCTCTTTCTCCGCGATCGCAAGGAATAACGATTCGTCGCTCACCCACGACGACGTAAAGCTTTGAATGGGAATCCGAGGAAGATGCACGCACACGCACACGACACACACGTCGACGCCGGCCGCGACGGGCCGGCTAAAAATAGCGGGAATTCGTACCTTACGATGTGAACTCTGGAGCGCGGATTATCCTCTCTCTCTCTCTCTCTCTCCTTCTCTCCTTCTCTGTCTTTCCCCCGTTTCATCCGACCATCCGTCCGTCCGTCCGTCCGTTCTCGCGGTCCTCGAGGAAGTATCCCGGTCCACCAGCGAGCGTATCTTGTCGCACACGCCAGACGAAGCCCAACAGTTTGTCAGTCGCCGGTCACTCGACGATGTTTCTCGCGCTTTCCTGGACAGTCGCGATACGCGCGGCACGTTTCCACTTCATTTTACCAAACACCCTCCGCGAGACGACGGCGAGATGACGACGACGACACGACGGCGCGCAGCTCGAACGTTGCCATCGTCTTTATTTACTAATTTTGGACGTGAACCGTCGCCGGGAGCGGGCAAGCGCGCACAGATCGGTGCGTCGACGACGGCGCCGCGTCGTCGCCGATGACTGTCGACGGTACTAATCGCGAGCCAATCGGAGCGCTCGATGAGCGCGCGCGCTCATTGGCTGTCGCACGTCCGAGCATAAACAATAGCAGACAAGATGTCGTGCAGAACAGATATCGCTTAAAGGCCATTCTACAATGGCCGTAGCATAAGGTTGTAAGATTCAGGAAATTGACCAATCACAGTCAAGTATTAAGAGAATACTCGACCAATCATAGTTGATTATTCTTTTATCGCAGAAAGAATACTCGACTATGATTTGTCAGTTTTCTTACGACCTTACGATTACGACTAAAATTTTTGTATGTGCAAAATCCCTTATCGATATATTTTATATATGTTGCAAAATATATATACTAGAGGTGTTAAAAAAGTCTGGACACGGTCGAATATCTCGATAAGGAAGAGTTTTACTAGAAAATGTTTTAGACAAAAGTTGTATGGCTTCGAGGGGGACATAACATGGTATCATTGGCTTGATCTTGAAAAGTTATTTGTCACATAAAGATCACCTTCAATTTCTTAAATGGAACCTACTCTTTCTCATTACATATTCTTGTAGCTTATCTCGAGAGATTTCCAAAACACTATAATAAAGCATTTTTTTGCATTGAATACTTTCCGAGTTATGAGGCTTAAAATAATTTTTTAATTTTACATAAACCGTAAAATATCTTGTAAAATATTTATTTTTCGATTATCTTACCTTAATACTTTTATGCACAAAATAATGAGAGGAATTAATTGATGTAAAGAAAACACATAGTTGTTTCAAAGAAAAAATATGTAATTGTTAATTGCAAATTACATATTTTTCCTTCGAAACAACTATGTTTTCTTTTTTTTTTAACACCCAGTATAAACAAAACAACATGTATATATATATATATATATATATATATATATATATATATATAATATATATATATAAAATTTGTGGGATTTTTTAAATCACAAAATTTATGTATTTGACCACAGAAAGAACGAATGGCTGTTTTTAGAACGAACTTTTCATGAAAACGAGTTTCATGAAAACCGTGCTTGTGCTCTATACTCATCGCTCAACAATACATTGGATCTAACCTGAAAAATAAATGAGAACGATAAACAAGGGAATCATCGAAATCACGAGTTCAAGTCCGAGAGCAAAAGAAACTCATTTCTAAAAAGATGGAGTCTGAAAATGTTAACGAAACTTTTGATAATCGTAACCAGGTGTGTTTACTTATTTGATGTTGACATTTTCACTTATCAGAATTATCGTTCATATTTTACATATGCATACATTTAAAGTTATTAAATATATATATTTAATAATTTTACCTCAAGTTATCTAGGTATATGAAACTATGCAATGTATTTCAGGAAGCATATGATGCAATGATAGCTGGAATCAAAGCTGCTAATAATCTACCTGCTACAGACAACTTCAACTATTATGTTTGCCTTAAGCCAAGCCTTAACGAGGCCAGGAATAAAGATTTAAGGAGAATATTGGCTACAATGCAGATGATAATAAGAACAACAGGAGGTTCCAGCAATATTGAAAGCGCAGATGTTGACGATAAGTTCGATCTTTTACTGGAGACAAATGATCATCTACTTGATCAAGCTGTGAGCATTACAAATTTACATCACAATTAATAATTTATATTTCTTACATGACAATTTAAATTTTTTGAATGAATTTCTCTGCCATAGAATATATTAATGGATGAAGAGAGTGGTATTCTACGAAATCCTCAAGTTGAATTGGTTGTATCACAAATGCCAAAACCGCTTATAAATGGCAGTTGGAATAGAGCTGATCGTACTAACAAAAGCTCGGACAATTCCGACAAGATACGATTATTAGGAGGAAAGAATATACAGAGACCGCAATTAATGTTCAAAGACAAGATCGATAATAGCTCAAAGCCATGGATGCCTCGAATTAAGGAAAAACCGAATTCTCTGAAACCATTGGCTCTCTACGTCGAAGAAGGCGAACATGGTGAGGTCTTTAATCATCCTTATGAATTTGAATTGGATAAATTTGATACACCCGAATGCCAATTGAAGAAGAGCGTACCTGTACAGTACAAGTCACTGGAAAGCACCGAATTCAAATTGATCGAGAAGCCGTCCGAAATTAAGATTCTCTTGGAGGATCTGAAAAATCAGAAAGAAATAGCTGTAGATTTGGAACATCACTCTTATAGAACGTTTCAAGGCATAACTTGCCTGATGCAAATATCAACAGTAAATACCGATTACTTGATCGATACCTTGGCTCTGCGATCAGAATTGCATCAACTCAATGAAATCTTTACAAAACCTACAATCTTAAAGATCTTTCATGGTGCCGATATGGACATTCTATGGCTTCAAAGAGACTTGTCGTTATATGTAGTAAACATGTTCGACACTCATCAAGCCGCGAAACAGCTCAACCTACCTTATCTAAGTTTGGCTTATTTGTTAAACAAATATTGTGGTATAAATCCCAATAAACACTTTCAATTGGCCGACTGGCGTATAAGGCCTTTACCAGAAGAATTGATGAAGTATGCTAGGGAGGATACACATTATCTACTTCACATAAAAGATATGTTGAAGAATGAATTAATTGAGACGGCTAACGGCAAGAGTAATATCTTGAAGGCCGTGTACGACCGATGTACCGACCTTTGCAAACGAACGTACGTGAAATCAATCTGGACAGAGGAGAGTTGCATGAACATGTACAGGAAGAGTCAGAAATCGTTTAATAACAAGCAGATGTACGCACTGCTCGAGTTACATAAATGGCGAGACATTACTGCGAGGGAGGAGGACGACAGCATCGGCTATGTGTTGCCGAACCATATGCTGCTCAATATAGCTGAGACACTGCCACGCGAGATGCAAGGAATTCTAGCATGTTGCAATCCGATCCCACCGTTGGTGCGACAAAACGTGCTGAAACTCCATAAGATAGTGTTAAAGGCCAGAGAGCAGTCTCTTGTAATGTCCATTCCGGAACAGGATATTCGACAGAGACCGACGCAACAGAATCATGTGGTAGATTCCGGGGCGTCGTTGTACACGCCGCATGATATACCGAGTGGTACCGAAGCGAGAGCAGATTTACCTTGTCTTTTGGATAAAAATGACTTGTCACAATTGAAGACAAATCAGCAAACAGAGGAACACACTGTCACAATATTTGATTCACCAATTACATCAGAGGTAAAATGATAATATTATAATATTATAATATTATATAATATAATAATATTATAATATTATAATATTATGATATATTTCTTTACATTTTTATAAGATATGTGAATTTCATGATATTTAAAAAATATTTTTATAATATATTGAAAATAAAGAAAGTATTTGTACATATAAGTAATGTCTAAGTATTTTTATTAAAATAACACAAAATTGCACTTCTTAATTTAGGATGAAGAAATAAAAGATAATAACGGAAAGAAAAAGGACATATTTATAAGTCCATATATGAGATATAAATGTGTAATACCAATGGTAGTGCATCATGAAATGAAAGAACGAGAGAGACAACAAAAAGAAGAAGAAAAACATTCAACTACAAGTATCGAAGAAGAACACATAGATGTGACTGAGATTAATGAGAGTAAAGGTAGAGTTTATGAACATTTTAAACAAATATCTCAAACTATGAATACAACACTTGAAACCCCCAAAAAGAAAAAAAAGAAGAAGACTTGTAAACAGTTATCTTTAAGTGAAATGAAAGGTAAAAAAAGAAAGAGAGAATCTGATATTAAAAATGAGATTCAAAGGAAGAGCAATAATGATGACTTTTCGGGATCACCTTCATCGTCTTTAGATGTAGCTAATACATGTAAGAGAGTAAAATGGGAGGAACAAGAAGAACAGAAAGCTAAGGATAATAATTCTGAAATAATTAAATCGATAAGGTAAGATTTTTGTTTGATTCAGAAAAATATTACATGTAATATATTTGAAGTGCTAATAATGTTTTCCTAATCTGGCGACAGGGCTAGGAAAAAAAATGAAAAGAAAACAAATCGACAAATGCTGAAGGCACAGGGTATGTTACCGTCGGAGGTATTTGATTACAAAACAGTAGATTTCAGCAGCTTCCAAGGTGGCAGTACAGGAAGCAATGCGATTCAGACGCAATTCCAACCACCTCGAGTATGTATATATACCTTGAATAAATACACAAACACACACACACATAGTATCTATTTATGAAAAGATAAAACACTTTACAAATATATATTATTTAAAAATTTAATACAAAAATTTTTCAGCAAAAGAGAAAAGAGAAATGGAGAAAGATGAAGAAACAAAAATTTAACATATAAATTGTGTGATACAGCTTTCCTTACCTTTCATCAAATTATCTTCGGAAAGAAGAGGAATACTGAGACAGGTACTGGTAAGAAAAATATAAAGTATAGGTTTTTAATTATCACTTTTTAAGTTTACATGCTAAAAATTAATATTGAATTTTCATTGACAAATTTTTGATAAAATTTTGTCATATTTTCTAAAATATTAAAAATAAACTAGATTTTTTGAAAGAAAAATGTTAATTTTTTTTCAATTATTTTTTTCTAAAATAAATATACAGATATTATATCTGTAGAAAACATCTGTAAATATGAATGTTATGCATTTTTATGCAAATAAAGTTTGTTAGAAAATCTGAATATATATTGTATATATTGGGTTGGCAACTAAGTTTCCGCCGTTTTTTTAAATTTTTTAAAAGTTTATTTTTCAATAAAAATTAACAACTAATTAGTCAATAATGTATTCTCTCTTGTTGTTTACAACTTCTTTCCAACGTTCAACAAGATTTTCAATACCTCGTTGGTAGAAATCACCCGGTTTCGACTCAAAAAATTCGCTCTTCATCGAACTCAACTGGACGAGGTGCCAGAACGAGGTGCGTCTTTGAGGTCAAAATTTTCATTTTTGAACTTGGCATACCAATCACGAGCGATTCTTTCAGCTATGGCACCCTCTCCATACACAGCACAAATGTCGCGAGCAGCTTTTGCGGCCTTAGAACCTTGATCAAAAGCAAAAAGAAGGAGGTGTCGAAAATGCTCATTTTTCCCAACTTGACATTCCATTTTAATGATCTGAAAATTAACATAAATTAAAGATTATGCCAAAAACATTTAATGACATGCGGAATGTTAAAATTTAAAAAAACGGCGGGAATTTAGTTGCTAACTTAATTGATGTCCACGTAGCTATACTTTAGAAATAATTTACACAATTATTTTTGATAAGATTAAGCGATTGGGATCATTCCATTATAAAGAAAAATATACGTACGTGTACTTTGTAAGAGTATTTCGATGTAAGTATACGTTTATCTTACAAAGGAATTTAAAGATATGGAGAAAATATTTTTTAATCTCACTTGACATAATATTTTAAAAATAGTATTAATGAAATATTTTAGTTGTAAGATTATATCTTCCTAATTGAACTCTGTTTAGACAAGTCAGTTCTTGTTTTTATAGATCATGATATCTTGATTGAAGTTAGAGTAAATATTGTTATTCGAGATTCTTTCTCTCTCAAACAGTTAATTTTATGTAAGAGATGATAATTATGTCTTGATAAACCTTCGATTGGTCAAGAGGCAACATAAATATGATATCAAATGTCGTTTATACTCTAGTGCATGAAGATGGTGTCTTTAGTTCTTGTGTTTACCGTTTTATGGCAATTTTTCAACATCAGAGAATGCTCCTGTTTATGGCAACTGCACGCGACGAATATAACTCGGCCACTTCAGGATGCATTAAACAGAACAACGTATGCGACGAATGTAACTGGGCCATTTCAAGGTGCATTAAATAAAACGATATACGTAACGAATGTAACTCGGCCACTTCAGGATTCATTAAACAGGACGATGCACGGGGCGAAAAAAATTATGTCCCTCTTTAATGAAACTACCCTGGCGAATTTTACATACACTATTCACGTAGGAGTCAATTCTAGTGAGCTGGATATCGAGGAGTTCGGAATCCCGGATTTCGAGGATTCCGAAATCTCTCCTAGCTCAGAAACTTTTTCACGAGTTGCTCAAGTAGACTGCTTCGGATTAGGGAAGACAGTCGCAACGACTTTAGAATGGTTCTTCAGAAGCGAACCTAACGGCAGTAACGCGCTGGACGTACGATTTTATCTCTCCTCTAGGAAGCAACCGTATCGCGTGGAAGTTATATTAGGCGAGCAGTTTGGCTTGGAGTGGACGAATTTCAACATAGAACGTAGGACGGTGATGATAGTACATGGTTTCCTATCGAACGGCAACGAGACATGGATCAATAATATGGAAAAAGCATTACTCCAATGGGTAAGAATCCATCGACTGCGATGTTGTTCTTATTTTTCGGATAAAATCATTCATTTTATCATGAAATTATATGATGCAGGATGACGTTAACGTGGTGGTAGTGGATTGGAGCGCTGGCGGTAATACGTGGAATTATTATAAGGCAGCAGTCAACACTAAAATAGTGGGATATCAGATATCAAAGTATGTAATCTTAGCCACAAAATCACAAATTTGATAGATGTCTGAAAAATGTTTTTGACAAATATCTTGACGATTTAACAATTAATATTTTAAATTGATTCTTGATAAGAAATAAAAAATTCTCTGGATATATCTGCGATGGTCTAATTTCTTTCAAGATGACATCCTTCAAATGACCATGTTGTCCAGATGAGAATAATTATCTGCTTTTTAATGTCGGTCTATTCATCCAAAGATTTATAGAGCACGTGACGAACGCTACAATCAATGAAAGATCAGATACGAACAATTGGGGCCTCTTACATCTGATAGGACACAGTCTCGGCGCTCATATCTGCGGAATGGCTGCAAAGGAGCTGAAAGGGCGACGGAATAGATGGATGGTGCAGAGGATCACCGGTCTGGATCCGGCGCAGCCATGCTTCCGCAACGCTGACCCATCGGTTCATTTGAATAAAAATGACGCACCGTTTGTCGACGTGATACATACAAACGGCAGATTACTCTTCAGTTTGGGTCTGGGTTTACCCGAAATTATAGGTAGTACTTTATACAAAAAAAGAAAGAATAGTACAGTTTTTACCGCGCGTTTTCTTCTTCAATGAATTCTTTAATTTTTGGAATTGTATTTCTTGAAAATTCTTCCAATTCACATTTACATAGTTCTTCTTTCAATCGATATCCTCGTACGTAGGTCATGTTGATTTCTATCCTAATGGCGGTAAAATGCAACCTGGCTGCGAGGAGTTTAATTCGATATTCGATTACTTGCCGATTCCTGCAACCGGTTAGTACTGAAAGTGAAATGTCTTTTTTAATTGGAACCTCTAGGGAACGGAAAGTAAAATTTGTTGTCGCATTTTCAGTAATACGCAAAGCGATATGTAGCCATGGGCGTTCTTACCTTTACTTTACGGAATCTGTGGTATCTGCCACTGTGAACAATTGCAGTTTTTGGGCGCATAAGTGGAATCGGACGCCCAAGCAGCTTTCAGAAATAATCGTAAAACCGTGCAATGTAAATATCTGCACAGAAATGGGCATTAGAGCGGAAATGTATGATCAACGCGGATGCTTTTTTTTGTCTACCACTAGTACTTATCCGTTTTGTGGTAAATATTATTTATACTTGCGCCAAATAATACAATTCATATTTCGTATGCACACACATTATCTGTTACAGCCAACAGCACCGACCGTCAAGGAGATGGAAATACAACAAGATCGTATAAAGATAAGGTAAAGGGATCGATTAATAATACACTTACTTATCTGTAGATAAATGCGTTATTAACACATACTGTATATCATTCAGTACATTTAAATAGCTTCTTATATTTAGATATTTACAATTGAATGTATTTGCACAATACAAGTAATATGTACATAATATAAGTAATATTTTTCATGTTTCTTTATCTTCTCGTTGTTTGCTGTTACAAACGTTGATTATTTTGTGTATTCAAATTCTTAATAAATTACAAAAAACACTCGATAATCTTAATTCTTAAAATGAAATATATGATACACACATATGTGCTTGTGAGAAATAATATTTTCCAAGAGTTTGGAGTTTTGTAATCAATAGTTCTGAAAAATAAAATTATATAAGGAATACAAAATAAGTGATTATAATCATTATGGCAAATAATAATTATGCCAGCTATTCGTATCAACTTCATACTAGTGAAATATAGTTTCAATTTTTAATATTTTTTAATTAAATCGTTAATGTATTTTATGTTTAGCTTTAACAAGGTAGACAATTAACAAGATATAATATACGGGATGAATTATAAAATGCCAGATTTTATAAAAGATCGATCTTTTAAGAACGATATAAATAAATGAGTAATTATTTATATAACAGTAATAAAAATGCTAAATATGTCACATACGCAAATAGTAACAACGCGATTAAAATATTTCCGCTAGTAGGCAGATGCATCTTGCCTTAAACATGATGGTAACTGCTATTTGGTATTAATTCTTATGTGCGTTGTTATTGTATGAGCTTATATTCGAAAGACGCTCGACTTCTGCGCGTAAAAAATAATCGTCACATGTAACGCTCTATATTGGCATATTGTAATACGCTTATCTGCTTTAGTGAAGTCGAATGGAAGATTTAAGCAAGAGGACTTGCGTGAAACTTATGAATAGTTAACACTGAGCGATTATTCAGTATAATAAGTCTTTCGCATCTGTTAATGTATAACTTGCACGTAAGTGGCCGGGAATATGCCAGTGCGGCCTCCACATTCACCTATCCACCAACCGTCTGCCTGCTTCTGATGAACGGTTATCAGGTCACCCGGACTGAGACTGAGCTCGTCGTTCAAATTTGCCGAGTACTGATAGATCGCTCGACACTGTTCCGCGCGTTCGGTCTTGGGTGTCGTCACTACCTCCGCACCATCAACCGCTTCCTGATTGTTGTTGTCCTCCGAGTGACTGCTAAACTCGTCGAAATCACTAAAGTCATCCTCATCTGGCGGATTCTCCGAGTTGCCATCGCCAGCCGTCCGATCGACCCAATCGCGTGTCTCGGCGTCCTGATCCTTCGCCAAATGGATCTCGAGTTCGTCATCATCATCTTGAATCTCAAAAGATTCGTTCTTTGCCCAAGAAGGAATCTGCAAAAAATGTGATTTGTTTTGCGTTTTTTTTTTTACTGGATATAATTTTATTTAATTATTAAAATAAAACTCAACATTAGATGATCACTTTCACTCTCTGCGAACTGATTTGCTTACCTTAAGAACACTTTGCTGCAAACCTTGCTTGTCTCTCGAAACTAGGATATGGTCCGACAAGGGATGTTTGGATCGTTTGCTGCCTTCTACTTCCGCGAGTGTACGACCAACCTTATATCTGGCCGCCTCCAAGTACAGCAACATGGAACGCATCTGCGATAGAGTACAAGAATAATTCGCGCATTTATAGCTAGTGTGAAGTAATTTCTAACTCTAACTCCTATAAATTCGTAATCGATGCAAGAAAACTTACATGATGCAGCTTATCCGTCACATTTTGCGCGCTCTCATCCGCCGCGAACGCCGGTGTTTTGATGAAGGCCCGATGTAATGTTTCTAAACCTTCTCTACCCCTCCTCTCCCTCTCCAGATCTTGCCTAATCAGATGCAGCACCCTCACCAGCGCCTGTTTCCGTCGCTCGCGATTCATCGCCAACGTAACATGTTCAGCGTAAAAGTCTGGCAACAATTGCTCTGCGTTCGTCGCTTCGTTATTGTCTATTCGACGTACGAGATTCTTCAGAATTTCAAGATCCTGCGATACGTTGCAGCTACGTACAGGCGTTAGCAGGCGATCGGCGCTCTGAAAATAAATATTATATAGTATATATTCAACGCCGCATTCTGGAAAATGAATTTCCTAGAAATTATCTAAATAAAATATTTAAAAAATCCTTATTTTTAAAAAATAAGATTTAAATAAAATATGTGTGTGTTTTATATCCTTAATAAATGTTATAATATCTAAAGTTCTAAAAATTTTATCATCTTCAGCTTATCTAAACGAGAAATACTTTATAATCTCATCTTTTACCACATCAAATTTAGAGACACAACTTCATCTTATTTTAAATACATTTACACATCTTATATTTATTTAAGTAATTTTAAGATTAGATTAGAAGCGCATACCCACAAACAACCTCCCTCTCATTTCGTCTCTTTTTCATGCATTACCTGTTGTAATCGCGGTGCTAGCGCTTGCAAGTGCGTCAAGTACACATTGGCGAAGTCCTTCAGGGCGCTCAGTCGCTCTTCTTCGAGTAATTCCATCTGCTTCGCACCTTTCCTCACGGTATTCTCATATTCCAGCCTGGCCCTCTCGGCCCTCACGCTCACTGTGTAAAATTCCGTGTCTGCGCGACGCGACGAGTCCTCGGCCTTCCGCCGTCTGGTTTCCAGCTTAGTCGCTTCCTTCTCTGTCATGTGGTGATTCGACAATTTATTGTTGCTCTGCTGACTCTGACTGATGGTCTGCAGTCGCGCCAAGTCCTGCAGCCTTTCATTCTCTCGCGCGCTCGCGAAGCTCTGCTTCTTACTCTTTGCCGCTACTCCACGCCACTCCTGAAGCGACTTGGATGCCTTGTCCACCGAATTTTCGACGGTCTTCCTCGATCGTCCTTGCGTCTCCGCAACACCCACCTGATAAAATGCGCATTATCTTTTTATTTTTCATTTCGTTATCACGAAATCTGGTAATTTAACTAATTTTCAATCAAATATTCCATTCCTCTCAAGTATTAGCATATATTGAATATGATTTTTAAAATACTACTTAAAAAAGACTCTCGTAGAAAAAATAGAAAGGTATGTTTTTATCATACATCTATTAAATCTCATAGATTCAATTTAATGATATTATGTCAACAAACATTATACATAATATTTATATACACAAGTATTAAAGTGCATCATTAATCAATATAATTGGACGTAATAAAAACAATTAAATCAAATGTACGAACGCTATACTATTTGATTCATATTTTAAAAATTCCAGTCCTGGTCTATTTTTTCTGGAATCATTCTACATTACTGAGCATTTTTAAGAGATTATTTTTGGATCGAGATACATATATTTTCGCGTTATTTAAATACCCGTAGAGATACCAAACGAACGGGCAATTTTTTTCCTTCCAACCTGTCTCCGATGTCGTTTTTAATGATGTGACCCTAACGTTGTTACGTAAGGTACGATCATGCATACACAGTGATGCAGTCTTTCCCTCCTTTTGCGACGCGATGCGTAGCAATTATCTTGGGGAGACTTACTCTAAGCGGTTTGGCGAGCTGTTCGCTCAGCGCGATGCCCCACAGCCGATGGGCTTCCGCGGCAGCCTCCATCTCTTCGCCGACACACCTCCATGCCTCGTTCACGCCTCCGTTGCTATTACCTGCATTACGAAAGACGCGCAATCCGCTTATTAAACATGATCTTATTTTCTCTTTTTGGGCCGCCGCCCATCTCGCAATGTCGATATCTTTACAAGAATAACGCAATAAAAAAAAATAGAAATAAACTGATATCATGGCCAAATTTGTCTTCTATAAATGAAAATAATAGCTCTCATTTTTCTTTTTCTAAAAATATACATGTATGGTTTGGATGATATTTATGATAAAATAAAAAGTCTGCAACGTGTGTCAATAAATTATGAAATTTTCGCTAAAGAAAAACGCATCAAAACCTGAATATCGTCCTGTATTATAATTATCATTATTATTATAATTATTAATGAAATTATTAATGATATTATTATCAATGATATTATAATATAATTATTAATGATATTATGTATAATTATTAATGAAATAGATGCAAAATTAATGTAAAATTGATAACCACCTTGATCCTTGGCACAAGCCTTTGTCAATTTGCTGCTGAGCTTGCTGAGTCCCTTCGCATAAGTAGCTTCCAACTCGGCTCTAAAAATGTACATATGTTCATATTTTTTTTATAGAAGAATCGCATGAGAGAACAAGGTAAAGAACCGAATACCTTTCGTGAAGAATCGACGCCAATTCTTTGCAAAAGTCGCCTCCTTGTTTGATATACCTTCTTACGTCCTCGAAACCGCCCTGTCCTCCCTGCGCATAACAAGAAAAATTTTTTAATGTTACACAACAATGAAATAATGATGAGCGACTACAGTTCGCATTTTATGGTGTGAAAAAAAAAAAAACAACTTTAAAGCGCCTTATTTTATGATATGTGATGCTTGTTGCTTCACGCGATATTTCTAATACATAAAGATGAATGGCTGAGATGGATATCCTACTGTGAAATTTCACAAAAAATCTGTTTATAACATCATCATTAAGTAGAAAGCTGCTTCATGTCAAAATTCAAAGAGAGAAACTTTATATGCGTGTAATAAAATTTTAAGCAGAGGGTTATTTCTAAATGTTCGATAATAAAAGAGAGAGTCATAAGATGTACGGGACAAATATCGATTTGCATTTAATTTGATTGCCTGTATCTCTTGCATACAATAATATATGACGATGATAAATAGATATATGTACATACAGAGAGAGTTAGAATAATGATGAGAACAACAGAATTATGTTAGGTAAACGCAGTTTCTCTCTCTCTCTCTCTCATTCTGTTTTATAGATCTTTAAACGTTTAGATAATATCTTGAAAAGAAAACTATCGACTTATTTGAGTTTCAAGTAACAAAAATGCGGCTCATTCGATTTTATGCTTCAATACACTTTGCCTGCGAGGAGAAGACGCATAAGTTAGCGGTAACCACGCATCGTGGCCCATCAGATACAACATTGCCAGCACATCGTATCGAATTATAGGATTTCCTGCACATTTTTAATCAGGTGTTTTACTCACACTTGCGTAAAAAATCGATGTTTAACGAGATGCTTAAATTTTACGCCAGAAAAATAATATTTTATAACAAGTGATAATTTCACGAGAAAAATGTAAAAAAAATAAGAAATTTAAAGTTTAAAATTGAAATAAAATTTCTGAAAGTTTTTCTTGTAAGAGATTAATCGACGTAACGTTGATTTCGTCAGAAAATATATATAATTACTCTTTAAAATCACAGAAGTGAAATGCGGGGTGTTTTATTATTTCGCATACTTATGCGATCATGCCTACATTTTTCTCTCTCTATAGCACGTAAAGTATTTTAGTCACAGTGGAAGGCTGGGCGTATGTCATTATCCACTCATCCAGTCATTCGCCTCTCATTGCTGTTACGCGTTAGCTCAGCTTTCTTGTATATTTGTTGCGCGATATTATCGTAAACGGTACTTATAAACGGTACTAATATTTTGTTTACAAAGTACACAGAAGATTATATAAAAGCAAATTGTGCAAGAGCGATTTATTTTATTCAAATTGAGTGAACAGAGCATTTTTATTAATCCATTTGAAAAAAATTGAAAAAAATTACGTTTCGTTTTCACAAAATAAAATTCAATTAAACAAATCAATAAATTTTATTTCAGAGACATTTTATATCAAGTGAAGAATAAGTGACTATGAATAAATAAATATCGATGGTTTAAATTTTAAAATTATTTAATTCTATTTTTTTTTAAACTTGCTTATTTCGTTAAAAAAAAAGAGTACTTGACAGAAACACTTATTCTGTGTTATATTCGAGAAATTTTCAGAAACGGCAATAGTAGATCTCGGGCTAATTTTTTTGCAGCTGTCGCCGCAAATTTATTTTTCTGAATCCGTGACGCGCGTGAAAGTCGATATCGCGTGAAATTATTAATTAGATACGACAATATTAAAGATGGCGAACCGGTTCGTCGGGTAAAGTCGCGAAATTTGGAGGAAGAGATCGCATCAAGCGAGAGAAAATGTCGCAAGAGAAACTATTAGTGCATACATTGAAAATATAAACACACGTTTATTTCACACCTACGTGTTACCAGATTCTTTTGTACTTTAATGAGCCGAAGCTAACATTGATTCGATCGCGTTGCCCGGATACCGGGGAAAGGAAGCTCTTCCTCTCGCCGAGAAGGCCTCGTTCCGGAAGCCGCTGAGGAACGATACAATCGCGAAACATCAGCTATAATGGAAAAGGCCTTTGTTCGCGCGCGATAAACGTTCCCGCGACTATCGGATTTCGTGTTTCTTTGCATTTGCCGCGCAAGCAAAGGTGACTGGTCTCAATCCTGAATTAAAGCTTAATCATAACCTGAGGTGATCGGTGAAAGTAAGCGTTAATCTTGATGGGCCCTGAGGGAAATTAAAGTGCCAATTAGCTCGGACATGTATGTGTGTGTGTTTATAGGCGAAGTCGCGATAAATTCTGATATGACATGCGAAACATATGTAATGCATATGTAGAACTGTAGTGAAAATAAATGGGACACAGTTTAATGTAAATTTTAGTAATCGGGTCCAAAAAATGTTTAAGGTTGTATTGATTACATAATCCCAAAATGTAACTGCATTGAAAATATAATTATAAAATTATTATAATATAATTATTATAAATAATATAATTATTATAAAGTATAATTATTATATAATATAATTATTACGAAATTAATATTTACATTTTCAAAAATAATGTTAAATAACAATATATTTTTAATTAATAATAAATAATTAAGTAATAATATTTTTATAGTTTATTTATATTATTTGCTGTTATATGTATTTCTGATATTTATAATACTCTCGACAGAGAGTAAAAATTTTGAACACGAATATATCTTGCATATAACTTAAAAAAAATATGAAAAATATTTTGGCAAAAATACTTCAAGAAATTTTAATTACTTACAAAATAAAACTAATCATAATGAAATTGGAATACGTATTAAATAAGAATAGTGATTCTCAATCAAACTAGTCGCCTGTTTACGTTCGCAATTTAAATTGCAAGTAAAATTGCATACCTCTGAGTTGAAACGTTCAGTCATCAGGGACATGATTCATAAATCACGTATGAGTAGAAATCGAAAAAAGGGATATTTCTAGAAGCGTGAAAAATAAGAGACTAACAACACATTGATATGTAAATGAGTTTCGGGATACAAAGTTTAGTTATAAATATAGTTATATTACATGTAAGCATATAAAATCTTTCGTTTTCGCGTAAATATTTCTATGGGTGAGAAAAGGAGCAAATTACGTCGCCGCGAACTCGACATTTGATCATCGCGCGTAATATTGCATTATGTAATATCGGAATGTAATGACTGCCGACGAGATATTTTACATTTCCGTCTCATGCGTCAAGTTACATAAGAGTTGTTACGAAGTCACAAAAATGGGGATCGAAAATAAAATTCGGATTTCTACATTATGACACTCCCTAAGCTTTAAAGCGTCGAGTGCAACGCAATCGATCGATGCCTACGCATATCACACGTTCTACAACCTTGTAGACGATACGATAAAAGAAAACCACGTGTGCCTTCAAGCATCGTAATCTAGACCTTTAAACTATTTTTAACGTCAATAAAAGAGCCTGTACGGAATTTATGTATTTTATTTCAGCACTTTTTTATTCTATCTATAATTTATAAATTATTGGAAACATCTTGGAATGCATGCGTAAATGAATTAAATAATAATATTTCGTTCAATACATAAATAAAATAAATAACAATGTTTCATTTGACGCGATTTTTAAATTACGCAAATTTTATTGCTTTTTATCAATAAAATTCCATGAGTTGTCTGTGTGTATCAGAACAAGAGAAAAGTATCACAAATATTGCATGATTCGATCCGATAGACTTGATTTCGAATTATGCGGGTGGTTTGTTTCGCAAAACCCGAGGACTCTTATCGCGACTGCTTTCTCTTTCTACGTGTGTGTATGTGTGAATTTACTTCATTATTTTTTTCATTTATCGATACGATAAACAATGTACATAGAACATTCAATTTTATCAAACACACTTTTGCTATCAATGACTGGATGATTATTATTGAGGGTCAATTTTGTTGACAATCGATATTGCAATCTGATAACATGTTGGATAAATAAAGGGCGTGATATCTTTAATGATAATCTTCTCTATAAATCGTATAGTATACGATTATCTTTTTTCGCATACAGAAAGGAAGCTTTTCACATATAAAGTGAATCATTTTATTCTATAAACATTCGTAATTTTCATTGTAATTGTTAAATCGTATAATCATTCATGAATTCGAAACACCTGTATTAATAATATGACTCATCATATCTCATCGTATCATGTTGTGTGTGCTCGAAATCGTGTGATAAATATTTAGCAAGTTCGTTAATAAAGATTACAAAAGTTATTCGGGTTAAATATACTTTTAAGAAAAGTTAAATGTTGGTTAAATACACTTTATCGTGCTAGAATTTATGCTTCCATTCATTACAAAAAAAATAATCGATGGAGGGCGTGTCGAGCCTAGTGGACATGGTCTATTTGTAACGCGAATAACAGAGCAACTTTCTACGGATTCGATCTAAATTTGACCGAAAGTGGACTCTGTCATTTCGCGACATTAATGTAATCGTGATTACATCTGCATAAAAACAAAATTATAGGATATATCTCAGTCAAACGGAAATTCCGGAGATATCCGCAGCTGAAGAAGATCTGGACTTCTGGATCAGTTTTATCGAGCGTGTCCTCAAGATAGTAATTCACTGTGAAAAATCGCTTTGCCATTACCCGTTAAAGCGGAAATCATTTTAATATTAATTAGAATAAATTTGTGCGCGCGCGAGGTACTTATGTATGATCGAGATACGGGAAAAGTTTGTGATCGAATTAGCTGGCGATCGAATATTAATAAAATGTTACGGAAATAGAGGTAAAATTCTGCTACTTAACGATTAGGGACACATCGTATAATCGAATCTAATCTTGGTAGTCGTCGTTAGCATAACACCGTATTTACCCGTCAACACGTATCAGATCGTTAATAGTAATTAAATGCGTAATCAATGGCCGTTCTTACGGCAGATTCGCCTTTCAATCTTGCTTAAGTGACTAATCTTCGCTCACTGTATTAGTATTTAATGTAATCTTGCGTGAAATACACTCTATGAATCGTGTACACAAATATATCTTTGCGTGTTAGATTTTATGCTACTTATAGGAAA